TCCTAATTTATATTTGTATGACCATTAGACGATGAATAAATTCATGTATCAGAATTTTTAATTTTTAACGCTTAAAATTTTTAAAAAAATGCAAAACTTGACATTATTTGCCATCCAGTGGTTGCATACAAGCGAATTTATATTCATTGGATTCATCTCACTAAGATGCATCGAATGGTGCTAAGATCATATCTCTAGCACTGATAGATAGCTTTCTAATTCCAATTATTGATAAATCATTTAGCGTGGATTAATGTGTGATCTATTGATGCTAGAGATATGATCTTAGCACTATTTGACGCGTATTATCGAGATGAATCTAGTGATATAGGACTTGACTTTGTACGATTACTAGATGGACAGCTATTTAATTTTTCGCATTTTTATAAAAATCAGATTGAACTGAACTGAACCGCCAGTTTTTCAGTTCGGTTCTTATGGATTTTAGCTCTAATCTGAACCGTCTATAATTCAGACCAAACTGACCCATTCAGAGCTTTAGGTTATGGCATGTTTCAGCAATTTTACAATTTTGACAAGTTTCACAATTTCAGTGTTTTAGTATTTCAGTACTATATAAAAAGTTTTACCTTTCAGTATTAGATCAAACAGGTTTCAGTAAGTAACCTTAATCAAAATAATTAAAATTACATTATATTATATAATTTTAAACAATTATTATAGAATAATATAAATTTCAAATTACAATAACTTATAAAATATATATTTATATTTATATATATATATATTTAGAATTTTTTTAATAAAATAAATCTAATTGTTTAAAAATTTTGGGTGAAATTTTATTACCATTTCAATTTATTTAATTAAAGCTTTTAAATAAGCTATAAATTATCAAATTTTAATTCTAAATACTTAAATATTTCAATATACTTTCATTATTGTTTTTTTTTAATAATTGTAGATAATCATTTAACATCCGATTTAACTGAAAATCAAGGTCAAATTATCTAATTTTAGTTTCATACATAATTTTAACAGATTTTTAGATAATTTAATATAATTTTAAAATAAAGCATTTGGATTAAATTTTCAAAAATTCTAGTATTAAANACAAAAGTACTTTAGTTTGAATAATTATGTATTATTTTATTATTATTTTTGTAAAGACATGTGAAAACATACCTATAGAATACAAATATATTAAATTAATTAATGATAAAATGCTTTTTGTTAAAAAAATAATATTGTGTTTTCCAGTAGAGAGATTCTAAACTTTCACTAAGCGATTCGCAATCTTTTTGGAACTTCTTTTGATATTTTTTCCAAAATATAATATTTACTAAATCTAAATAAAAACTATACCTGGTGAACTTTCAGGTTCCAAAAGGTAAGAAAATAATATATTTTTTTTAATATTTAGTAATTTACAAATGTTTTATTAGATATGGACGTTCTGAATAGCATAAAAAAATTTTTGCGCCATGATAGTCAATTAAAAGTCACGTGATTACACTCTTTCCTTAAAAGAATAAAGATAATGCAACATAAAAACAAATAAGAGCTAGATTTTTTTATTATAAAATTAAATTAATTATGATTGTTGCATTTATCATATTTAATTTTGTATTTAATTTCCTTACATTTTTTAACATTTGCAATATCTTATTATACTATTAAATGTAAGATACCTTTTCATGAATATATAATGCATTATTTTGTAATTTTTTTGCTTATCTCAAATTTGTGACAGTTTAATATCAATCATTATTATAATAAAAAATATTATATTTATGCATTATCTGATTATATGCAACCATAAGTTCAAAAACACTAATTATCTAAAAGATTTAGAACTTTTTTGCCTTCCAAAATTATTTGTCACCCATTATTTATCATTATGATTAGCTTAATTTGTTATAAATTTTAGATGTGCAATTTTTTTTATTGCTGTTTTCCTTTACAAAAATGTATTTTGTTTAAATGTACAAATTATAGTAAAATTATTTTTATTAAAAATATAATTAAAAAAACATATCATCTGTTATTAATTTGTTAAATAATTAATAATCATTTACTTTAATGTATTGTTTCTTTAAAATAGTGAATATAAATTTTTAAATATAATAAGATATATAAGAATTAGTAATTACTTTTCTATTATTAAGAAATTTCTATTTTATTATGTTATTTTTAAAATCAGCCACTTTATATTTGATGAATAATTCTGTTTTTTTTTATTTCAGAAGTTGATTTTATCTCTTATATATTATCCAGTAATTAATTGGCTTATTATTTTTTGGCTGCCCTGTAAAAAATCTAATCTGTATTTTATCTTTCCATTTTTTTTCCATAAATGTATCATTTTCATGGAATTTATAGCCTTAAATCATGGAAATTTTCATCTCACTAACACTGATATCCGTGAATGTATCATTTTCACGGAATTTTTACAGAAGACATGGAGAAATAATGGAAATATTCAGATAAAAATTTATTATAGGGCTGTTAATATGGTTACTCAACTGTAAATCCAAGTTGTTTTGTATGACTAATTTTTTTTCAAACTAAAAAGATATATTTTGTTAACTTTTAGCTTTTTTCTTTAAATACAACTTTTTTTTAACAGTACGTTAGTAGTACGTTTAATAATAGTTATATTCAGTATGTAAAATCTATATGCATAATATACACATATGCACATTAGTTTTTAAATATGCATAGTTACATGACAAATAATATGCATAAATTATTACTAAAAATAGATAAATTATATATAAAAAAAGGTAATTTTACATAAAGATTTATTATGATTTTTTAATTTAATAATAAATTTATCAACTTGTACACATGACTTTTGATTTAGATTTTACATACTTGTTGTATTACCTGTTTCTTATGTTTTTAATAAACCTTTCTATCTTTAGATAAAATTATAATATATAACTATAAATGGAATCCGTTCATATTACTGACAATCATATTACTAACAATCATTTTACCGACAGGTACACAGGTACACTTTACCGACACTCATTTTACTGACACCCATTTTACCATTAACATTTACAGTATTTATTACTATTTCACTACCTATTTCAGTTATGAAAATTAAAATACATATTTAATATAAAAGAATTTACCATAATATATAAAATAAAAAATTGATTAATATATAACAAAATATAAAATATTATGATATTTATATATAATAAAATAACTTGAATTTAATATTTAATTTTATCAATTTTATTTTTTAAAAAATTTATTTCAGCTTCATAATATATTGTACTTAGAATTGTTTTTAATAATTTTCTTAATTTAATTTATATAATTTGCTTTTTTTGTAACTTAAAAATAATTATTATTTTGTCGGTAAAATAATTGTCAGTAATATGATTGTTGGTAAAATGTACCTGTTGGTAAAGTGAGTGTCAGTAAAATGATTGTCGGTAATATGATCATCAGTAATGTGAACTAGACCCCTATAAATATATATTGCATGGCATATAAAACCAAAATATTATATTATTTGTTTAACTTAAAACTGAATATAAATGGTTATTTTATTATTTTTGAATAATTTTAAAGTTAATCATTTAACTAATGATTAGTATTTTTTCAGTAACAGAAATTGAAATCTGTTAAAATATTTAATTTTTATTCCTTTTAATATAAGTAATATAAGCATTACTGCAGTTAGATACTTGAATATATAAAATTTAACATTTATATATTTTCTATTATTAATAATATCATATGAAAGTTTATATTTCTTTATAACTCTTTTGTTATTTATAAATACTTGTAAACTTATATTATCTTTTCTTAAAAAGTTAAAATCCAATAAGGTGTATAAATTATCTTTAAAGGTATTGTATAACATATTTGTACCAATCATCTGCTTTGGTTTTTTAGCTCTAATATTAATGGAAATCTCATTTTTTTTATTAATCATTTTGAGTGAAGTACTATATCAAAGTGAAAGGAATAAAAAGAGTATATTTAATAAAGCTCACAAAGCTTCTTTACTAAAAATGGCCAATTTTTTGAAATGATTTTGTAATAATTTTAAAATACTACAAAAATATATTTAATACATCAAAATGTTTTTATTATATTTTTGCTATTATTTTGTAATTGTATTGTATCTAGGTCTATAAAAATAACTCAAAATAATATCACAATAATTTTTTAATGTTTTTGTTATTATTTTATTATTATAATATAATTAACTTTGATATTATTTTAATATTTTAATCTCAAAAATACCTTAAATATATCTTGATATATTTTAAAAATTTTACAAAATAATTGCACAATTGTTTTGAAAGCCATTGTATCTAGGTCTATAAAAATATTTCAAAAAATTGGGCATTTTTAGTAAAGTTATTAATAAACTATTACTAATAAGTTGTTGCTAATGTATTTCAAATGTTTATTCATTTTACTGACAATTATTTTACTAATAGATATTTTACCAATAAGATTATTTACAGACAAATGTAATTATTTTACTAATAAAAAAATTTAGAATTGGAGTTGAATTAAGTAAAAAAATTAGGATTAAAATTAAAATATAATAAGGAATTAAGGTTAGAATTAGAATTAGAATAAGATTAAAACTATTAGTAAAATGACTGTTGGTAAAATAATCCTATTAGTAAAATGATTATTGGTAAAACATCTATTAGTAAGACAATTATTAGTGAAATAATTGTTAGAATCCATTAATTTAATTTTACAAAAAAATATAATTTTAATTTAAAATAAAGTTTTTAAAAAGAAAGAAATTAAGCAAAATTAAAAATAAAAAAACAATATAAACCATTAAAAATACAAGTTTAATGAAATATTTGAAAAGAAAATTACAATTTTAATTGGATTTTTACTTATATAAAAATGCATTAATATACATTTTGTATTATTTTAGTTTGCATTATTTGCATTAATAAATCTAATAAATTCAACTTTATTATTGATTTACATATAATTAAAAAAATGAACTAAAATAAATTTTTTGCAATTAAAAAGGTTAATTATAATTTTAAAAATGTAGAATTATAATTATCTTCTTGGTTTTTATTTTTTACTGCTGATTTTTTAATTCCATCTTTATCAATAATAGTAATATTCTACAAAAAAAAATTTAATAATTTAAATTAAATATAAGTCTAATTAATATAAAATATTAAAGTATTTACCTTCTGTCCAATTAAAGAATCTAAGATATTTTGTTTTGAATGTTTATTACCTAATCCAGGATTCATTCTATAAAACAAAATAACGATTATTTATAATAATATAAAATAAAAAATAAGTATGAGAAATATACAAAAATTACCTTTCAATAACTTTCTTTTCACGTTCTTTTAAGGCTTTCTCTTTTTTCTTAGCACGCTTTTTTGCTGCGCGAATTCGATTCTTTTCAGTTGAATTTATTTCAGTTTTACCCTAATAATATATAAATTTCATTATAGGGATCTATCACTTTTTAAAATTATAACATAATTCGTTATGTTATTACCCTAATTTCTCCTTTCTTTTTATCATATATTTCTTCAGGTGCCAATAATTTAGCATCACTAACATTAACAGGTATAATTTCTTCCATTGAGATTGCAGGTACATTAGCAATAATAGAAATTTCTGGTTTGGGCTATTGTTATATAAATAAACAAAATAAATTATTATATAAGGTCAAAAAAAAAAAACTTAAAATAAATATACAAACTTACTGGTTTTGGAGTAAAATGAAAATTACTTAAAGCATCTAATTTATGACATAAATCCTTAAACATATTTTCAATTTCTTTATGTTCTTTTTTTAGTATTTCATCTTTTTCGTTTGTCGCACTTTTTGTAGTTTGCTTAATATAATCTTCTTCATATATTTCAGCTAAAGATTTCTTTGATTTTTCGTCTGATATTTCAACTAATTTTGAAGGTAAAAATGGTCTAAAATTAGGATCCCGTTTACGTTCAACATCATCAAATGTTTCCTAATTAGAAAAGTATATTAATATTATTTCTTAAACTGGTTCTGATTTGTTATTAATTATATACTTACATCCAAAATCCTTTGTTTAATTATATCTTCAAGCTTTTTTGTACTCTCCTCAGTTATCATAGGCACAGGCTAATATATATTATTTTAAATTAAAACTTTGAAGATTTAAAACAATAAATAAGAACTTACCTTTATAATATGATCAAACTCTAAATCTTCCTCCAACAAACTATTTATAGGTCTATCTTTACTTGATGCCTAATATAAAAAAGCAGTATGAATAATTAAAATATTGTATAAATAATAAATTTAAAATTTCATGCTTACCTCTCCAATAAGAGTCCAATCTTTTTCAGCTACATTTTCCATTTCAAGCTGCTTAATTTGTTTATTAACTCTTTCTTGATGAATTTGAAAAGCTGATTTTGGTTCTTCAATTAAATAAAGATAAATAAATTTTAGATTGCAGTCTATTACCTTCATAAATTATATCTTAAATAATTTGAATAATTTATCTACCATCATTATCACTTTCGTCTTGAGTAAATAAATCTCGAACTTTGTTACTAAGAAAATCATCTGAATCTTCAAATGAATCACTATCATCATTTTTTGTTTTACCTATCAATTGTTTATTTAAACCATCTAATGATGATCTCTTTTGATTTTTTTTTTTCTTGGGTGGATCGAAGAAGTCACTATATTTTACATCTGAAAAATACTATTTTTTTTAACAAAAAATAAAACAAAATAAAGTTCCTTCTAAATATATAATGCACAATACAAACCATTAGCATTCATCTCATCATCATCGTCAAGTTTGTCAGGGTCTATTACATAGATGATATAAATGTTAATGAATTTATAAGGACTAAAAAACAAAATATATAGGAAATAACCTGCAAAATAATCAATTTCATCAGAATCTTCAAAATTTTCATTATTTTCAGTTATTTTATTGAATTCTAGTAAATTAAAAAATTCATCATCTAATTCATGACGGGATTCAACTACTTCTTTCTCATCTTCGTTTGCTTCACCAGAATTTTCTCTCAATTCATAATCATCACTTTCTTCAGCTTCCTCTTCCACTAAATCATATTTTTCATTAATATCCATTTGTGATAATTCTTCCACGTCATCATCACTATCCTGTTCCATGATATCATTTCCTTCATTTTCATCACTATTGTCCTCCTTCTCTTCTCCATCATCTTCACGCTCAATAAAATTTTCTAAATTACTTAATTGTGAATTAATATAATTTAAAAAAGGTTTATTTTGTAAATTTATTTCTGCCCAAATTTGTTCACTATTACAATTATCAATAATTAATTTAAAAAATGGATTGTTTTTTATTATCATTTCAATATTTTGTTGTAATATTGGATTATTTCGTTCTTCTCTTTTACCTTTATAAGAGGATTTTTAAAAAGTCAATTTTATTAACAATACTTCTTTATTAAGTTTAGTTATAAACACAATAAACCTGAACCAACAATTTCAATATAAATATATACCTAAATCATATAATTCTTTCGTGGCTTTTAAAGCTTTAGCGGATATAGTTTCATCTGGTGCAACAAAACCTTCAGGTTTATCTATAACATTTTTGACAAAAGAATTTAAGAAATTCTTTGTTATTTTATTGCTAAATTTCTTTGACATGGTTAGAAAAAAAAAACCAAAAATTATAGAATAAGTTCCTTCATTGATAATCAATTCATCACGTGGTTACAAGTAACAAAATTTCACCTAGGCGTCATTACCTAAACGTGTTTACTCTAGGACGCTATGATCACGTGAGACAAAAATGTAAGACGCGCTTTGCAGAAAAAATTTTGCAATTTTCACGTTTTTTTTTTTTGTATTTTTACTTTTTTATTATGTATATTTATTTAAATATGTACTTGTTTCTTTCCTTTAAAGAAAAGAAAAGTAAAATAAAAAATGAAGGACCAAAAAAAAATTTGATTATATTAAAACTAGATGTTTAGTAAAAATTTGGTTAAAAAAAAAAAAAAAAAAAAAAAAATTAGGAAAATTACGGTAATTATTAGTAATTTTCGTAAAATTTTTTTTTTCGTTTTTTTTGCACGGATGTTAGTGTATAAAAAAACAATAATTAGTAATAAAACGGAGGGTTTGATATAAAGGAAAAACGGATATTAAGTGAAACAATGAAATGAAAATGATTAAGCGAAATATAAGGTAGATGGGTGTATATAACAAGAGAGCACAAAGAGAATAAACCAGTTAATTCTTCGTGTTTATGGTAATAAATTAAACAAATCGCAGTAACGGGTGGAAAAAGAGAATTCTATAGGCTCTATTGTTATTGATAATGATAATATTAAGAAAAGTTTGTTGCATATGTTAATTACATGAAAAAAAATATTAATGCATATACTTAAAAAAAAGTTGATAAGATGAAGCTTAAAGGAATTAATGTTAAAAAAATTAAACGTAAAAGAGTGAAAAGGTGTCAAATAAATTAAAAAACCATCACTAAAAAAAATATTACTATTAATGTATAAATATAGCTAAAAAGGAGAAAAGCTGTCTAGTAATGAGAGAAAGTTAATTAAGGTACAGACATGCGTCTTTCCAAAGATTCTAATCGGGCTTTCAAAGCTTTCAAAATATATTCATAATCTTTAGGTTGCGACTCTTCAGCATTACTATGTGAAGAAGCAGAAGATAATGGTGGGCTAGAATGTGTAACGGATGAATATTGCGAAGAGCTTTTATTCGCATTTTGAGAAAATGCGGCGGTATTCTTATTATGACTATATCCCATGTCACTACTTGCTGTACTAATATCACTTAATCTTCTGTCTGGATCTAACGGAGGACTTGGGCTCATTCCTGCGATAGCTGTACTACTACGCATACGTTCTTCAACCTTTGAAAGACGCTTTTCTAAAGTCATCAAGTCTTTAACAACTTCCCTTTGCATTTCACGAAAATGTCCACGAACTAAACTTTCAATCATACTTCCTGAAGCTTGAAGTGTTTGAAGAAGGGTTGTCGTCTTACGAATTTGATCTTCAAGTGTAGTTTTAAGTGAACGAGTGTCAGCTACTGTATCATAAAATGTATCAAAAAGTTGCATGAAAGATTCTTTGGATGGCTGTTCGCCATTTGTGTGTAACATTGGACTTGTAACAGACTTAGAAATACGAGGTAAACGAGGACTAGGACTAGGAAGAGGTAGAGGACTTGAAGTAACGCTATTAGAACGAACATCTTCTATATTATGAGGAGAGATAAGCCCATTGATACTTGCACTTGTAGAAGCAGAATGTGTATTCAAAGACTGACTATGACTTGTAGGACGAAAAGCTGAATTTGCTGACAAAGGAAATCCAGAAACATTTTGTTTATTAGAAGCTGATCTATTTATCGGAATTGGAGCTGTCATAGGTGGTTGTCTATTATTTATTAAACCAGCAGAGTTTTGACCACGAGCTTTACTAACACCGGGCGATGCAGATGACAAGCCTGAAATGTCATTATAAGGTGGAGCAAAAACGCTGAGATTTCTTGAATTACGATTACTTCTATTTGAAGCAGAATTTCGTTTTGACAATGTGTTGGAAGTTCTGTTAGATTCCCAAGTACCTTGAGATGTATGTCTTCTATCAACAAAAGTTTGTTGTTGTAACATCTGTTGCTGGGCTTGTTGTTGTCTTGCTTCAATTATAGCCTTTTGTTGTTGTTTTAACTTAAGAGTGTTCCTAACTTGTTCCATAACTTCTGGATTATTAGTGACTTTGATGTTATTAGATCCAATCGCTGGTTGTACTGTAACACGTCTTCTTTTACGCATTCTATTTTCTTCATCAACTACTTCGCCAGAAGCTAACGGTGATGAAGGTGAATGAGGTGATCTAGGCGATTGATTTGGTGAGGAAGGATTTGAGTTTTCACTTCCAGAATAAGACGGTGATGGTTCTTGCTTGATCGTTGGTGTTCCTCTATAAATCAAGAATAGGAAAAAAATAAAATTTATAAACAAACACTATAATATTAAACTTTACTTTTGGTAATCTAGTTTACCTATCTGATCCCACAGGCGAGACTGTACGTTCGACCGGCGAAGTTACGCTTGAGGCATACCTTCTACTATTAGTATTATCATCGTTATCTAAAACTGCCTCAAGAGACATACGTTTTCTTCCATTCGTCGGTGGTGGACTTAAATGTCCATTAGATGTTGATGAGTTTAAATTATTAGGAGATCTAATGTGCGGAGTATTATTTGAAATGGGTGACATTGTCGGTGTATTCAATGTAAAAAATTCGAACTCGATATCTAAAACACCAGGTGTACGAGTTACATCAACACTTTCTAATAATTTATCAGCCATTCCTGATGTTATTTCTTTTCGACCATATTTGCAAAATTCGGCAAGTAAAGGATTTCCTAATCTAGTTCCAGTATCACTTATTGCACGAGCGGCTAAATATACATCACCAGAGCGTTCATAAAAACAATATCCGGGTGTGTCAAAATAAATTTGAGGGATTCCCCTTGATTTAAATATGTAACCTGTTTCATTTGATTCAAAAAATATAGCATCAATGTCCCTTAAACGATAAAATGGTTGATGTGAAGGAAATTCTTGGACAGTTGGAGAGGATAAAGACGGAGAGGCAGCTACTAAGGGAAATAAATATAGATAAAATGGTTGCTGGTTGGCATATACACCAATTTGAAGCTTTGTAACTTTCATGGTGTAAACCGTTAAACAAAGGAGTGTAGAAAATTAGTTGGAATTCGGAAGGGAAGGTAAATAAGGAAGAGAGTGAAAGCGGATAAAAAAAGAGATACTAAGGAAAGTTTATCGGAATTTAGGATTAAGTAAAAAAACAAAAGTAAGGAAGTTATTTTTCAAGACTTTTTGTGATCCCCTGAAGCAGGCTAGCACGCAGGCCACAAATGAGCTTAAAAAACAAACCAAATAAAGTAGGTTTGAAAAGAGAGTAAAAGAATGGAAGGTTTATGGCGAGCAAGTCTTTTGAACAGGAAGGAAGATTGCACAACCAGCAAGGAGTAAATTGTTTCAAAGACGAAGATTTTTGATTTAAATTTAAATCAAAATCGTACAAAGTATAATCGGGTAAAAGTTATGACTTTAAAAGTAACAAACACAAACATTGTATTTGGTTTCCGTATTAAGGTTCAGCAATAAATACACTACATTGGTAAATCTTTGGATCCCATTATTTAAAAATTTAAACCTGCTATTAATGGTCATTTCCCGGTAGTTTCAAACTTTTAGTTTAATATATATCAAATGAATTCAAATTAGGCAAAGAAAAAATTAATCCTTTTTAATTGCATTATTCTTTGTAAAAAATATACTGATAAATAAATAAAGTTTCATGAACAGTTTCATATTTTAATGAAATTAATAAACGGTTGAAAATGTATTGGATGATTTCTTTTGAAACATATTTAAGTGTAAGATTTATGAAACCTACGTGAGATTTAGCGGAAAATATCAAGTAACAAAAATTTTTATCTTTTAAAATTGGTTTTTTACCGAATATTTCGTCTGTCAGTTAAAGTAACGCAAATCTGAAACATGATTATTTTTTTTATTTATATTGTTTGTTGAGAGTAATTTATAATTGTGACCAACCAAAATTTTCCTCATCGGATAATTTTTATTATGTAATAATAAATTTATATCATATCAATTTAGGAAATTTTATTCTTAGAATTCTTTCTCTTCTTTTTCTTATCTCTTTCAGCCAAATATATTGATAAAAAATCTCCTCCAAATTGTTTCTTTGATATATTGTCGTTATCCATAGAATTAACTTTTGATTTTTTTATAGAAATTTTGCTATCTTCCAAGTCCTCATTTTTATTTGTATGTCTCATAGGGTCCGATGAAACATCATCCTCGTCATCTTTTTGATTATTTTTTCGTATTAATTTACGTTTAAGTATCATTTCTGAAACTGCTTTATTCTTAATTCCATTCTTCCCAATCCTAAAAATTAAAACAATTATATTATGTCTAACGTAATTAATTTAAATTATATAATAAAAAAATTTTTATTTCCGTAAATTGCTGTTAAGATAATAAACTATTGATCAATATACCTAGCAATATGTCTTTCTTGAATTGATTTGGTTAATTCTTTTTGTCGTAAAAGTTCCTCTTTTTCTTCTTTTGCCTCTTCTTCAGGATCAGGAGGTGGCAACCAAGAATCAACTAAAGTGGAAACCATATCAAAAGAAACATCTAATTTAGTTCGTAGTGCCTCTAATTCTTCAAAACGTTCCTGTGAAATGGACATGGTTAAATGTTTCGAAAATTCGGTAAGTCGAGTCACATATTTATAAACGTATTAACATGTAACACAAAATGATGTGATTACATGTCTTACGTCTCATCTACACTACATTTTTCCGATCTTTTTTTTTTATCGGTTTTAATTCATCATGTGATTTATTATATTTCAAAGAGTGCTTACTTAAAGCTAGACATGTACGTAAATTAGTACAGTACGGTAGTACGGACATTCCAAAAAAAAAAATTGTACTCGGATACGTTATTACCTACTATATTTTTGTAATCCGTATTAGTTTTGGCGAGCTTAGTTTATATCTGCACAGCCAATCCTGGTCTTCAACATCTTAGCTATCTTTAAATTATCATAATTATCACCGAAAAAGCGTGGATGAATGAATGTACTGGTTTAGCAGTCCACCCACACGTCAAACATATGTACTAGGTAAAAGAATTTATATTTTGGCATATCCGTATTACCATATTGTACTATACCTTCCAGGACATGGTGAAGATGGGTAATCATCATTAATCGTCTTAATCGTCTTAATTTTCCTTTTTGTTTATTCTTTCTGTTTCACAAGCTTTATCAATTTTCTAAATTGTCATGTCTGCCAGTTCATTAGATCAAACATCCCTTTTGAAAGTTGCGAGTACTTTATGCATAAAAGCGATTGGAAATAGATCAACGGGAGAGGATGAATCATGTATCTGATCCATCTGCGGTTAATGGGGTCTTCCAAGCGAACAGAACTAGAAAGTAAGTAATGCGAAAAATTGGTTAACATATAAGTAAACCAATGCGTCATATTTGTTGAGCTATGTCATTTATATGTTTCATCATCAGTGAGGACAAACTCAATTTTTTGAAAATATTTCAGAGAATTTCTTTTCAAATATTAAAATATTTTAAGGTTTTAGAGAAGAGTAAGGATAAAAGGGTAGCGAGATTATGTGGTGATGTTGTAAAAGGGGGAAAAGGTAATGAGAAAGAGAAGGTAATGGCCTAATAGCGAGATTATGTCTACTAGGCACTGATTAATATATAAAGTTTGTGGAAATGTTAATATTTTTGAAGGTGTTACTGTACAATTCTTACTGCCAACACAATATCCAGTAAATAAATACTGACAACTAAGGCTACTTCAGTTTTAGCAGGAAAACTTCTTGAGAATATACATTATGTCCTTTTTCAATGTTCCAAAAGAAATTAGATATAAACCTACTGAACAGAACAAAGTATTGTTAATGTCAGAGTGTATTTTAGAAAGGCTTGAACACCTAGAAGTATGTAATAAAAGTTTTGTATGTATACCTTTTCATGGTTGAGGGTTGGTTATTTGGAATCTGGTATTGCCAAAAGTAAAGTTTTTTCTAGAAATACTGCATAATCATGCGAAATTTGGTGGCTCAGGGTATGGCGTCCGTCACAAAGTTTTTTTCAAGTTGCTGGATACACTCAGGGTTTCGAGTATTGCAAACTTCTACTTATCCTTAGAAGATATGCAGGGATGAGTATAAACTTTATTTAAAGAGACATACATCTGAGATATCTTCAATTACTTTGAATCTTGTTCCAAATCAAATACTTCTTGTTCTCTGGATCATTATATTCATCGTTATCTGTATAAAACTTATCTAGTCGTTCATTACCCTTCCTTCATACTGTGATGTTCGGAAGAACAGTCTGTATCTTCTAAGCTTCTAGTAATTCGTATAGATTTCTTTTATGTTCACGAGATTATTAGTTGTTCATGTGAGATTTCAGTAGCACTTATGAATGAATTGATTATTATGAACACATAAATTAAAACAATAATTAGCATATCAGCGTGCCTAATCTTCAAAATCAAATCGACTTCTAAATGATTGTTCAGTATTGTTAGATATCTTAAAGGCTTTAGTCTTTGTATTTTGTAGAACTGAGGAAGATGAGCCCATTTGATAACAACCTATCTGTCAATAATTTCATCACAATTTTCTGATGTTAGATGTGTACATTCTTCGCTAAGGCAATCGATATGGAACCATTAATGCAATTTAAATAGAGCAATCCCGTTTGAGATGTTCATCTGTAAAAATTTATAATTCAGCTACTAAAAATATCAGGATTTGGTAAATAAATCGGGTATGTTAACGGTTGCTTTCAAAGGCCTTCTCAAGAAGAAAGTTAAGCTGCTTCTCGTTCAGCTGTAAACTTGATAAGCTCCTCCAGACAACTTATCATTTAATTTCTTCAATTAATATGGAGACTTTTCCATGGAAAAAGAAACGGTTTAATTAATATTTTGATAAGTTTAAAATTAATCTTTGGCCAAAAAATGAAATAGATTTATTTCAAAATCTGGGGTAACGCAGTGGTAACGCAGATGATGCTTATCGTGTTAAGGGGGTGCTTAATTTCTGGACTATTGAACTCCGAACGCGTTATATTTCTATAAATAAAGAAATGCCTGCTTTTTGGTTTTTTAACGAAAAAATGTCTGAAGATAGTCCGGATTGTGAAATTTGGGACAAGAGAACAAACGAACTGGTTCAAAAAATTAGAAATACTGAAACGAAAACTTCAACCAACCGATCTATTACAACAACCGGTAAAACTACTAGTGAATACATAAATCAAGAAAACGCGTCTTTTTCTTTTCAGCCAAAAAATGAACGTTCAAAAAACACTATCAAGACTCGATTAAAACAAAATAATACTAAAACTACACGTACTATTTCAACTACCAAAACACGAACTTTATTTTCATTTTTTGCGCCAAAAATATCATCTAATAGGACGACAGAAAATAATGATAATGATATAAATATTAATATTGAACAGGAAAAGAATTTATCCGATAATGCTATTAAACGTGTAAAGTATGATAATGAATCAATGATTAAAGTCGATAATGAAATAAATGATAAAAAAAGTTCTATACACATACCATCAAAATATTGGAATTCGGTTAGAGAAAGTCGGCAGCAATCAGATGATAAGAATGAGAAACAAAATGAACCATTTCCTTGTGAGGAAGAGTTAAATTTAGCTATGAATGAAATAAGTGAAATGGTCATTATTGATGATAATTCGACTTCTTGTCCTATTTGTGGAATATCTTTGAAAAATTTTTCATATAAAGCGAGTATATTTTAATCAAAAAAAAGCAAAAAATTTTTTTTTAACGAGAATTTGTTTATTTTTACAGAAATCAAACGAACACATTAATAACTGTATCGATAGTCCATTAAAGTTGTCCGTAACAAAAAAAAAAATATTCGACAACACTGAATCATCATTACTGCTTGAGCCACAAAATCCTTTATTCAGCATAGATGAAAAAGGATCAACCAATATACTAGACGTTGAACAACCTGAAGATAATGAATTAGTTATTAATAAGAAACAAGATCGGGTTGCACAATCTAAAAAAGAATGTCCATGGTATAAAAAGCTTCCAGGTATATTCTTTTAAAAAACCACTTTACTAAATAGTATTTCTTATTTATTATAAACTAATTATGTTAATTAGACACAAGTATAACAGTGGATGCATTTAAATATGGCAAGATTCCTCATTGCACTGCCTACTTTTTGAGGTAATATAAGAGTAGGGTTTGGTAATTTTTTTTTAAGAATCAATTATTTATTTGGTTATATTTTTGGAAGTCACTTCCATTCAGATCATTATAATGGATTAACCTCAAAGTGGTCTAATGGATTGATTTACTGTTCCACAGTTACCGGTAATTTGGTAATCCAAAAATTAAAAGTGGCGCGTAATTTTGTTCGTAAACTTCCTATGAATGATGAAGTTAGCATTGATAGCAACAATGATATTACGGTTACTTTGATTGATGCTAATCAGTAAGTTCAATTTAACTTTTTTTTTGAGATTTCGTTCATCATATAATGTTAAATACGTTTCTAGTTGTCCCGGATCAGCACTTTTTTTGTTCAAATTGAAGGACAAGAGTGGCCGAATCAAGCGATATCTTCATACTGGAGATTTTCGTGCTTGTCCTCGACAAGTACTTCATTCAGCAATCGTACAACCTCAAAATCCTGCAATTGACATTTTATATCTTGACACTACTTACTTAAATCCACAATATTGTTTTCCTGCTCAAGAACAAGTTGTTAATGCTGTGATTAAACTGATTCGCAAAGCAATTAATAGGGGTGAATTAATTCCTATGAAACGTAGTAGTGGTTATAATGGTCAATGGAGAAATAAGCAACCTCGATTGGACAAGTCACAACTTGCATTAGATAAATGGTTTAAAAAAACATCAACAGATTCTAATAAAACTGAACAATTAGAAAATGTGACAAATGCAGAAGACATTGCGATGGAAGATGAATTTCAACATGAAGATAATGAAGATAATGATGATATGGACATCGATGAAACGAAATTAAAGAATAGCAAAATTTTAATTGTAATTGGTACATACTTAATTGGTAAAGAGAAGGTCTTTTTTGGTAATTAGACTTATATGAATGTCCTCTTTCATTTTATTGAAAAATATTAAGCGATTGTATGTTATTATAGGTATAGCAAAAGCCTTTCGATCAAGGATTTACGTTACAGATGAGAAGCGAAAAATGCTTATGTGTCAGGAAATTCCCGGTATAGAATCACTTTTGACAAACGATCCACATCAAGCCAGCGTACATGTTGTCTCTCTTATGTCAATAAAATCCAGTGTAATTTTTACATTTCACTTACTGCTGATTTATATTTTAAATCTTGTTAATGAATATATATAATATAATATAGAGTCTTTTTGCATATCTTGAAAGTCTTAAACCGACGTTCAAATATGTAATGGCTTTTCGTCCAACTGGATGGGCATATAAGGGACAAAAATTTTCATCATCATCTACGACAGAAGAAATTCTTAATACTTCTACTCCATTCACCATTGATTCTATAACACCAACTTTTTCTACATCAATATGTCAAATATTTGGTGTACCTTATTCCGAACATTCAAGTTTTAGAGAGCTAGCTGCTTTTGTATTGTCATTGAATATAAGAAAAATTATACCTACAGTTAACATTGGGTGAGACTTTATTTTGAATATATTTTGTTTGAATTCAACCCTTCTCTTTAAAACCACTTCTCTCTTCCTTTTCCTTTCTTTTTTTTTTAAAAAAAAAACTCCCTCATTCTTCCTTAAAAAAAAAACCTCTATATTATTTTGATCATGTATTTATTACTACCATTTTCTTCAGATCTGAGAAAAGTCGGGAAAACATGAACTATTGGCTTGATAATTGGCAGAAGGAAAAGGATAAGAACAAGAATATTAAAGTCGTGCCATATAATACTGTGGATCATTGGTAATTCGTTTTAGATTTAATTACGAGAATAGACCATAGAAAAAAACAATAAATTTAAATTTGAAAATGGAATTTTAATTTATAATATCACGTGATACTGTTTCTATGTTCTCTCTCTCGAAATTCAATTTCATCACAGCCAAAGTTTGTTATAGTGAAGCTCATTATAGTGAATTTGGCTTATAGTGAACTATTTTATCTCCTTAGTTTCGTTATAGAACCTACTGACAAAATCTCGATATTAGATATAGTGAACTTTTTAAAAATATTTACTACAGTCAAAGCTCGTTATAGTGAACTTTCCGTTCCACTATGTAATTTTTTCCCTTTTTTTCACTATAACGAGATTTATTAAGAAAATTCACTATATCGAGAGAAATTAATTATAAGGAAAAAAAATCAATAGGTCACTATAACGCGATTTTACTTAATGTTCACTATAACGAGATTCACTATAACGAGCTTTGACTGTATAGAACAAATATTATAAATTTATAGTCTTTATAGTGAATAATATCATTCAGTGATGTAAATTTAGGCGCAGCGTCAATTTCATATTATTGAAAGAGGGTGAGCGCTCTGCGTATACCACGAATAGCGCAAAATTTGCTAAGATCATCTTATAATTATATGATATGTAATTTAAGTCTAATAAATTTGTATAGCAAATTTGTATTTTATACAGAACATGAAGACATTTAATGATGATACTTTAACTTTGGAAAAGCATACAATACCTAAAAGCAAGGCGGATGGGAAAAGTAAATTTTAATTTCATTAGTAAATTGTAAATAAACATTTCTACTTTTTTTTAGTGGGTAGGACATGTAACATTTAACATTCTAGTATAAATTTTTTTACGCGTTTTTATTATATTACTTTATATATAAAGAGCGTATAATTAGATATGCACACTTTTAAACATAAATTAAGGGTTGACCAATCTGGTAAAAATAGTTAGTTAGATTAAAAGAAAATTAAATTTACAAAATCTTATTTTTGGCTAAGAAATTAATTCATTCCAATAGTACCTTATCAGATAGAAATTATAAGACATGATAATTGAAGAATTAGAAATACCGTAAATGCTATTAGTAATAAAAAAAGCTTCGAATAATTTAGAAAAAAATAATCATTTTTAAAATCCACTAATAACATTATAATTAATAAAAATTAAAATTTTTTTTATTTTGTATCAATATAAAGTTTACTATAAAGAAATCTTTCTTTTTTTGTTATAGTGAACAAAAATAGTTAGAACCGAGGATTCGCTAATTTGGCATGATTTTTTAATAATTTACTTTGCTGTAACTAGGAGTTCTATAAGTAGACAAATTTACTTGTTCTATTTAGCTTGACAAAGGTTGTCTATTTCTTCCGAGGTTAGTTTTTTGCTGAGTCCTACTTTTATGTTTTCCAAGAATTCAATAAATTCTTTTGGATTAGTTGGAAGATTTTTAAAAAATGCTTTTAGTTCATTATTTCTTTTATTTCGCTTAGCAGAAAATTTACTCTTGCTTTTCAGTTTTTCTTTGGCAGAGTTAATTGATTGTTCTGAAGGTGGTTGTTTCTTGCCAGAATTATTTGGTTGGTTTGGATTTGTCTTTGGTAAAGTTGTTTGTGGCGGAATTGGCGGACTCAATTTTAAACCAAAATTTTTTGCTAAATTACATTGCGGACACTCCGGATTTTCTACTCTCTGGCACCAAGGGCATACCATATTGTAATAATTTATTTTTTTTTTTTTTTTACAGTATAGGTAAAAATTGAATCGAAAAGTTCGGATAAAAGGCTTCTAATGGACTTTTAAGAACTTTTTTAAGGAAAATTAAAATACTACATTATATATTTTGTTGCTTCCAGCATGCACATGTGCAATTTTTAAAGGAAGGTTATGCACAATGAATTCTTTATATTTTTTATATTTCTTTATATGAACATAAAAAGGAATTTCCATGCGCACAAGAGATTTTATACACTGTTCGATATTCAATAACTAATAATTAATTTATTTAAAGTTAATAAGAAGCCTTCTTGGCTCAGTTGGCAGAGCGTCTGCCTAGTATGAAATATGTTAGCAGAAGGTCGTCAGTTCGATTCTGGCAGAAGGCAATTATTATATTAAATCTAGTGATCGCATTTGAATCTGGATTGTTTTTTTATTTTATTTTATTTTATTTTATTTTATTTTTCATATGTAAATAATTTATTTGTGAGAGAATCATCGTTAAACAAATAGATTAATAAATATAATCGGTTAAAAGTTAATTTGACTTTGAGATTAAAAAGTTTTGCTTGTTACACGACAACTTATATTCAATTATAAATTTATCCGCAAGATTTAAAGGAAATGAAATAATAATAGAATAATAATTAATATATTCGATATTAAAAAATTTACGAAAACAATTTATTATGTTTATCAAAATTTTATGGTTAAAAAAATTCAATTTATTAAATTATTAATTATTAAATGATTAAACACAACATTTTCATCGTTTCATCATTATGATAAATGATAATGAAGTTAAATAACAAAGAAAAAAAAAAAGTATATTAATTTTAATTTATGTTTAATTTTTAAGATTAATATACAGTTATATACTTGTTATAAAGGAAAAAAATTAATATATACAGTATATACTTGTATAAAGGAAAAAATTTACTTATATTTATATGTGGAACATGTGTTCAATTGTTGTCATGTTTCTAATCGGAATAAAGATTCACCCTTTTAGGTTTATTTTTAGTAAGATCTACAGTATTTAATAACCGACACAATACAAATTAGGTTTGTAACAAATTGTTTACATAAAAAAAAAAACACTTTCTTATAATGGAATCAACGAACGCATCTGTTGAAACAGAAGTAAAAAATGGAGAAATAGATGACGAATCAACTTTTATGAACGATATTGAAACAAGGAAGGCAATATATGGAATATGTACAGAATGTGATAACCCTTTCACAGGAGATTCATGGTGTCAAAAATGTAATGCTAAAAGATTTAAAGAAAATTTTAAAAATTGGACCAGTGGAAATAAAAATATTGATGAATTTATTCAAGAACAACAACTTAATGCAGTACATTGGACAAGATGTTGTGAATGGATACCTTTTGAAAAATTTCAAAATGTTACATATATTTCTAGAGGTGGTTTTGGTAAAGTTTTTAAAGCTAATTGGTTAGAAGGTTATATTCGTAGTTGGAATGTTCAAAAACAAAAATGGAATAGGTATAATAATCATTCATATAAAGAAGTTGCATTAAAATGTTTAGATAATTCAAATAATATAAGTAAAGATTTTTTAAATGAGGTAAGTAAATTATAAATTTCAATTTTAAAAATATATATATATATATACTAATATAATATCTTATAATATTAAGGTTAAAACTTATTATCAAATTTATGGAAGTAGTTATATCGTTCAATGTTATGGAATAACTAAAGAACCAGAAACTAATAATTATATGATGGTTTTACAATATTTTTATAAAGGAAATTTACGTGAAAATTTACATAAATTATATAACATCAATTATTCCGAAAAACTTATGGTTTTACATCAAATATCTATTGGACTTAAAAATATTCATAATGCTGGAAAAGTTCATAAAGATTTTCATTCAGGAAATATATTATTTGGAAATAATGTATCTATTAGTGATTTAGGAATGTGTCAACCAGCCGATTATCAATCAGAAGGGGATGATGGTATTTTTGGAGTATTACCTTATATAGCTCCAGAAGTTATACGTGGACGTCAATATACAAAATCATCTGATATCTATTCATTTGGAATAATAATGAATGAATATTTATCTGGTGTAGTACCTTTTAATAATATTTCTCATAATTTTAGTTTAGCTTGTAATATATGTAAAGGACTTAGACCAGAAATTCCAGATTATCTTCCAAAATTATTTGCAGAATTAATTATGAAATGTTGGAATGCAGAACCAGAAAATAGACCAACTGTAGAAGAATTATGTCGTTTAATAAATGAATTAAGATTAAAATTGGATTATAAAGATGCAGAAATTTGTAATCAAATAGAAGAAAGTGAAAGAATTAGATTTAATGAACAAGTTAAGAATAAATTCAAACAAGTACAACATCCTCAAGCAATATATACCAGTAGATTTTTAAATTATAGAAGTCTTCCAAATCCAATGACATCTTCATATAAAATTTCTCAAGGTAATTTATATATAATTTAAAAAAAGTAAAATAATAGAAAAATATTTATGTTTAACTTGTATAATGTATGATTGTTTTTGTAGATATTATTCAATTTATATCAACAAGTCAAAGTAAGTAATAAATATATAATAAAAATTTTTTTTTTATGATCATTAAAATTATAATTTTTAACTAAATAGAATTCATTTTTTATAGATTCAGAAATTCAATTTATTGAACAAGAGTTAATTAAGTAATAATAATATACTTTCTTTAAAATGAAAAATTAATATAAATTATATTCAAAATTTGTTAATTTACAGATTATATATATTATTATTTTATTGGATCAAATATTTTTCTCTTCTGTTTTTATTATTATTATTATTATTCATATATATTTAAATTAGCATATTAAAGCAGTACTTTTATTATGATACATTTAAGTGCGATAATCGTGTTTAGTTATTATTATCGCTATATATATACGACGATAATGATCAAGTAACGTTTAACATTATTAACAATTTATTGCTCTACGATATGTAATATGAGTATTAATTCATTTAATTATTCTATTCACCATTAGCATCTTTTCATTCGTGACTCATTCTTAAAAATCTTTAGTAACTGCTTTTCAATTTCTTCTTCAGTTCTTTTACTTGGTTTTCCTAATGTCTATGCAAGAATTAAGTTGTTTATTCAACTAGTCCAATTCTTTTAACATAATAGGGTTAATACATTATTAATACCAATCCACTACGTATTCATATAAACCAATTCATTTGACAGGATTAACTATTCTTTTGAATGTTTGTATCTTAATTACTAAATTGTGATTTAATAATTTTCTTTAATTGTTATAACTTTTGGCATCTGTCTTTATTTTCTTATGTACTGTACATCATCCACCAAATCAATCTTTTCTAATAGAAGAAAGTCACAAGAATGATAAGTCAACATTTAAATATTATAATTTATTAGTTCCCGGTAAAACTAATAAATAAATCATTATTAATTATTAAATAAATATGCTAATATTCACTTAATATTATTAATATTGAAAATCTATTAAATCTATTAAATTCTTTGAAGTTTCTGTATATATATATATATACATTCTTAATTACTGTTAATTAACGATTGTTTTATATTTATGCATTGTATCGTACATGTACTGTACATATATGTATATAATTAATAATTTATAATGTAATAATTTGATTATATAAATGCGTAAAATTAAAATCATATGAAATTAGCGTTGTACAACTATTCCAATTACGGTACATTAAAAAAAAAACGAAAATTTTTTTATTAGTTTATGCAACAAGGATTATATAAAAAAAATCAATCCATGTTTTAAAGAAAAGAGACTAGTATATAAAAAATGGATGAAGAAACTTAAAAATCGTAAAATCCAACGGGATAAACTGTTGTAATTGCTTTTAATCTTTCTACTACTTGATTTATGTTGGACGATTATCTAAAAATAAAGTATAATTAAAGAGAGTTTGATGAAAAGGTTTTTATTTTAAAAAAAATATTACTTTTAATTAATTTCATCAACTGCCTTCTTCTTGTTTGTTTATCGTGCGTTATTTTATGTACTCTTTAAGCCCCGAAACAACCTTACTCTTCACATGAGAGCAGGGCTTGGACTTAATTCGACATATTTTTCTTCATCACTGCTCTAAAAAAATGTTGTTGAATATTCTTTTTTTCTTTTAATAAAAATTCATAAATTTACCTTTGGATTCTCTTCATTGCTGACTAAACTTGAAAGGTGTTAAATAAAGGATTTCAAATTTGGTTTGCCAAATTTGCGCGAGTAAATTGATAGATGTCAGAATCGCCTGTGTCACTTCAAAATCAAATAAAGATATAATTGGAAGGATCGACGACGATCTGTCCTACTATATCACTATATCAACTTTTTACAATTTTTTTTTTTTTGTGTCAATTTTCTCACACCAATTAGAGATTTTGATAGATTTAACAGCAAAAATAACTTTTTTAACATTCAAGCTGATTAGTTACTTCATTTGATGAGTCAATTTTTTTTTTTCGATATTAAGCTACCATATAGGTATCAATGACCTAAGCATTTTTATAGGTATCATTATTAACTTAATATAGATGATATATCGTTTTATAACTTTGTTCTCAAAAATGATTAATATCTTATTAAAAAAGCAAGAAAGTTGTAATGTATCAGAAATAGGCAAATAGCATACGGAGAGATTGTAAAGTCTTGTATTGTACTGTACATTTTCTTTGGAAATAATTTTTTTTTATGTTCATTAAGCCGTAAAAGCCGTTTTGCAGAACAAGTTACAGGAAATATTTTAAATAACGAAAAACTTGTACTATTATTTAATACTAACAATATAATGAAGTGAAAAGTTTTTGTATCTATCTAAAAGGTTGCAAAACATCATATTTTTTTACGTAATAATCTGTTATGCATCTATTACGAAATGTCGATAAAATGAAATATTTTCGTAAAAATACATATACATACATATGATATCATGCATCAGTGTACTACTGTTCAATTTTCACGTTAATTAATTAAATGCTTGCGAAGTGCGAACATATTGAACATATTCTTGTAGTATGTGTTGTATGTGTTATAATAAATTACGGATAATTGGATAATTTGCCTGTTAAAATGTCCAAGATATTTTATGTGCCTATAAATGATTTAATGACCGTTTTTTAACTTGTCGCAATGAGATCTTTATAAATTCCTTGGTAATAGAATTTTCGAATTAAATATAATTATTTTGTTTTTTTTATTCCTATTTATATAACTTTACGATCATTATACGATCATTAGGATCATTATCGAAAAATCTATTAGAAAGAATCAAGATTCAAAGAGAAATTAATAGAATGTATAATATATATATATATATAAATTTTATTATTATTAAAGAAATACATAATAATTATTTATCGAGAATAAAATGTATGATAATCTATTATTAATTCTATAAAGAGAATAAAATAAACATTTTTATTTTGTCCTTCCCTTAGAATAACATAATAATACAAAATATATGTTTTAAACCAATACTTAATAATATATATTGTATATTACATGAATAAATGGTATAAATTTTTGGTAATAAAAATGTTATTAATATTTCTTAAAAATGATTGAAAATGATATTAATATTATTTTATTTATTATGAACTTTTGCGGTGGACAAAAATCTGTTTGATAATCTTATTTCAAACCGGAAAAAAAAATTCCTTTTTTTGACATTTTTGAGGAAAATATTTTTCAATCTTGTCTTGCTGATTAAAATTGGTAAAAATATAAATTCTTTTGAGAAAAAAAATTTTAATTTGCTGGTAAAAAAAAAAAAATTCCTATATTTTCAAAAACTTGTTATATGAGTTATATGAGTTATATTTAATTAAAGTAAACTGTTTAACATTTTGTATTAATTGTTACTAGAACTGGGTAAATTTTCACAGTTAAATTAGTTAGCCTATAGGACTAAGTAAAAACTATGAATTGTTCTTGATTGTACAGAAAAAAAAAGTTCTAAAATTTCATTTATATATAGTTTTTTGATTTTTTTTACATACAGTATATACATACAGTATAGATATATAGGGAGAGAGAGATAGATTGGTAGATAGATAGATATTTTTAAGTTTTACTGTCCATCCATGATTCCAAAGACACCAGCTTCAATACCATCTCGTTGTCGACGGTGATACTCACAACGTGCCTTATCCTTCAACTTAGCTGCAGATCTATTCTCAAGGATTTGTCCTTTTTCTCCATAATTCTTCTTTATAGTTGTCCATTGCTTTCCATGCTGACGCATGCCTTCTTCAAGTGCAAGCAATTCCCGGTCAGTCCACATAACCTTGACTCGTTTTGTCATTCTTCTAGTTTCATCATTGTCGGCATAGTCAGCATTATCTATTGCTTTTCTCTTGCCAAGTTTATTCCTAAAAAAAAAAATAATAATACAGAATTGGTTGTTTATGAACATTTGTTTAATGAAATAATATATGGAATAATAAATAATACCAACCTGGAACTACCTTCGTTTTGTTCATAAGGTGGACTTCCTTCTGTAAATGATTCATCTGAAGATGATTGTCTAAATATACCATATACGTTAGATATTAATTTTCGAGCAAAGTTAAAATATTTTAACTTACCTATCGTTTACTGATTCAGGTTGATCCACAATCATATTCGTCAGAGAACTTGATGAACGCTCCATTGTTTTTCGCCTAAGAAAAAAAAATCATTCAATGTTAAAAACTTGGAATAATTTAAAAAGTTACTATAATAAATCAATTTTCGTACGTAGAGAGTGTTGCCCTTCTTCCATTACTATTTGCTTTATTATCACGTTCACTTCTTCGTTCACTTCTTGGTGTTCTTGGACTTTATATTAGAAAGATAGTAATTTTTTTTAATTAAATATAATAAAAATCGAGAGATGATTTCAAAAAAATTTTTACTCACTTTAAGGTGGAACTAAGTGATTCACCATCACTATTAAGTAATAAACCACTTTGAGTGCGTTTCAATTCCGTGTCAACAATTAATTCAATTGATTGACCGTTATTTTGTGACGTTATTTGTTCTATTTCTTCTTTTTTTAAAATAGAAGAAGAATCAACTAAATTATCATCTATATTATCGCCTATATTATCGCCTATATTATCGCCTATATTATCGCCTGTATTATCGTCTGCTATATTATCGCCTGTATTATCGTCTGTATTATCGCCTGTATTATCGCCTGTATTATCGCCTGTATTATCGCCTGTATTATCGCCTGTATTATCGGAAGATATATCATCATCATTTTCTTCAGTACGTTTCTTTGCACTATTATCAACATCTTCTCGTGGTATATCTTCAATAATAACAACTCTAGCTGAACTATTTGATGATGATGATGATGATGATATGGGTAGAGCTTCGATTGAGGGATATTTATATAATAAAGGCATTTCAGATTCATTTACCCTATTGAATATATTGGATAAACATTTAAACATATCTTGAACGAATTTACTCCATTTAAATTCTTTCATCAACATTTCAACATCATCGGAGAAACGTTGAATTTTATTACAAATTTTTTTATATGTTTCCTTATACATTGGTGGACCATCTTCACCATCAACATTTGGAAACATGGTTTTGTATAAATTTCTTTGTGGATTTTTATTAATCTTAGAAATATAAATTTGAACTCTCAAATTAATATCTAAATCCCAGATCGTCTCAGATTGCATCAAAGATGGAGGTACGACATAACTAAAAAAAGATTTAATATCGACATTTTGAAGATCCGGTACAGTAGGATCAAAATTTGCGAATAATAAATTGAAAAACTGGGTAATATTTGGACGTCTTATAATATTATATAAATCATTTTTGTTTGATATTGCAAATTTGTTAATATCTATAAAATCTGAAGATTTTAATAAAGATTTTTTGACTTCAAAAAAACACATGCATTTTTTTGTTGCAATCCATTTCAATTGTTTGATTGTGGAAGGCGAACGATTGTTGATTTCTTTTTCAAAATATTTTAGTTGAGCAGCTAAAGACTCATAAGCTAACGTATCCAAGATATGTAAATATCTTAATAATTCATCACTTTTAAAGAAAGTAGCGTTACCAATCAGAAACTCAGGCGATTTCTCAGTCATCACGTAAAAAAAAGGAAAAAAAGGGAAAAAAAGGAAGTCTAATGAGAAAAGTAATAAAGATTCGTAAAAAAAAAAAAATTCTGTTAGAGGTAATGAACAAAATTAAAAATAGTAATAATACAAAAAAAACCAAAAGAAGGGAAAAAAAAGTTCTTTTCGTCGGTAAAGAAAACATTTGATACTTATATAACGAATTGGAGGGGTTGTAAATCCAAGCCACGAGGATCATTATCACAATCACAGTAGATTTTTATGGTTTTATGACACGTGTTTCCGCGTGATGCGGCGTAGTATTTTAATATGACCTACTTTTCATATATAGTATACACGTATGATTTGATTTCGATTGAAAATTGGAATCATCAAGGTTTAAAAAAAGAACATCAATTATCAATAATCTTAGATTTGTGCAAAAAAAGCAAAAAAGACGCGTCTTTTTTCATCAATAATCAGTGGAATTACTTATTATAATGTTATAATCTCATGTATTATTATAATTATTTATAAAGGGTAAAATGATTTCATAGTCATAATTCAACTTAATTTTTTTTTAAGTTGATTAATATGTTTACTGTATATGATATATTGATATTTATTGATATTGTCGTATTCATAGAATATTAATTATAATTAATTAATTATCCGGTTAATCAATAAGAAAAATCTTTTGTTTCTAAAAAAAAAAGAAACAAGTATGATAAATTGATAATATTACCTTCTTTTTTTTAACTAATTCATGTTCAAGTTTATATAGGCGTCTTCATTCAATTGATTCAAGTTTAAAAAATGATGATGACAATTATTAAATTATCATACATCAATATGTCAAATGACATTTGTTTTTCGTGAACCCAAAAATATCTTGCAGATAATAAGATTTAATCCTGTCATCAACAAAAAAAATATTATTGACAACAAGAAGCAAAGCCACTATATTGAGCATTTATGTCATAACAAACAATATTTTAAAATTTAGCGATTGTTTTTATTTAACATCGCCTAAATCTACTGGGAAAGGTCAATTCCCAAATAGAATTAATATTATCTGTAAGATTTCCACTTATTGGTTCATTTAAAATTATAATGATATAATTCAAAGATAGTTTCATCAAACCCTGGGAAAAAAGAAGAAAAATCAATTTATTAATAAATTGTTCAAAACTTTTTAATAATTTCAAAGAGTAATCTGTTACCAGAAAATAAAATAATAATTCTGAGAATCTTTCCAAGAACTCGATATAATTTGTTTACTAGAATACACAAAGAAAATCTTTTTAGGTTTCGAAGATTGTCGTAAAAAAGAAGAAAAGATAGATTTTGTCATACATACAATAATAACACTCTTATGCAATAGTTTGATCTACATAAAGTCTGTGAAAGGGAAAAAAAATTCATAATCACATTAATCAAGAAGTAAACAACATATGATTAACAGAGATTGCAAGAGTAGGCGTACTCAAGGCTAAGCAATTTAAACATTAGTTTTCTATTGTAAAAGATTAAGGTTTTAAGGTGAGAAATTATTATGATCATAAGGTTAAATAAATGAACTTTATTACTTAATCGTACCTTGATTCTACTTTTGGCAAGTAATATTTTGGAATAATAACCGGAGTTCAAAAATCTCACAAAGAATTCAATCTGAGATCTGGAAAATCATTACGATATAAAGAACAAAGAAATTTAACTTTAAACGCCGTACAATTTACAGTACACATGGTAATTTTTTAAAAAGCTTAAAAAGGAAAATGTTTACGAACGGCATTATCGAAGATTTACCATACCCAATTAAACTATGCACGTGGAATCTCGAAAAAGAATTTTCTTTTTTATACTTTGAGTATTTTTAAATATAATTTTTCTGCACTTTTATCATAAATAGTTATAAACGTTCGACTAAATATTAACGTGGCAATTTGAACGAAAGGTAGTTTTTACCAAGTGTTTGTATTACCAGAAAATTGTTTATTGAAATTTGTTCAGAAGGATGGATTGAAAAAATTATTAGTTGCGTCCTAATTAGTATTCATATAAAACAAATCGCTGTTAGATATTAAAAAGTCTAGACATACTGTATCGAGTTCCTTTGTAATCACTTTTCATATTTTTCCCCTCAATATTGTGATGTGGTAGAATCTTTAGATATTTGTAATTCTGGTTAAAGTTTCGAACATTCTCATTAGACAATATGTATTTAATGCCTTAAATGTTAATTCAAGTGGATAAATTTGTATACCGTTCTCGATCCTACTGGATTTGAGACGTGTCGAGAAGTTGTGACCCTTTCCTCTCTTTATTAATCATTTTTCAAAAGTAAAGGTAAAAAAGTTACTTAAAAAAATGCTATTATATTCCGATAATTTAATGCAAAAGATAGCATTTAGATTTGAAAGGTTTTTTTGCGTAGGCATATAAGGATGAAATAAATATCTATTAAACAAGGTTAATAATGAATGCTGTATCATAGGGTACTCGTGTTTGAAAATAAACACTCTTTGAGCTTTATTATGTGTGCACCGTTTCGCAAGTTACACGGGTTGTAAAAGAAATCAATCGACGTTTTTATTATGTTGAATTTTTAACAAATAATGAATTTTCATGGTAAATATAAAGAATATTATATGAATAAAGTTAGTAAATTATTAAAAGATACAGTAATTACAGTATGTTAGTAAGCAAGTACCTTTTTTCGATAAGATGACTTGTAAGTTGATAATAATACATCAATTTGTGCATATTCATTAATAATATTAATATTCGCAACAGTACTTAATGTTTGCGGTTAATATTGAGGTCGATATTTTCTCGATTCTTTTAATGAAAAAAAAAAAAATAATTTATTGAGCTTCTCTAAAACAAATGGAGATATTGAGGTAATTCTGCTTCATTTACTTCATTTAAATATTCATACAAGTCCCAATATCCAAATATTATATTCTCTTTACCACAATTCACAAAAATCGAATGTTCTTGTCAATTTTCAAAATTATAACTAAATTCAAGAGATGAAACATAATAACCATATTTCAAAAAAAAAAAACCAGTTTAATCACATCTTTATTTAACCTTTAGTCATAAACATCATTTAGATAAGTCGGTGCAAGTACATAATGAGTAGATAGAGTTTGCGACTAGATTTTTTTTGCCCAAAAGAAAGTGTTTATTTTTGACCTATTCTTTAATTTTCATTGTCATCAATAAGTCTCTGATAATTATTAAATAATTTCCTCTTAACTTACGAAGAGTCTTAAAGGTTTTCTAATATTTTTTCTTTCATATTTCTTTCATATAAATCGTAAAACATCAAGAATTATTTTGAGCCATCATTAATTTTCTGATCTTTTTTTTTTACTATGATTCTAGAATATCAAAGTAAAAGAAGAAAAACTAGCTCCCAAACCTACTGAGTCAATGGTTATGGTAAGTGGCTAGCTAAAAGCTCTTCATCAAATCCCATTTAATTAATGCATAATGCCAAATGAAAATGAGGAATTATTACTAGGAAGGGGAATCAAAGGTACAAGAAAAATTAGGAGATTCACCAAGACCAAGAAGTTGTGATAGTGAAACCGGAAATAGACGAAGCTACATGTTCATTATAACATTGACTAGTAAAACTCTAGAGATAACATGAAACAATTGATCTGTTATTAAAGAAGGCATACCGGCAGATTAATTTTTTGGCGGTAAAGTAGTTGATACATATAAACCACTTTAGCGCGAAGCCTTGCATTTTGTATTAGCATAGGACAGCTTGACCCAAGTCATACAAAAGTAAATGATAAAGGATAATATTTTGCTGATAAAATTTTTATGAAAAAATTTCGAATACATATATCATTTAGGAAAAGAATTACTCTCAATATTCCTGAAGCCCAATAGGCTAGGCTTGGTGTTAGTAGATTTCGCAGATTATACGTCCTTATGATAATGGTATCAGGAAAGAAAATTAATTTTGTAAATTGCTTTTTATTTTTAATATATTTTAAGTACCGTATACATTATTATTTGTTTTAGATAATCTGACCCAGATGATCTTGGCATTCTAAAATTTTAATACAAGATTACTATGTAAATATGTGAGGAATAAAGCAATTAAAAAAATTCAAACCGATATCTTCACATCCAAGGTATTTACTGCAAGTTTCTTTCCTTGGGACCATAAGTCAGCGATAAACTGTCTTTAGTCTTTACATAATACTTCGTGGTTAAGATTTGGTGAATATGAATAAGTGTAACCAACATAATTCGGCTGCAAGAGATCAGCAATGGTTAAATAACGCCTTATACGATTTATAATTATTAATAATCATGCATGATTAAATTAAATTACGCAACTATATTTTTTAAAACATAATTATAATTTAAATATTTATTTTCTTGAATAAAATGTATCTTTTATTGAAATTGCTCACTAGCTATAATATGTCTAATTGTCTAATAGATATTTTAAAAAGTTTATTAATTACTATTCTTATAGAATTTGAAATACTTGTAAAATTTAACATTTTTTAAGTATTTAGAATCTGATCGAAAAAAAAAAATAATTTAATAATATATATGGGTTAGCGCGTGATAAACAATATAATTGCATTACGGTTTAAATAAAAACTAATGTTAATAGAATATTAATTATTAATCATTAAATTCTAAATCCTAATTATCTGTTATTATTTTTACTCTATAATGTTGATTCCCTATAATTTTTTACACATTTAACACTACAAAATTTCAATTCGGATACTTCGAAAGGCACTAATTCAGAAAGAGATTTTCCACATATAGTGCAAACAACGTTTCCTATTGAGGGGAGGTTTATTGGTGTAGATTTTAATCGTGCTTCGGCAGCTCTGGCACGACGCTCTCTTTCAATTTTCATACGCATTTCGGGTGGTAATCCAATTAGTGAACTAGAACTATCAGGTGTTTTATTTGACGTTAATTTCTTTGACGACGCTGATATTAATGATTCTGATTTAGGTTCAATACTTTCAGTTACAGTTTTTCCCTCTAATTCTTTTTCTTTTTTATTAATTGTTGTTTTTTTCTTTTTTTCTTTATTCTTCTTTTTCTTTTCTTTTAGTTTATTTTGTTGTTCTTCTTCCATTTCTTTTGTCAAAGGACTAGGCACATGAGCGATAGTCCAATCCCACTTATCCATATGCTCTGCCATATATCTTCGAAATATATTACGTGTTTCTTTATCATTTGCTAAATCATAAGGTGTCACATTCTTTTTCGAAGTGATCGTTGGATCTGCTCCTTGATGTAAAAGATATTCAACAATATCATGATGACCCAAATATGACGCTAAGTGTAATAAAGTTGGTAATTTACTGTTATCATTCTCGGATATTGTTGTGATAGGAAGGAGCTCTGTAACGTCAATAGAATTTTTGGTGATATGGTTCACAAATAAATCAAATTTCCCTTTTTTTATAAGTTGAATCATCTTAATTACTTTATTAGATGCTTGTTCTAAATTATTCGATGATTCAACTGGTTCAACCGGTTCAACTGGTTCAACAGATTCTATTGGGGTTTCTTTTGATCCTTTTATTTCTTCTAATGATTCTATAACAATTTGGGAATTTATCAAGTTATTCTCTGTTAACTTATTTTTTGAAGGTTCTTGACTATCTTCATTTACTTTTACTTCTAAAACTTTTACTCTAGTTAGTTCTATAAAAGTTTTTCTTAACTCAGTAAAAGTCTAGAAAATAAACAAAATAAAAAAATATTAGCTTGTGTAAAAAATTTTGAAAACGAAAAATATCTGAGTAATTCACAAACCGGGCGTTTAGTAGAAAATGGAAAACTCCTAATTCTTCTATCATCTATCCAATAATATTAAAAAAAAATGTTAACAGAAAAAAAAGGAAATTCAATTTTAAATAAATATCGAAACATTACGTATACAAACCTTTCTTTAAAACTGCTCCTTCATAATTATAAATAATATTTTTGTTGTTACCAGGTGCATGAATAAAAATAAGTTCACTTTCTTCAATCATCGATTTCCACTGTTCAATTAAAACACGAATACTTTTTTGTAAAGCACTTTCATTATATCTTCTTAATTCTGCACCTGCAGATTTGGCTTTCCCTTTTGTATTATCATTGCTAGCCTGACTTCCGCCTTGCTTCCTACGTGCTTGTTTTGTAATGGAAAAAAAAATAATTTAAAATGACGAAATAAAATTTATACATTTCTATTTATACATTTAGTTATCCTTACTTGTGTATCGATGAAACGTTTTATGGACTATCACTTTAACTTCTTTAGCATTAGTTACTTTTGTATTCGCTGTAATATCCAAAATCAATGCTGCGAAATGACCACCTCTAATCATTAGCATTGTCCATAATCTTGGATTTTCTTTTTCATTTGGCTTGATTTGCAACTTGTGAATATCTTCAATAGCATTCTCTCCAAGATTATTTAGAATATTTTTGTAAATGCCTAAATTAATCGTCATTGGAGAGCACGAAAACCATAAAATTGGTTCAGCATTTTTTTTTTCAGGTGATTCATTATCATCTATTTTTAAATTATTTACACGCATTGTTATATCATCATCAGTTGTGTCAGAGTTTGATCCTGAGATACTTGATAAACTGTCTTTAAAAAAAAAAATATAGAAAATTAGTTTATAATAATTAACAATAAAAAAATTAAATAAAATTTCAATTTTACCCTACCACCCATTAATTCTTCAAATTCTTCTTCAGTTATTGGATTATATTTGTTTTTACCACGTTCTAAATTAATAGCACGCATTTTTACATTAAATCTATGCCAATCCAATTTATAATGTTCCCTTTGTTGTTCCACATTTTCAAATGATGTTATTCCACAAACGAAACATGTAGGTTTCATAAGATCATTTTCGTCATTTTCATTTTGTTCAGTAAAACTATCGATTTCTTTTATTTTTGTTATTGTTTCTGAATCTGATATTAATTTCGTCAAGGATCTTGTCGAATCTTCTCTTAATGTAATAGCTGATAATATTTCAGGTGGTAAAGAAAATATTTGTATTGGAAATAATAAGATCGTATTAATATCCATTATTTATTTAAAGATAAATACTTTAAGACGGGAAATATTTTTAATGAATTTATTTTATAATACGTAGAAAGAAATGAGGATGATTTTGCCTGCTCGACGTAAGCTTTTAATTGTTGTATCTCTCCTTTAGTAACAAAAGTTATGTTATCCTTGTAAATTTCGAGACACGGCTGTATATTTATACAAATGGAAGCGGCGTAGTATGATGATCGCTACGGGTCGGCGCAGGCCGCAGGAATGCAGGATAGCTGCGCAAAAGTATTGTTGGTCGTTTATCTTAGAATATTTGTCAAACATGATGTAATTTCGTGTTGATCAAACTTCAGCACGAGCCGCAGAATTGTACATTTTTACTGCGATTCCGCATTTTCTCTCCTTTTATTGTTATATAGTAAACGTTTATTTATCTAAAATCTTCTCCGGACAATATACGAAGGTCTATGCATAATGCAGTGACAAAAGTCTGTTGCTACGTGTCGTTTCTCAGACAACAGACGTATCTCCTCGATTTTACAGGCTTCGGATAGTGACTAGATCACGAGACTAATCAAATAGTATGACGAATAATGACTTTTATGATTTATTACACGCAAATGAATTAAATAATAAATAAATTTAAGCATTAAAGTAAAATTTTTTTTGCTATTTGTAGAAATGATTTTTTTTATTGTATTACGAAAAATTTTACATTATAAAACAAACTTGAAAATTCAAAGCATTAACAATTTGGCTTAATACAGAATTATTCATAGATTTAAACTTGTAAAAACATTTCACAAATAAACAATTTCATAATGACATACTTTAGTCAAGACCATTAACCTCTTCATAAATTGGTGTCAAATCAACATATCTGTCACCGAGATCAAAGAATAGGGTTGATCCTTTAGACATAGGCAGATCAATTGTAGTTGGTTGTAAATTTTCTTTATCTGACCCAGCACCGGTCATATCATCATTTTCATCTTGGTCTTTAATAAGGAAATTTCGCCTGCTAGGACTCAAATTCATTCTGGGAGATAAATTTGGATCTTCATAAACTTGATCTATATCCATATTTGAAACTAGATTGTTATTACCCAAAATATCATCACGTGATTCACAAGGTGAAACTATATCCTCAAACACTTTATTCTGATCATTTTGTATAATGGGAATTTGTATATCTGGACTATCTCCCAAAATATCGTCATCATATAATTCTTCTTGATCTTTAAAGGAACTTAACGGATATGACCCAATATCCAACATAATCTCTTGGGACTTATTCGTTAAAGCCGAATCATCTATGTCATCTACCTCATCATCATAAACTAACCGACGAGGTCTTAAAATATTATCTTTAATTGGTGAGTCCGTACTTTGGACAATTTCTTCCAATTCATTTTCAATAATTAAATCATTACCATTACCAAAGGTGAAATCATTACCAAAGGTTAGATCAATACCAGCAGCTGAATCATTACCAATAGTTAAATTATCACCAATGGTTAGTCGGAAAGGCGTAGCAGTTAAGTCTTCATCATGATTTTGGCTTATCAAATCTTCTTTGAGTTTATCCTCAAAACTCGAAAGCCTTTTATTTCGAGAAGCTGATTGAGATGGCGTATGCCAAAATTCTGATTCTTCATCAGCCAAAGTTTTTCCTGACAAGTAGTCATTTCTTTCATTTTGATTATTCTTGGCTTCTTCACGTAAAGTATCCAAATAATTTTTTAATCTTTTATCCTTACATACATTTTCGGATTGAGAAATAGCATCCTTGAATTTCAATTGAGGGCATAGTCCATGTGCCCAAGTTTGATAAAATTTTATAAGAGTTCCAAGGTTATCAATTGTCGCGTTTTTTGATTTTTTATGATTCATAAACTTTAACTTTGGACCTTGTTCTTTCAATTTTACCAAACCATCAGGTCCTACTAGCTTTTCATAGTCTACTTTAGGTAAAACGCGTCTTTTCTTCGCGGTTCTACCGCTCTTCTTTTCAGTTCTAGATGAAGGTTCTTGTTTCTTTGAATTTTCTTTTTTACTTTCCTCAAAATCCAACGCGTCAAAGTCGAAACCGGCAATTTTTCCTTTCTCAACTTCATAGTCATTTAGCTCTTCGTCAAGGTCAGAAAAGTTGTATTCGTTGTTATTTTTATCAATCTTCATTGTTAAGACTTGTCTTTTGAATGTTTTGAAGAATGTAGTACTAAAACGCGTCTTAAACTGAAGATTTAGAGATTATCATAAATAGCCTAAATAGCCTCACGGGGATTTAATCGACGTTAAATGAACAACCTTAATCACGTGATTTGCATAGTTGTACACACTATTTAAACTTTATAAACAAAGGTCTACTTCGGCTTAACTTTTCTACAGATCTAAAAATTTTTATTTACGATTAATTTAATTGAGCAACTTAATTCATATCATTTTTTACTTAATTTTCAATTTTTGTCAAAAATGTCTCAACCATCTGAGAGCGAAAACGACGATTTTGTTCACCAAATCGCGATCGAGTTGTCTAGAGCTTTGAATCTTATAAATCCTAACGATCTTTTAGCTAAGAATATCATTCAAGTGGCTAAGGATCATAAAAGTGTTGAAACGTTTATAAAAGGTAAATATATTTAATAGATCTTTTTTTATCTTGGTTTAATGTGTACTTACGTTAAATTTAAAATAGCTTGTCAGGGTTTTGGAAGGTTTAAAGACGATTTTTTGGCTGATCTATATACCACTATAAGGAAACGGTTAAAAGAAGAGTCTGATTCTTCTAGTCAGAAGGCTGATTTTTCTTCAATTTTTAACAATACCACAGTGTTAGGTGAAATATTAACCTCAACTGGCCCTTCAGTTGGTGGTCTGATCCGTCCTGGAAAACTAGCATCATCTGATGATGTAAGGATTAATTTTTTATGAGAATATAATTTTATGTCACAATCACTATATCGTTAATAAAAAATCTTTTTATATTTATGCAGAATCGTCATGTTTTTAAAGCCCCTGCACCAAGAACATCAGTATTAGGATTGGACAAGATAGCTGAAGAAAAAAAACGTGCTGCCGCAAATAAAGCATCAGAAGATGATGATAAGCATCCAGCAAAGAGAATTAATTTAGGAATCGCATCAGAATGGGATGAAGACTCTGTCAATACAACTGAGAGCGTTGATGATAGTAAATTAAGAGGTAAACTAGTTTTATTATTTTTTTCCAAAATTATTTAAACTGCCAATACCATTCCATAGGATTTCAATTCTGTCTTTTTGACCTAGGGTATGGCAATAATACTTATACTTTCACAAAAACAAATCAAAGGATCCTCCTCCGCTTTGAAATCAAATTATCGTAAAAGGACTGATGCTAATAGCGTACTGGATGAAGCTCGTAATAGGTTAGAAGAACATAAGAGGGAACGGGACCAATATACAGGTAAAAAAAAAGAAAAATTACTTTGATTTATAAAAGTTATTTTTATTTTTTTTTTTAACAAAAATTCACATATTTTAAATTAATTAGATAACCACCACAAAAAGTCACATCATAAAGATAAGAGTGATAGAAGGGATAGGGATGATGATTATGGTCGATACGAATCTTCCAGATCAAGTCGAAGGTCACCTTCAGTATCTTCTTCACGAAATGGTTCGTCGCCTTCTGTTTCGTCTAGTCGAAGATCCCCATCTGTAGTATCTAGCCGTAGTCGACGTTCACCATCTGTCGCATCATCAATTCGTGATGGTTATAGTAGACGCACTCCATCTACTACGTCATGGCGTGAGGGTTCAAGTAAACGATCATCATCTTTAAGTCCTTGGCGAGATTCAGATAGAAGTTCCTCTAGAATAAGTCGCAGTGAGTGGGACACCACACCTACAACTTCGACTTCAAGGTTTTCAGTTGGTGGTCTTACACCTCGAAAAGGTAAGATTGTTACTTTATGCTTTTGGACTTCATTATTAATGCTAATTTTTGACTGTTTTACAGATTACAAGCCACCCAGAGATTTTCCAACTCCACGCCTTGCTTCCTTCGACTACGATGAAATGGAATATAGAGATCGTTATAATCAAGAAGAGGAAGAAGATACTGGTGAAGATCGTGATAGGCTTGAGTGGGAGGAAGAACAAAAACATTTGGATAGAGAGTGGTATAATATTGAAGAATCATCGGGGGTAATGTTAAAACAAATAAAAATTTTATTCCTTGATTATTCGCAATTATTAATCTTTTTCTTTTTTTGCTTAGGCTCTCGATGAAGAGCACAATCCTTTCGCAGATTATACAGATTATGTAGTGAAAAAGGAGCAAGAACTTGCACAAAAACAACTTGTATGTATTGTAAAAAGAAACTTGTTTATCATATGGAATTTACTATATTTTTGTTTTATACTAACGGATTTTATTTAGAAAAAACTGACTGCAAGGCAAGAGCAGTATAACAGAGACAATGAGTTATGGGAAACAAATCGTATGCTCACTAGTGGTATTGTTCAACGAAGAGAAATAGATTTAGATTTTGAGGATGATTCTGAGGTAAGATTATTTAGCACCTTTTTTGAATTTTATTTATTTTTTTTTTATATTTTAACTTTATACTTATGTTTTGCAGGCTCGAGTTCATTTACTTGTTCACGATCTTAAACCGCCTTTTCTTGACGGACGCATGGTGTTCACAAAGCAATTGGAAGCTGTGCAATCCGTTAAAGATCCTACTTCTGATATGTCTGTTTTCTCTAGAAAGGGGAGCCAGCTTGTAAAAGAAAAAAGAGAACAAATTGAGCGTCAAAAGGTTTGAAGAAATTTTTATTCGTTTTTTTTATTAACGTTATTAAAACGAATTGTTTGCATTACATATTACACACTTAAATAGGCTGCAAAGAATGTTGCTGAAGTAGCAGGTACCGCACTTGGTAATATTATGGGAATTAAGCCAACTGAAGAAGATGATTCGGCAGGTTTGTATAATGAATTTTATTGAGTGATAAATTTGATTTTGATTTTATATACTTATTGGTTTTTTTTCTTTCAATATAGCACCGAGAACAAATGAAGTAGATATGGAAAATCCAAAAGGAGATTCACAGTTTGCTTCTCATTTAAAGGCATCTGAAGCAGTTAGTGTATTTGCAAGATCAAAAACTCTTCGCGAACAACGTGAATATTTACCGGCATTTGCAATTCGAGAGGAATTGTTAAGAATTATACGAGATAATCAAGGTATTACACAGTAACCATATTTTAATATCATTAATTCTATTAATATTAATCTACTGTACTGCGTTTTATAGTTGTCGTGGTCGTTGGTGAAACTGGATCCGGTAAAACTACACAACTCACTCAATACCTTCATGAGGATGGATATAGCAAATATGGAACTATAGGCTGTACACAGCCTCGTCGTGTTGCTGCTATGTCGGTTGCTAAACGTGTTAGTGAAGAAATGGAGGTAAGAATTATTTTTTATATAACTTTATAATTTCTGCATTTATTAATTTACTAATTCATATATAGTGTAAACTCGGAACTACAGTTGGTTACGCCATTCGTTTCGAAGATTGTACTTCAGAAAGCACCGTTATTAAATGTATATACATATTCCTTTTCTTTTTTCTTTTTCATTTTTTTTAAAAAGGGAGAATCTATATTAAATATTTGTAATTTTGTTCTAGATATGACTGATGGTGTTATGCTCCGTGAATCACTTAAGGAACCTGATCTCGATCACTACAGTGCAATTATTATGGACGAAGCCCACGAACGTTCCCTTCAAACAGATGTTTTGATGGGTTTATTAAGACAAGGTATTTGCCATAATATTATTGTAAGAACCTTATAATTCCCATAAAGTAGTATCTATAGCTAATTTCAATTTTGTAGTTCTTTCTCGCAGAAGGGATATTAAGTTAATCGTCACGTCAGCAACTATGAATGCCGAGAAGGTATGTATTTAAAGATTTTCATATTTTATAATTTATAACTAATATACCCTTTTTATTGTTATAATTATAGTTTTCACTGTTTTTCGGAAATTGTCCGACTTTCACAATACCCGGTCGTACGTTCCCTGTAGAGATAATGTTCAGTAAGACACCTTGCGAAGATTATGTTGATAGTGCTGTTAAACAAGTGTTGGCAATCCACTTAGGGCATCCCGCAGGTGATATATTAGTATTTATGACCGGACAAGAAGATATAGAGATTACATGTCGAGTGATTGCAGGTGAGTTCTCAAATTTTTTTTTTTTTTATTATTTTTAAACGTATGCTCTAATTACTTTATTGTTTATTTTAGAACGTCTCCAGCAATTGGATAACCCTCCCTCACTTGAAATTTTGCCAATCTATTCGCAATTACCAGCTGACCTGCAAGCTAGAATTTTCGAAAAGACAGCTAACAATGCTCGAAAAGTTATTGTTGCAACCAATATTGCTGAGACCTCTTTGACTGGTAAGTATTAAAGAGAAAATTGAAATACATTCCAATTACATTTACTTACTATAAATTCGTTATTTTTATAGTTGATGGTATCATGTATGTTGTTGACACAGGATATAATAAACTTAAGGTATTCAATCCAAAGATTGGCATGGACTCCTTACAAATTACACCTATCAGCCAGGTATGTTGAAGATTTCTATACATATAAAACAAAAATTTCCTACATGTTTGATTGACGATAAATTATAATTTGAAATAAAAAGGCAAATGCAAATCAAAGATCGGGTAGAGCTGGACGTACTGGTGCAGGAACTTGTTATCGTCTTTACACGGAACAAGCTTATCATCATGAAATGTTTATGAACACAATACCCGAGATCCAGCGTACCAACCTTGCAAATGTGGTGCTTTTACTTAAATCCTTAGGAGTAAAGAATTTATTGGATTTTGATTTCATGGATCCTCCACCTCAGGTAAAATATCAATTAATAAATAAATGAATAAACGTAATATTTATATTATTTATAATAATGAAATGTTCTTCTTAATTTTCAGGATAACATACTGAACTCGATGTATCAATTGTGGATTCTGGGTGCGTTGGATAATACTGGAGAGTTAACACCACTCGGTCGAAGAATGGTAGAGTTTCCATTAGATCCTTCGTTATCAAAGATGTTGATTACATCCGAGGAATTAGGATGTACGGCAGAGATATTGGTAATTAAGATTTTTTTTTTAATTAAAAAAAGGGGGGTTTTTATGTTGAACCTAAATTTAAATAAATTTAAAAATTTTTTATTAGACCATTGTATCTATGCTTTCTGTTCCATCGGTATTTTATCGGCCAAAAGAGAGAATGGAGCAGAGTGATGCTGCTAGAGAAAAATTCTTTGTACCTGAAAGTGACCATTTAACGCTATTACATGTTTATACACAATGGAAATCCCACGGGTAAGTTTTATTCATATATATTCTTCTCTCACACGCTCTCTCTCTCAAAAAAGAGTCTAATTTTATACTATCATTTTAATTTCAAGTTTCCGGGAAGAGTGGTGTGTGAAACATTTTATTCATTCTAAAGCTATGAGGAAAGCTCAAGAAGTGAGATCACAGTTAATGGATATTATGAAAGCGGAAAAGATGGCAATTGTCTCTTGTGGCACTGATTGGGATGTAGTGCGAAAATGTATCTGCTCTGCATACTTTCACCAGGCTGCAAGGGTAAAGGGTATTGGAGAATATGTAAATTGCCGTACAGGAATGCCATGCCACCTTCACCCAACAAGTGCTTTATATGGGCTTGGTTATACACCAGATTACATCGTTTATCACGAATTAGTAATGACGTCAAAGGAATACATGCAGTGTGTTACTGCTGTAGACCCATACTGGTTAGCTGAAATGGGGTACGTATAAAAATAATGATATGCGGTTTTGTTTGTTTATTTGAAATTTTGGAATCTAAATTTTGAATTCTTTTTTAGACCTATGTTCTATTCAATCAAAGAAAAGAATTTCACACAGAAAGTAAGTTTTATTTAGCAAATATATTTATTATTTGTAAATTCTTTTGCATTATAAATAGTTTCTAATTTTAATAATTTATCATAGGAAAAACGAGCAGCCAACAAAGCAGAGATGGCCAAAATGACGATGGAAATGCAAATTAAAATGGCGAGAGAAAAAGAGGAAGAAGAAAGTGAACAGCAACGTAAAGCAACTGCAACACCTAAACATTCTAATAGTGTTATACTCGGGAAAAGGAATCCTGGAACACCCCCAAGAAAAAGGGGATTTGGTCTCTAAAAGAATTGCTAATAATATATATTACACCGACTTCAGATATTTATTCTTTTTGGATAGTGGTCATAATATTTTATTAGGATAAATCTGTCAAGGTTTTCGACTTAACTTATAGCACCCAACTGCTGAAAGATTTAATTAGAAGTTGTGAGTTGACACCCCTATTTTTATTATTAAATAGTCAATTTAGAAAATAACAATAATTTCACTTGACATGATGGTTTATTAAAAGACATTATACATTCATTATACATGATTTCTACAAAACTTTAGCATAGATTTAAATTAATTTCACAAACCAGTTAATCACGTGTTTGATTCATTTATAAAAATGGCTTAATTTGTTTTACTCTTTTCAGAAAATTCTAACCAACTTCCAGGGTAATTTCTAGCTCTAAAAAACGATATTAATAAAAAAAATAAAATCGCAACAATTTACTTCAAACCTCTCACTCACCCAATAAACCCATGATGTTTGGCAATTGCAGCAGCAACCATACTTCTTTGTCCAGCTTTACAATAAAGTATGACCTTTTTTTATACATTATTAATTAATATTAACATAAATTTACAAATAAATTTATTGTATAGTACGTACTTGATCATCTTTATTAAACTTTGGTGATCCATAAATTTTATTAAAATCATCATCTGATAATGACAAGGCTTTTTTTTTTTTTTTAAGAAAAAAAAATATATATATTTGTAAATAAAAATAAATTATTTTCACTCTTTTATTTTTAAAACTAATATGTTTTTACTTTACCTTCTTCAAATTCATTTAAAGGAATATTAATAGCATATGGAATATGACCACCAATTAATTCAAAAGGTTCACGAACATCAATAATGCAAACATTTTTTTGTTTTCCTTTATTTTTTTCATTCAATAATTGTTGTAATTCATCATAACTAACATTATTATTATTATTGAAAGAAATTGAAGAATCCGAATAATATCTTAAATGAGAAACGTTTCGAACATTATTTATTATACTCACAAATATAGTACTAAACGATTTATAACTTAAAACTTTATTTTGAAAAATATAAGTTGACTTCAAGTTGTAGCTAAATGGTTGTAGTAAATTATTTGAAGAATTACGAAATTTATTTTGAATAAGTAATAAAGGAATTTTGTCAAAGATTCGTTTGGCCATTTTTTTTAAAAAAAAAATTACTGAATTTTCTTATATAAATAAAATAAAGATGATCTACAAAGCGGATAGTGCTAAACAAATTAATTATAAACTAGCCACGGACTGGTACTTCATTCTACATAGCACCGAGGCTATCTACTAATTTCACTTACTGAGTTGCGTAAGAGTAACAACAAATAATCCAGGTGCTATTTATAAAATCAGTTAGATCTTAAGTTAATTCTGCAATGTCTTGAATGAATACAAGAAGTCAATCTATTTATTAATTTAGAAAAAAGAAAGTCTGAGGGTTTTTTTCAATATAAACATTTCACAATTTGATTTAATAGTTTTGTATATATAATAATTTTTTTTTTTTTGATTATCTTACAACAGAAGAAATCGAATTAGATATTGATATAAGTTCTACTCCAATTCTGACCCAATTTTCTTAATCTATATTTTATAGAATATCACGACGAAGGAAAATAAATTTATATTAATTTAGCTTATTAACGGATTGAAAATTATTTATTCATTTGATGAACATTAGTATCAAAACTGATTTTCAATGAATTTGTATTTTTTTTATACATTATTAACATTTAACAAATAAATACGATTGATTATTATTTTCTAAACTTTTTATTTTTTATCTTACAGCATACATTAGGTCAATAGCTATTTTAATAAAATTTAATTTTATCATCATCGGTGTCAGGGTCCGCAACGCTACCACTATGGTTGATAATTAAGTGTTGGCTTAGCGCATAAGGGGAACCAAAATCTCGACCGATTGAACGATTACAAATTGGTAAATAAAAAGAAGGCCAACGTGATTATTTAGTCACCCTTGCACTTACAAAGCAAAGTAACAGGTAAAATATTGATTACCTTGAATGGTCTTTGTTTAATGTGTTGACGTAAATGCTCTGCAAAATACAATAATAATTATTATTTCTATAATGGATTATAAAGGTCCACCTATTCCTACGTAGATTCGACGGAGCTAGCAAAGCCAAAAAATAATTGTCATATTTTTATACCTTCTAATTCAATAATACTTCTTTGATATTTACCTTTCCATGGACATTTATAAGTTGGGTTTCCTGGAGTTGATTTATCGCAAGAATTGATATCATGTTGAACGATATGATTTCTAAGTTTCTCCTTGGTTTCAAAGTGTTGTGGATCCGAATGAGTACCTAACCATTTACAGATGAATGGCATACTTTTAGACATATAATATAGACAGGTTCGATTAAAATTAAACGGTGATTCTATGGGCGGATCTGCAAATGTATCATTCTTAACTCACCACGCATATGGGGGGGGTCAAGATGATGCCACCAGAAGGGTCAAGTCCGCGATCCGCCCATATGGCTTGTTATACACCCATTGATTCTAGCTGTCTGATTGATGTGAAAACCGATATACATAATGAAATTCGACGGAACCTCAAATCTTGATATATTCGGAATTGAGGTCTGGAACGGATTATCATAACGTATAATTAATTTGCCCCCGATATAACGGAATTCTTGATATAACGGATTTTTGATAAATTTTACTAATGGAACGGATGGTTCCATTATAACGGCTCACGTATTACATTATTAGTTCCTGTTTAAGAAACTAGTTGTTAACAATAATAGATAACAGATACGTGATGGCGCAAAAACGAATATTTTAAAGTTCGAGGATTTCAGTTACAGTTGTTTTAGGGAAAAAGTATCGGTACATTGAATTATCAGATTATCAGATTAGCGGACAGTCAGACCTTGATATCGATGCTTCTAATTGGAAAAAATATCAATACATTGAATATATTACGAGTAACTCATAATGCGAAGCAAATGCCACCCGATTAATGGAAAATAATCAAATTTCGGCAAAATAAACCGCAAGAGTTCAAATTAAAACTTTTTACTTGGGCCAACTTTATAGTGCTGGCCCGAATTAATACTAGTGTAGCTAAAATATCGATACATCTTAATATATGTTACTATAAAAGGACCGAGAAAAAGTATCGGTATACGTTACATCGCTACAACGCGGCTTTTTTATTATACGTGAAACAGGACAATGAAAATTTATCGGTACAGGAAATTAGGGATCGGTACATAGAGGTTTGACTGTATAGTAAATATAAGATTACGAAGCAATATCAAAAATTACCTCAAGTGCGATTCCATAATAGTATTGGGTATGTACATTTTTTTACAGTTAATATATAGCCTAGTAAGAATATCAACCATACTAATTAAACTAATTTGCAACGGAATTCTCATATTCTTGACCTGTTGTTGAATTTATTTATCTTGTATGCAGTCTATTATTTATCCATTGAATCCGATTTTTATCGTTATTATCTATATAATTTATGGTGAGACGAGAATGTCCTTCAAGCATTCCTTCGGGATGTAATTGATTTGGAATTAGGTCTTTTAGACATATTTTTATTCATAATGTCCTGTTAATAACTGGTGTACTACTTTTGTATATATAGCAGAAGTCAAACTACAATTTTACTAGAGATTGTCAGATGTGAGAAAATAAGCCCCGGGTCACGATCTCGTAGTTGGGCAAATTTCAACTAAACTCTACTGCGTGTTAATTTTCAACACAGTTTTGAAGGAAATACCCTTCAGTTACTTTGTTAAAGAAACACCTTTGATGATAAAATCTTTGAGCAGAACAAAAAATAGTCATATCCTTTTTCTACGGGAGTTAAGAAATAATGTTACAATACAGAATAAAATCTATCCGTAATCTACGAAGTTAAATAATTTTTTAGTCCAAAGTTATTTCAAATACATACTACCTAATTCAACAATAAGAAATCCATAGACTGTTATCATTTTATTTGGGTGAGAACTTCATAGCGTACGAATAGATATTCATGAGATGCACTGTGTTTCTTCATTAACTCGGTACTTTCTCGTTTTTTTATTCACTTTGCTAGTCATTTTAAAGTTAGAACATTGAGGTGCAATCATTATCTTAATTTTTCGTAGAATTCCTTGTCGATATTTCATCCAACCCATTCGATTTTTTCTTTTGGTAATACATTTGGACAAAATGGAATATAATTTTTATCGTTAATACTATATTCAGTAGGTCATATCATTGGCATTAAATAAAAGTGCAGGCAATTAGAACATCACTAAAAACATTTTGCATTGTGGCCGTATGGTATGTTCAATATAGACTTTAGCCTATTGCAAATAATTCTATGTGGCGGTTCTAGTCGTAGAATACAGTACCGGCAAAACTCACAAAAGACGGCATCACAACAAGAATCAGAAGATTTCGAAGAGAACTACCGAATAAAGAAAAATTTTCGTTCCTCAATCTGATTTGCTAAAACAGATTTGTTAGATTTATCGAGCATGTTGTATCCTATCCGAAATCAAGAGACGTATTTCACAACTTAACGAGTATTTGTTAGACCCATGATTATACTCGTATTTCATCCACCCGTATTAATCCCATATTTCGTGTTTACAAGGGATGGATTAGCTCACCAGGAGGCAAGACTCATTACTGAACGTCTTGCAATCTTACCCATTAGTTATATTCAGTAGTCAACAGAAGACAAAAATAATTCAATAACAGTTATAGTAATTTAATATCGAAAATTGAGGGATATGTGTATTAGTTTTTTAGTGGACAATGCTTTTAGTATCAAAAAGAGAATACATGCGTACTTATTTAATGAAAGTACTAAACAATTTATAACTTAAAACTTTATTTTGAAAATATAAGTTGATTTCAAAATGGTTGTAATTAATTATTTGAAGAATTACGAAATTTATTTTGAATAAGTAAAAAAGAATTTTGTCCAAAGATTCGTTTGGACATTTTCTTTTTAGACTGAAACAAAATCACAAATAAACTTTGATATCAAATACGTTATTCTTTTTAATCGCTAACCTAATTTTTTTAATCCTTTTTCCTTTCTCCACTCCCAGATTAAAACGTGTACTGCACAATAGTAATGTGAAAGGCAAACATTGTTTATTTTAATTGGACTTATTTGAGTTCGTTTTACTAAACGGTCGAGAAAATATTGTTCGTAAACCAAACGCCATTATATATAATTAAATAGCTTACATCCTTTATTATTCGTTAAGAAACAAGAAACTCCTTTATTAAAAGTGAATAATAAAAAGAAAATTTTTATTGACTAAAAAATTCATCTCCAAACAAATCCATTTATATATTATTATTATAGGGATGATGATAAAGTAGTAGTATTATTACTACTACATTTTATAACTTCCAATATTAAATTTAACCAATCTTCTTGTTCTTTTTCTAAATCTCTTGTTGGATAATCAATTTTATATTTCAATATTTTATTCTAAATAGATAATAATAGAAAAAATAATTAATGTTTAAATTCAAAAAAAAAAATTTTCTCTTTTGTAAACTTACCAACTGATGTCTCAAGTATTTTAATATAGTAGAAGTTTTACCGGGACATTGTAATACAATCCATTTATCAATAATTACCATTTTATGTTCATGCTATTAAAAAAAAGTATTAAAAAATTTATATTATTACTAGACTGTCTCTTATACACATCTAGATGTGTATAAGAGACAGTTGTAATACAATCCATTTATCAATAATTACCATTTTATGTTCATGCTATTAAAAAAAAGTATTAAAAAATTTATATTATTACTAGATAATAATTATTAAAACCTACCTTTATCTCTATATCTCTTCCAAATAAAACCAAATTTACAACATCAACTTTACTAACGTCTCTAACATATAATTTGGTAGTTTGTATTAAAGTATTATAAATAAACCAGTTCCTTTCTTTGGCTTGGCTTTTCAAATCGTGTTTAAATACAATTGAAGATGGATGAATAAAAACATTTTTTGGATTAACCTTTATTATTCCACTACTACCGCTGGTTAAAATTCCACTATCCATCACAGTAAAATATTGATTTTTTAAAGGTTCTTGATAAATAATTTTTGGATATAACCCTGCTAAAATCGTTGCGTTAATTATAGCATATGAATTACTATTTTGATTATAGTATGATGGAATAGCACAAAGTAATCGAGATTTTTGAAATCTATATCTAAAATTAAAGAAAAATATTAAATATGTTTTTAATATGTAAATTACCAATTTTATCTTACCTGCTTAAATAATTTTTACTTGACTCATCAATTTTAACAAATCCAATATTAACCAATAATTCTAAAAATTGCTTTTTAATATCTTCAATCATTAGTAAATTTTGTAAACTTAAAAAATTGTTTACGCAAAATCTTCTCACAGTCTCCCATCCTTTACCTCCTTTATTTATAACTTCTTTTTCATACAACTCTTTCCATAAAATATATCCTTTATACATTGTTAATAAATCTGATTCGCCTTCTTTAAATTTATTTTTGATAACAATTTCAGCTTCAGATTCACTACCAAATGGTATTAAAAATGGTGATTTATAATTAAGTATTGCAGATATTGTTAATATTGGATCAAGGCATTTAAATATTGATCCAAATAATATCATTTTTCCAAGATGTACATCTACTGGTATATGTGATAAATGTATTCCTAATGGTGTTAATTCTTCTTCTGCTGTTATTGCTTGAACCTATAAAAGAAAAAGAAGTTTAATATTTTTAAATTTTTCAAAAAAAAAGATAAAATTAACCGAATACCTCTTGTAACGTAATTATAGCATTTTTAATAGATTGAGATAATGGAACATCCAATGCCATACTTAATACTTGCTCAATATTACCTAATTCGCAAATTTTAATTTTAAGACACAATTCTTGTAATGGTAATCTTAAAATTTCTGGCAATTCATGTTCATGCATCTGTATATGATAGATTATTAAATTAAACTCCTTTATTAAAAATATTTAAAACATAAGAAATTACCTCACGTTCATATTTCCATTTTGTAAATAAATGAAAACAAATTCCTTCTCTTATTCTTCCAGCTCTTCCTTTCCTTTGTTTAGCATTAGCTTTTGATATAAACATTTCTTGTAAATTTGTAATTTTCTTTCTTTCATTATATCTAATAAAAAATTAGGTATAATAAATAATTACTTAATATAAATAATCCATCTTCTTAATTTTAAATCTTACCTTATCTGATTAACTTTTCCTGTATCAACAACAATAGTAACATCGGGTATTGTAATTCCAGTTTCTGCTATATTAGTTGCCAAAACAATTTTTCTAACACCTTTTGGTGGTATATCAAATACTAAGTTTTGATCTTCTGAACTTATAGTACTATGTAAAGGATATACTAGGAATTTTGTTGTATCACTAAAATTAATATCTGATAAAATTTGATCATTTAATCTTCTTATTTCTGCCATTCCAGGTAAGAATATCAATATAGCTCCATCTTCGGGTATATTATTTTTTTGTTTTGCTACAGGATTATTACAAATGTAATTCAAAAGAGATATTATGAGATCATAATTTATACATGTTTCATCAATACGTGATAAAGCTAACTGAGTTTTCTTAGAATATTGTTCAAGATATTCTTGAGGAATATTTAAATCATATGAACTGTCTATATCCTCCTCATACTGTAATCTAATATTATGTGATGTTTGTCCTTTTCCTGTTATTGTAATCGTTCCTTCATCTATTGCGCAATACATTAAAAAAGACAAAACGAAATTAATAAAAAAGTAATTTAAGATTAAAAAATCTAACACCCTACCTCTAATTTGCCTGTGAACCTTCCTTGCAAATTCATCATCTGCTTCAATCATATAATCTATTATAATAAAAATAAAGATTAAATCTAAATCTTTAATATGAAAATTAGCATAATTTACAAACCAATTTACCTGTTTCTTCAATAACATCTTCAAGAAATTTAACTTCGACGGGGAAAATTTTACCAGGTATTTCAATTATAGGACAATGGTCAAAATATCGAGAAATTTTTGATGCTTCAATTGTTGCACTCATTAATATAACTCTTTTTTTTTAACAAAAAAAATTAATATAAAATATTAGTGTATTCAATTATTAACAATATTGATAAATATAACTTACTTTAAATCACTCCTCCTTTCAAATATTTTCTTCAAAATAATCATCAGAAAATCCGATTCCAAACTTCTTTCATGTACTTCATCAATAATCACATGACTAACATCCTTTAATAATTTATCACTCTCTAATCTTCTCAATAATATACCCTAAAACAAACAAATAAATAAATAAAAGTGATCGAATAATATATACATACGGCATACACGAATCAAAATTTTACTAACATAAGTACAAAATGTTAAAATATTTCCTCTAGCAACTTTTGACTCCAATCTAATTTGATATCCAACTAATGCTTTAGAAGTTCCAATAGTTCTTGGCAAATCACCTATTTCTGCAGAAACTCTATACGCTATTGAAATTGCTGAAATCCTTCGGGGCTAATTATATAAAAAAAATTTTTTTAACAAATTGAAATAAAATAAAATTAATAAACAAAAGAAATAAACACACCTGAGTACAAATAACATTGCATTTATCACCATATCCATTCATTAACATATCTTCTGTTATAAATTGTGGTATTTGTGTACTTTTGCCGCTATTAAATTAAATTTCAATATTATATTAACAAACAAAAAAATCTAAAAGTATCATGCAATTTGATTTAGAAATTCTATATACCATCCAGTTTCTCCAGATATAATAACAACTTGATTTTTATTCAATTTCTCCAAAAACTGATCTTTATATGAATATATTGGTAGCTGCTTTCTTTTTTCCTATTAATTAATTCAGGAAGTTGTGCCGTTTTTAATATTTACTTAATATGTCCAAGAATTTGACAAAATAATTTACTTACTAGCATATCCATGTATGTTTTATTTTTTTGTCTATTCAAGAAAGCTTTTTTCATGGCTTCACCCTCGCTACTAGTTTTGTTCACAATATTATAGTGTTTTATACTAGACTTATCTTCTTTATAAATTTGTTCTTGATCTAACTCATCAGAGATTTTAGATTTTTCTTCAATCTAATAAAGAAAGAAATGAACATATAGCTCGGGAATAAAAAAACGTGTTTTACAATGTTATGACTCACAATATTCTCTTTCTTTTTTTCCTCTATAACATCTATCAATAACTTTATCCTCTCCTGTTCTTCGGCTAATTTAATTTTATTCTCGGCAGACTTTTTTTCTTCCGTCAATTCTAGCCATAACTCTCTAAAAAAAGTGGGGAATGTAAGATATATCGGAAGATCTGTCAATTCAAATAATGCTAAAGTAGCAACATAGCTCTCCGCTTCTATTTTTTTTCGACATGCAACATTCCCCATATTCCATTCTTTGTCTTGTCCTTTCTTTTCATTACTCCACCGAATTTTTAAAGAACACTTATAATGGCTTCCACCGCGATCTACATCAAAACTGATTTTAACTTTATCATCTTTTTTTCGACAAAATTCCTTTAATTGATCTTTCGGTAATTTTCCGGTAAATGTTTTAGGAATCATTTCTCTCATTATTATTGTTGACGAAACATTAGATTCGCTAGAAGTAGTTGAGTCATCGGGAACATTATCTAATAATCCACCAAACAAATCATCATCATCATCATCATTTATTTTTTCCATAATATCCTTTTTCTGATCACCCTCAAGTTGTTTATTCTCATCAATTTGAATAGTTTTATCTTGTTCTTTACCATCTTCGATTTCATCACCTAAAATTTCTTTTACTTCCTTTTCTAAGTCTTTATCTTTCATTAAATTTTTAAATTCCATTTCAGCTTCATCACTATTAAATTCATAAGACCCTAATTCTTCAAAACTCTTAATTTCTTTTTGTAATTCATCGATTCTTTGATTAACCTGTTCTTGCTTCTCTTGACTACGATTAAATTTCTTTAAAACAGATGAAATTTTATTTTGTAAAACCAATTCACATTTTAATGTAGCATATTTTAATGATGAAGATAATGGTTGATAAGTTGACACAGGTTCAAGCTCTGAATCATCTGATGCCTTAAAATATAATTGAAACAACATTTGTTTTGGTTAAAACATTTAACACAAAAACCAAAATAATTCGAAATTAAATAGAATACATCATTTTCAAGACTGTTCAGAATCCAATCCTTCATATCCTTTTCAACCATATTAGATCGTTTTGGCTTAGATGTAGATGAAGAATTTTGCACTAGGGATTTTTTTTCCTTTTTTTAAAGAAATTAATGCTAAAATTAATTTTTTCATTTCTTATAAGAATAAAATATTTTGTTGAAATATAAACCTTAAACACATCTCCTTTCTTTATTGGTGATTGAGATGTTGGTGAAGTGGATCTTGTAACTGAAATATTCATTCCTTTGTATAAAAAAATAAAAAGTTAATATAAATTTATTTAAATGGTTGAAATATGACCATATTAAAATGAGTTACCTTTTTCATAATAAATCTTATCAACGAATCCAGCCGGCAAATCTTCCGAAGATAAATGAATGCACAACTAAATTTCGAAGTAAGTTAACAATTGAATAAAAGAAAATAGAAAATAATTAATTATCCTCAAAATACTATAATTTACCCAATCTAAGGCAGCCTTAACTTCTGCTCCATTTATATTTATTAGACATTCTTTGATGTTTTCTTGTGAAAAACCAAGACGCAATAAAATTAAATATAGCTTATTTAATGATGAGATTATATGCTCTTGTGACAGATTACTAGTATACAAATTCCTGTATTGATCTAAATAATAGAATAAGTATTTATTAGAAATAATTTAAATAAAACTTAAAATAACTGTGCTTACCTAATTCGTGATATCCCAATTTTTTAATAAAATTTAATATTTTATGCTCGATATTACTATCAAGTTTAAGAACTTGCATTTCATTTCCAAGACTAATTAATTCTTGAGAATCTTTAAAATAAGCATCAACTCTTTTTAAATCTAAATCTTGATAATTTTCAATTATTGAATTAATATAAGTTTCCTCTTCATTAATATTCTCTTCAACATTATCCACTTTAGTCTGTTCAGAGGAAACAACTAACTCAGTTGTTGAAGGTTCAGAAATGGGTGAAGAAACTTGAGATTCTATTTCGTTTTTTAATGTTTCCTTATTTTTTGAGGGTGTACTTGTCGTAGAAAATGCTCTTGCTGAGTTTATTTGTTTCTTCTTTTTTGTTTTCGTTTTAGGAGGCATCTTAACAATTTTAAAGATTAAAAGTGCAAATATGTTTGATCGAAATCGACCAATAATAAAAAGCTTGTGATCAGTCGATCAAACCCCCAGAATAACCAATCATATTTTACAGGCTACTACCACCATTTTTAAATGCAACATATATCATAATAATGAGGGCCTAAAAACATTCCTATATGTGAGCAGGATTTGGTGGTAACTCCCATTAGAAGTTTTCCTGGTCCTACCATCTCCCGGCTGATATCTTTGAGAATAATTAACACTAATTACACATTATCAGTTATCCACGTAAGTTTATTCATATTATTAATGGATTTTATTAATGTTTGATGATCGTATTTGAATTAGTTGTACTTCTAGTACTTCTATTAAATTTCTGACTATATCTTTTGTTGTACCAAATAAAGTGATTCATCAAACAGCTTCCAGCTGATATCCAACTTTTTTTTTGAATAGTGAAAAAAATCTACTGAAAGAATAATTAATACTAATTACACATTATCGGTTATCCACGTAAGTTTAATAATATTATTAATGCATTGGTATGATAAAATTATTGGATAGTAACGAGATTTTATTAATAACATATAATGTTTAGTTAGTATATCTATTACTTTTATTAAATTTCTGACTACTTCTTTATTGCGCCAAATAAAGTGATTCATCATATCTTTCTAAACTATTCCTGTGCTTTTTTGTATTTAGTAATGTAAAAGTGTTGAGTAATTACTAAGAAGTAAAATTGGATGCAAATAAACTTCTAAACGTGCAATGACTAATAAAATAAATTCAATTTCATTTGAAGCATTCAGAAAGCTTAATTGTTTCAAAAGACATAAAAAGGATTCATTTCCTTCAAGCTGTTTTATAATTTCTATTCCACTCTACATAAATTCCTCTACATAAATTCCATTACATAAAAATAAAATACATCTTTTACTTTTCAATTAACTTTCTATTAAACTTTACAATGTCAAAACGAAGTCTTTCTACGAATGTTAAAGTTAACGTTAACGAAGAAGGAGCCAAGAAAATTAAGCCCTTAGATATTAAATATGCGGTTGAGTTGCAAATTGCTAGCCGCCCTGGTCTTGGACAAGACGGAAGACCTATCGAATTGAGAACAAACTATCTAAAAGTAACTGCATTACCTGAGAAAACTTTATTTCATTATAATTTTATCGTTGAGCCACCGGTCAAGACTCCTCTTTCGTTTAAACTCTTTTCAATTATGGCTTTTCAAAATCATTTTGGTGACGCCATGCCTATTTTTGATGGCAATAATTCTATTTATTGTACTAAGCCGTTACCTTTTAATGATGAAGGTGAAATCAAAGAAGTATGTACTATATAATAATATATTTATAAAAAACTTTTGTAAATTTGAATTCATCAATAATATAATTGTTATTTGCAGGTTTCTTTAGAGGCGGATGGTCCCCGTAAGGCAAAATCATTTCATATTACTATTCGTAAGATTGAAGAAATCAATATAGAAAGATTGTTAAATTATCTTAAGGGCTCGGCTCAATTAACTGGTGAAATTCAAACATGTGTTACAATCTTGAACACTGTATTGAATTATAAACCACGAAATAATTTTGCTGTTGTCAAGCGAGGAGTTTTTCCGGAGACCAATGACAGACCAAAGTATTTATACGGAGGAATTGAATTAAAAACTGGATTCTGTCAATCAATGAGACCTGGTTGGGGTAAATATTCTCGAATAATAATAATAATATGATTGAATTTTATTAAAAGCAATTAAACTTGTATTAGGATATATGATCGTAAATGTTGATACATGTGCTGCTGTATTTCATCCTGATGGATCATTATTGGATTACGTTGCAAAGATTTTAGGTAAAAGAAATGTTGAAGAATTGCGACGTGGAATCAGTGACAGCGAACGAAGAAATCTTGAACGCGTAACTTTTTTAATAAGAACTAAATTTTATGATAATTCTACGTTGTTATAACACGACTAACCACTATTTGATAATGATATAGAATTTGAAGGGATTAATAATCAAAGTTATCCATCGAGGAGAGAAACAAACAAAATACAAAATAGAACGTTTAACAAGTCAAGCTGCTGATTTTACTACATTTACGAATAAAAAGGAAGGAGTAGAAATGAGCGTAGCTGATTATTTCGCGCAAACGTATAATCATTCTTTGGAATTTAAATCTCTTCCTTGCCTTGTGGTAAAGAAAAACTTGTTTATTCCAATGGAAGTCTGTGATATTCTTCCTGGTAAATATGTTATGTTATCGATCGTGTTTAAAATTTTATTTCTAAATTAAATCCTTATAACTTTTATGTAATTATAGGTCAAAAGTACGAGAAAACAATTGGAGATAAGGCCAAAGCAGATATGATCAAATTTACGGCCTGTAAGCCTCAAGAACGATTCGACAAAATAGAAAATTGCATCCAAAATATTTTTAAGCACAACGAAGATGAAAATTTGCGTGATTTTGAAATTAAAATTGATCCTAAGATGATGACTGTCGATGGTTATTTTTTATTTTTATTTATTTATGTCCTTTAGCTGTATGTATTATATGTACTAATTCGGTTCATTCCATTTCTTTTACAGGAAGAGTTTTAAAATCTCCAACAGTTATGTTTAATGCAAATAGCAAACAACAAAATATATTCCCTGTTCAAAACGGACGTTGGAATCCCAAAGACCTTGTTCTACTCAGAGTATGCATTTTTTTATTACAATGTAATTTACAGAATCCAATTAACCGTTTATTTATATTTTTCATAGACAAAGCCATTGCATAACTGGTCAGTTCTTGTTTTAGCTGACAGAAGATCATGTCCTATGGAACAAGTGAAAAGGTGTATGATAGGACTAAAACAAAAATTGATTGAATTCGGAATGGTAGGTTAAAGATCTAATTTTCTTTTAATTCCAGTTTTAAATAATTCATTCATTATTTATTCATTAGGAAGTGGGAAATGATCCTTACATAAATTACGAAAATCCGCAGGGAAATATTGAATCGGTTAGTAAAGTTATTCTATTACTTGTATAATGTAAGATATACTTTTTTCACTAATGCTTATATTTGATTCGTTATATCAAGTCATTACAAATTTCTGTTCAGAAGGCTCATAATAATAAATCATTTCCGCCACAACTGTTAATTGTCATTATTCCAAGAAAACCATCTCCATTATATGGCGAAGTTAAAATGATTGCTGATACTAAAATTGGAATTGTTACCCAATGCATACTCGCTGAAAAATTACGTAATCCAAACAACAAATCTTTATGGGCTAATATTGGATTAAAAATAAATGCCAAACTAGGCGGTCATAATTGTAATCTTATAAAAGAAGAACTTTCGACAATTGGAAAAGTCCCTGTAAGTACTTACAAACTCTTCAAGATTTTTTAAATTTAGATTTAGTTTAATTTCAAACTTTCTTTTTTTTAGACGATGATTGTTGGAGCAGATATTTCTCATCCTGGTGTAGGACAAAAAGATCAACCTAGCATTGCAGCAGTCTGCGCCTCCGTTGAACCAAATGCAACTACTTATTACGGTAGAATTAGTGTCAATAAGCAAATCCGAAATGAAACGATCGAATGTCTCGGAGAAATGATTTCTGATTTACTGAAAGCATTTTATGAGAAAAATAAAGTTCTTCCAAAACGAATGATTTTTTATCGGGATGGTGTGAGCGAGGGCCAATTTCGTAGTGTATTAAACAGAGAAGTAATCGCATTAAAAAACGCTTTTGATAAAATTTACCAAAAGGACCCACCAAATTTGACCTTTATTATAGCACAAAAGAGGCATCATACTAGGTAATAAATAAACAGAGAATATTCTTTAAATAATTATTCGTATTAATATAAGAAAAAATTCCTTTTTTTCTTTAGATTTATTCCAATAAATAGAAGAGATGCGGATAAATTAGGAAATTGTATTCCCGGAACTGTTGTGGATCAATCAATTGTTCATTGTAATGAATTCGATTTTTGTAAGTATTTTCATTAAAAGAACTTTGATTTATGATTTGTGAATATTTTATTAATCTTTTCTTTTCATAGATTTACAATCTCATTCTGGACTTCAAGGAACCACACGTCCGACTCATTATTATGTTTTACATGATGAAAATAAATTTGGCGCTGATGAAATTCAGAATTTAACCTACCGATTATGTTATCTTTATGCAAGGTAAAATTATTTTTACGGAAAACTTTCTTTTGCCGATATTACACATTGATAAAACACAATGTTAATGATGATTATTTTGTTTTCAGATGTTCTTCAGCAATATCCGTGGTACCTCCAATTGCTTATGCACATCTATTAGCAGCACGCGCTCGACTTTATCCAACCATAGAAGTACCGGGAGAACAAAATTGTGAAGAATCGGAAAGCATTTCTTCAATTCCTTTAGTTTCTAAGGAATTAGCTAAAGTCATGTATTTTGTTTAAAGTGTTGAATAAATATGCTTTAAAATTACACCTTGTAGTATAGTTGTTGATTTATCATTTATGTAAAATATTATTTTATATAGGATAATAGAAATTGCTTGTAAATAATGTAACAATTAATTTGTTATCCGAAAAATAATAATACACATACATATATGTTCCTATTGATATTACATTTTGTGAAGCTCTCATGTCTTATATTTATCATCATAATAAATGAATTTTCATGCTTTATATTTTTTTGGTAATTTCTAGAAATATGAAATCACTGATAAATAAAATTCTGATCAATACGAATTTACCATCATTCAAATCGTCTCAAATCTAATGAGATAAAGATCATGAAAATCTAACCACTGGATCAAAAGATATTATAGGAGAACTCAAAACGCTTAAATCATAATCGCGTACCAAATATTGACTCTATAAGCATGAAATTACTACCATTCGAATTGTCTTAAATGAGACGAATCCAATGAATCTAAGATTATGAAAATATAATCACAGGATATTCTTAAAATATGATTTTTAGGTTTTAAAACTTCGCAAACTTTGTAACACACTTGTTAACTTTACATTAAGCCCATAGTCTTATACAATATTAAAATATTTATATTACATTTATTACATTCATATGTCTTATTAAAGTTTCTAATAAAATATAATAAAAAATGTATAGATGGCATTTCTCGGAATATTGTAAAATGCTGATATCCCATAAAATTAAAGCAGCTATTGTGACAAATGAAAATGGAATACTTTGACAAATTTTTACTTTAATTACTAAATAAAGATGTAATGAATGTATTTAACTTAAATTTTTGTTTTCACTATATTAATATGTATATAATATTTTCACTTTAAAAAGTGTCCGTATAATTTTGATATTTAATGTACTCATTCAATCTACCTGCATATTATCATATTCATACTATTCTATCCTACTTTGTGTTAAAAATGTTTATCAGAGATTAAGATAAGTTTTTTTCGAATTATGTTTATATCTTATTTTTCGTAACGCATCTTCGATCATGTGAAGGACCCTAGATCCTAGATATCAAAGTCCGTACAATATGATAAATCAAAATATATTTGCAAAAGAGTTAATTGTTAGGCTATTCATAGTTTGCTTTACAAGCGAAATGATATTCTTTCTAACTCCCGTGAAGCATTTTTTGTTTTTTGATTAAAATAATATGATAAGATGTCATGACTGAAATGAACATATGATTATGAAATGATCACTGTATAGAACATCACATGTCAATTGATATGTGTACTGTAACATAATTATTATTTATATTATGCACAAATATAATTTGTACAGAACAACAATGAAGGTTGACAAAGTGAAAGAGAAAGAGCTTTATAGCAAAGTGGTGTTACTACAGGCATCAAATTTATCGTTGACGAAGCAAAAGAAGGAAAGTGTTGATCTGAATGTTAACGACAATTTGAAACCTGGCAACATTATTGGCAAGAGATGATGAGGTGGTGGCAGTAAGGATCTAATCCTTGTGTAGTTTACATTTCTAAGAGCCGTTATTAGCTTCCAAAAGATGGATGTTATGTCAACAGAATCGAGAAATACCTGGAAAAATATATCTTACCATATAAAGAGATATTGAAAACAGGGCTTTACATGATGATATAATGTCATATTGTTCAAGAAATCATTTTTAGTAACTGGTAAGGATATCATTTAGTCAATTCTCGGACCAAATTAACCTGTTTTATTTCATCGTTTGAAATGTCGACGAAGTATTGCATTAGAACAATTAGAACAGCTAATGATTTGATCATACTGCGATACCACGTAACATTGGACTTCCGTGAATTTCCAGTAGAACTGAGCTTCATCTATTTTTTCTACACATCAATGACGAAGTATCATTAGTTTAATCGATCATCGATTCGAATATTTGTTTCAATATCATTTGTGAAATTTTATCTTTTTAAGGAATATTTTTAATTACGATATGTATTGTACAATAAGAACAAGAGTAAAAACCATCATTCGAAAGAATCCGAAATTGAAAGACATGTATGCTTATCGTTATTAGAATTCGAAACCCTAAGATATTTTTAGATTTGATTTTTTGAACTTTATCTCTGCAAATGAACACCCATAAACATAAATTCATTGAGCGAACGTATAATGTACAATACAGTATAACCACTATTATTATAGAAAATCTTTTATAGTGTAAGCTGAAACGTAAAGATTAAATTAGTAATATTTACAAAGCTAGATATGCACTGGAAGATTGGAAGATTATTGGAAACTTCCAATTCTATAACTTTTTAGGGGGTGTTAGCAAAATCATGCCGATCATTGCTGCGTGGAATGATAGATATTTGGTCTATGAGTTTCCCATTCAAAAAAACAATTATGGTAAATTGTATGAATAAGTAATTTAATTTAATTTGTTACACTACATCTTACAATAAGTCCTCTAATTTATAATTCATGATTTTTTTTTTTAATATTCTCACAGATAAAAAAGATGGATAAAAAATTTATAAAAAAATCTACCAGTATTAGAATAATCTAGTTTAAAAAAAGTTACCATGATAAGTTATTTCACGGAGTCACTGCCGGAATATCATGATTTTCACGGCGCAGCCTGAATAATCATAATAATCATTATTATTATTGATATTACGTAATAAATATAATAAATGAACCTGTTCTAATTTACATCTATAATAATTTATTAACACTAAAATTTACCATCAGAAGACAAATGGATTCGCGGGTAACATTTATTAGTTAATTGTACCATGTCGGAATGGATTAGAATTAGAAGAATTTGAAACGATAAAAAATCAAAAAATCAACGGAAACTTCCCAACGCGCATCAATAATGATAGCCAATTAAAAAGAAATTCACTTACACGTTCGAATTCGTAATAGCCAATTAATATTAAATTTTATCCACACGTTTCAATTCTTTATATCTGAGACAAATTTCTCTTTGAAAATGCAGAGTGACAAAATAAATAAAACATTGTTGATCGCTAATGGACCAATCAAATCACGGGATTTAAACATATGTTTGTGAGCGAACATCCCAGTCGCGATTATTAATTATTATGTTTTCCATTTTGTGTCAAATCGGATAATATTTAAGGTCTCCTTTTTCAAGAGCCAGACTTTTTCTTTTTATATAATATTAAAAACAAAATAAAAAAAAAATGTTGCCCGATTTATTTAAAAAACCACAAAAAGCTGAACATGAAAATGAACATTCTTTTGTTCTGTGGCTTAGGAAAATCATTATTATCGTATTTTTAATGATCCTAGCAGGGTCCTTTGCGGTAATGTGTGTTAGGATGTCTAAAGAGAATCCATCAATCAGCACTACATTCACATCAATAGACAGTATACTCGCACCATCAATTTATTTGTCATTTGCTTATAAGTTTAACATTTCTTGTTTAATATACTACGATTATGCAGGAAGTAAGTTTGAATTATTGAACTAAATTGTTTTATTATTAGCTCTGTTCAATTCCAGATCAGATTGTAATTATTTATCATTTGGGATTAAACAGAGCTATTATATCACATTATGTATAGCTAACTCAAAATATTTCATAAAGAAAACGAAACCAGTTGCGACGAATATGTTACACAGCCAAAAAATACTGGTGATAAAGATTACCCTTATGGCGGAAACTTTTCACCAAAAAAAGTCAAATTGACAAGATACGATGATATTGGACCGTATTTCGTTTATCTTGATATAAACATAATAGTTCCAACATTCAATAACTTAACTGAATCGTTTTTTAGAATGAATTTATATGATACAGGTTTTTTTTTTTTTTATAAAAAATGGTCTTAATTATATTTTACTTTGATAACAATTATATTTTTATAATAATTAAATAGAAAATGACTATGTCATATATAATATTGAGAGTATGAATAAGATAAAAGGTGGATCAATGACTCCATTTGAGGAATCACTTTTTTATTTGAACAAATACACTTTAACAGGAGGTTATGTAAGTTTATTTAAGATCATTTTATATTAGAAAAAAAAATTGGTAAACATATTTATTAAATGAACAATAGTTATATAAATTAGGATTCTCTAAAAAAATCAGAAGAATTTTGAGTAAACCAATCTTGTCTTATATTGGATTTCCATCAAGTTATGATTCAAAACCATATATTGAATCAAATATACGTAAGAATCCTACGAGGAAAAAATTACTCAATTTTCTTTTAAATACTGATGTTATTTTTGTTGTTTTGTGCTGTTAATTAATTATAGAGAGTGTCCCGGCTGCATCTTTAAACGCAACACATTTAAGAGTGCGTCTTAGTCCACGGAACTTTATTTTAGAAGAGGAACAAGAACAAAGGTAAAAATCATCGATTTAATGCTCACCCATAAGTTGTAACTAACATTTTTTTTTAAATTTACTCATATGTACAATCAAAGGAACGACAATGTAAGTAAATTAACATAATTGTCACTCGCAAATGATCATCGTATTCACATACAAATTCGGGATTTAATAGATATTAGCCGCAGTAGGAATTATCGCTGCATATTATAGCTCGATTGTCTTTATTTACGTCTTCTTGTTCGGTAATATTTTTTTTTTTTTTTCAAATTAAATTATCATGTAATAAGATTTGTTAAATCGAAATATTTTAGGCGTCGATTCAATGAAGCCATGGGGTTTAATTCATAGCGGATGCTGCGGATTACCAACATTTGTCGATCAAGATGATGAACCAAATGAACCAAATGAACCAAATGAACAAGTACTTAACATAGAAAGTATGGATGAAAGAGTTAAAGAATTGGAAAAAATCTTAAAATGTATTGTTAACGACACCAGAAAGAACCGCAGCAACAGTAACAAGAATAACAATAGCAGCGGCAGTAGCATTTACAGCAACAGCACCAATGATAACGATAAATTAGATGTATAAATACGATAATGATATAAGTTTAGTTATAAGTTTATATTATATGAAATTATTTAGCAGAATTTATTGTATATATAGTATATATAAATATAAAAAATTGTAATAAAGAAAATTATAAATTATCTCAAAAATTTTTAAATTTTTACTACCTTTATATTGAACCATACATACATTTATGACTTCTCATCATGTTAATAATATACTAAAAACAACAAAATTTCATTCTTTTCATTCTTTGCTATATTAATACTAAAGATCGAATATTCTATTAAATTGTACAACTTTATGCTATTCATGGCTAACTTTTTTAAGATATTATTATTCCTTATTCCGGGGTAGTCTATTATATTACCTAAAAATGAGTCATGTGTAACATAAACACGATTTTCTTGCGAAACTTCATGCGAGATAAAAATCACGATATAATTAAGTTACAGTACTGTATATGTAGTATTTAACTAAACTTTGTAGTTGCAAGTCAACCTTATTAAGATTAGTTTTAATGTCTTGATCTAACATTGCATATTAATAAATAATAATTATGCATGAATTTATAAACAAGTTCCAAACTTGAACAAGTTAATTAAATATCTTCGATAGCATAGAATTGTTCCAAAATTAGCTAAATTAATTAATACTCGAGATTATAATTTAACGTGACGTTAGAGAACAATTTGCGTGTCCCATTGACTTCTTCGCTTATATAACCTTTTAGTTGTAACAGTTTCCTCAATGTTTAATACGATATGATACCAAGTTGATATCCCACTTGCTTTTTCCAATTCTACACTTTTGCATATTTGTCTTTTATTTCTTTGTCATCACCATCTTCCTTATTTCTTTGTCATTTTTCTTCATTATCTAAAATCGTTTTATACATTAATACAATCCAAGTAGTAACTAACAAAGCATTTAAATTTAGAAATATCTGTTAAAAATGCCAGGAGTTTGTAAAAGAAAACAATTAATAAAGAGGGTAAAAAGAGTACATTAATGCCTATAAAATTCTGCAATAATGTAAACATGATAATTTAACGTTAACGTTATCTTATTATAAACATTTTGAAACTACTTAATATAATTCTTTAAATTTTTTCTATAATATGATAATACTAATGTCGCAGATTGAAAAATAATTGTAACTAAGTACAAACTATGAAATCAAATTTACTGGAAATAGAACAGATATTAAGTTTAGATTTATTAATATAATCCAACTTATTGCTTTATTCAGGCCAGAAAATACAAAGTTAACTATTACTTGACAACGCATTATATATGTAAAATGATTTTCATAATTAATTTGTACTTTAGGGGAAAAAGTTTCGGTACAGATACAAATTTCAAACAAATATGATCATGAGAATTTTTAATTAAATAATAAAATAAGTTCATTTTTTGAATATATATTTTAATACAAGTTTTACAATTATTACATTATAACTGTATTGGAATTTGAGAAATTGGATGTTTCAACTTTCATGTGATTCCCATAAATTGTATTCGGGAAATTGGTGTAAAAACTCCGATAAATTTATTTGTTTATTTATTTTATGGATAGTCAGAAAAAACTCCGATAAATGATCATTTTTCTAGTTTTTATTCTGAAGAAACTCAGACACGTGATAATTTTTCTGAAAAATTTTTATAGGGTCAAGAAAAACGCATTCGGGAAATCGTACTGTACTTTCAAAATCAATATCATTTTCTTATCTTAAGACTAAATTTTTATCTAGTTGGCGTTCGAACCTACGTGCATCGTGCATATTCTTTCAAAATTAAAATTTTTTTTTGTTAACCAGTCATAAAACATACATTCAAAATCAATGTCAGAATTGAATCCGAATTTGGAAACGGGCCGAAATGCCATCATCGTCATGTGCACGGACCGGACATTCACTCTTGTGTAAAATTATAGTCCTTCGTTACATTTCGGACTAATATATGACCGAACTTAATTAGTTATTAGTGATTTATGGTTAATAATTAAGGTTGATGTTTTTCACCTTTGTATTAGAAATAAATAAACAAACAAATAAAAAAAAGAAAGTATGATTTGATTAAGAAATTCAAAAAAAAAACTGAAATGAATCTTTGAAATCCAGCAACCATTTTTACATTAATAATTGTGTACCTGGTCATTAATTCAGTTATTTTTTGCTTATAGTTTTAACATCTCTTGTTGGATTCATGGCATTTATGTTCACTTCCTTATTACAACGTGGTAGCAAGAGGAAGGACGTTACGTTTGTCCTTATAAAGTAGATCCACTGCAGCAGGACAGAAGCAGTAAGAGAGGGCCACCATAGGAAACAGAAGCAACGGTGTCAATAATAGCAGCAACAATAGCACCAACAGTGACAAAATCAACAACAATAACTGCTTAGTTATTATATCTATAATATACAGAATATTTGATGTTACAAACTGTCTTATTGAATAAGAACCAGTATCATCGTAGGACGATAAATTTTGTTGCAACTCTGATCTTCAAAAAACAAAATTAAATGATACTGTATATTGATCATTTTAGCCTAAAAAAATAAAACTATATAAAATTATATAAAAAATTGTCATTATTAAATTATTTTAAAACAATTTTCTATTTGTAACAAAGTTTAAGAATATAATTCCAGTATAATTATTATTATAAATTACATCATGGTATATAAAAATTATCAGGACAATAAAAGATAATCATTTGTAATCATTGGTAATAAATTTTTTTGCATTTTCTCAGATTTTCATTACAACCATTTAAAGCGTCGAATTTTCATCTTTAAATATTACATTGAATACATTAAATATAAATAAACATAATATATTATTGGATGGGATAATTTGAACATCCTGTTTGATCGCTAATAATTGATTGATATGCATGATTATATTAACTCTTTAAAAACATCGAATGACCAATCAAAAAACTATTTACTTAACGTTCGAAATCGAGTGAGCATCACAGTTAAATTCTAATTTATTAGTTATTCCGGATTTATTGACTATCCAAACCCGAGTGAAGCTATCGTTATTTAATATTTGGTGTGACAAATATGTATATATAAAGTCGTCGATTTCCACCTCATATTGGGAATGAATAAAAAAAGATGATTCGTGACTTAATAAAAAAACCGAGAAAAACTGAACATGAATCTATATGGAAGCTTAGACGAGCTGTTATTGTTGTATTTTTAATGATCTTAGTGGGGTCCTTTGTGGTAATGAGTATTAGAATTGCTAGAGAAAATCCAACAATCAGCACTACTTTTGCATCAGTAAATAATGTACTCGCACCATCAATTTATTTATCTCTCCCTTATAATTTTAGCATCTCTTGTCAGATATATTACGATTATAATGGAAGTAAGTATGAATTTTTAATATTAGGATTAGTTCACAAAGTATAACTGACTCAAATATTTCAAAAGTAAACGATACCAGTTGCGACGAATATATTACACAACCAAAAAGTACTGGTGACAGCGATTACCCTTATGGTGGAAACTTTTCACCAGAAGGAATCGAATTGACAAGATATGACGATACTGGCCCATATTTTGTCTTTCTTATTATAAACATAACGGACCCTACATTTAATGTTTTAACCGAACCGTTTTTTAGGATGACTTTATATGATTCAGGTTCTCTTTATATTTATATATAAAAGTAATCCTTTTTGTGTTTTTTATATTTTGATTTTTTTAATTTTTTTGAAATGATTATGACAATAAATAACAGATGATGGTTTGTCTGACTTTGAGAGAATAAATAAAACAAAAAGTGATTCTCTGATTTCCCCATTTGAAGAATCTCTTTTTTACTTAAACAAATACACTTTAACAGGAGGTTATGTAGGTATACTTGAAATCATTATAATAATATCAATAATTTTCGTTAAATGATTCATTAAAAAAAAAATGATAGTTCTATAAGTTAGGATTCTCTAGAAAAATCAGAAAAGTTATAAGACATCCATTTTGGTCTTTTATCGGTTTCCCATCAAATTACCTTCTATTACCTTACATTGAGTCAAGCATACGTAAGAAATTAAGAATATTTATTTATTCATTATGTATGCAATGTATGCATTTAATACTGATGTTGTTTTGTGTTGTTAATTAACTATAGAAGGTGTCCCGGCGGCATCTTTAGATGCGACTCGTTTAAAAGTACGTATTAGTCCACGAGATTTTATCGTAGAAGAGGAACAAGAGCAAAGGTAAAACCATCCGTTCATAAAATTAACATTCATTCATGACTTGAAGCTAACATTTTTTTTTTAAACATACTCACATGTACGATTTAAATAATAAGGAACGATACTGTAAGTTAAATAAACACACATTTCAATTACAAATATTGTAATAATCATATTCACGAAATTTAATAGATTATAGGTGCATTAGGAGTTATTGCTGCTTTTTATAGTTCGGCTGTCTTTATTTATGTCTTTTTGTTTGGTAAGATTTTATTTTGTTTGAATTACTAGATCATCATGTAAATATTTTTTCATTCAAGAAAATTTTTAGGGGTCGACTCCATGAAACCATGGGGTGTTATACATGATGGATGTTGCGGATTCAAAAGATTCAAAAGAGAATCTGTAGAGATACTAGCATGGGAGAGTTCACCTGACACAGAAGATATAGATAGAAGAGTCGAGGCATTAGAAAAATTCAGAGATTTTCTTAGAGGTAATGTTGTCGATGCTTCGTTACCAAAACATGGTAGTAGGAGAAGCAGGAGAGGAAGAAAGGGTCGCTACAATAAGTTCAACAATAACAGAAACAATAGTATTAACAGTGATAGCAATGACACCATCGATAGCAATGTCGAAATCACAATATATGAGAAGTAAATGTCTAAATTTATTGTTTTTTTGGTGTTGCAAATTAAAAAGTGTATACCAAAAAATTGTTAATCCCTAATCCTAAATTAAAATTTAGGTAAATTCACAATTATTAGATCAACTGATCAAGTAAAAATTAATAGTTTACTTGCATATATCGTTACTAATCATTTTTATGCTCCTAAACCAATTAAATTAAAAAATAATTAATTCCCCCTTAAAATTATTCGATTCAACCGATTAAAAACTTATGTCAAGTTAAAAAAAGATGTACTGTATGTGACTCAATCCTTTGATTATATAAATGTGTTGTAATGGTCGCATAAGTGCTTCATTCATCACGTTTCAGTAACCATAATATTTGTGGTTTTTTATTTGTTTCAAATTGACATATTAATGTGATTATAAATATTATTAATAATATTAGTAATTTACATATGATAGATACATCATTGCCTGATTAAATAAAATTTAATTTAATATAATGCATATATAAATTGTTTATTTTATTTTATTATATATACCATTATGTCCATTGGCTAAATATAGTAACCATTACTTTTTTCACGTGTTTAAGCGAGGAGACTTAGTAATGAATTAGTAACGGTAACGCGTATCAAAATTTGTTAGGGTTTTTTATTAGGAAATTAATAGGTTTCGGAATACTGTACAACAGAGCGTCGATGTCATTATTGATCTTTTGAAGTTTTAGTAATTTTAGTAAAAAGTTTACTGAAATTATTTCGTTGAAACCTCTGCAAATCTCGCATTCATTTCACCGACAATCATTTCACCGACAAGGGAATTTAGGATTAGAGTTAGGGTTAGGTAAGAAAATTAGGGTTATGATAAGGAATTAGAGGTTAGGACAAGGTTAGAGTAAGTGGGTTAAGATTTTAAACCTGTCTCTGACGGTAAAATGATCATGTCAGTGAAATTATTGTCGTAAAGCGTCTGTCGGTGAGATGAAATGATTCCAGACCCCATATATTAAATAATCGCAATTATTTATTGATATTTATACCTGTTGGGTATTTATTAAAGTTTTGACAATGACGCTTTGTTTTTGCAAAATTGATTAGATGAATCATTGTTTCTTCTGTTATGATATTAACTATTGTTTATTCTTGGCAACAACTAAATTGTTTGATCCATACCATTTATGGTATATACAGTCCCCGGCGAAAAGAATGGCGGTGCGAATATCATTTGTTATTTTGGATATGAGATCGGAATTTTCCTATTTAAATTAAAACTTATAATGCCCAATGGGATTTTTAGAATACTATTTTAAAAAGCAATAAAAAAAAATGGAAATTTTATTATTGTTTTTACGCCTATTTTACCTTCTAAAAAACAAAGAAGTTATAAATTTAATAGAAATCGGAGAATAATAATTTGCTATGAATTTTTTTAAAATGCACAAAATCCTACATAATAATAAATTCCATTTTTTTTAAAAAAAAAACTACTTACTTTTAACTGCCAAATATTACAATTGCATTTTGTTATATTACATTACCACAGAGAAATACTACCAATAATTTTTACATTAAAATTGAATTTGGTATGAAAGTTTGAAATAAAAAGTTTAAACTTCATTTTCTCATCAACCAAAGCTTGTATTGAAACAAAATTACAATTATTAGATTCCTTGCAATTACGAAATTTAAATAATGCTCTTTTATTATATTATTGAGTTTTTATATTGCTTATGTAAAATGATTATCTTTATGCAACATAAAAATTCATCATACTCACTATTATACTTTAACTAGCTCATTACACAGATGCCACACTGGAATTTTAAGACCACCATTCGAACCACATAGTCAAGAGGAATCCAATGGTGGTAATTTTGTCTCAATCTGACCTCTGGATGGCAAGAAAGTTAAGAAAATATTAAAATATCATAATAAAAGAACGCTAGTTAAGAGTGCGAATAGTACACAATACTAAATTGAAGCATTTATTGACACGGAAGATGATCATATCAAATATTAGTTAAATAATGAAATATATGTATTTTCTGTTCCTCTTTCAGAAAATAAAAAAAAAATTTCACATTTTACTATAAATTGCATTTGTGATATCAAAAAAACTGACCGCCATTCTTTTCGCCGGGGTCTGTATATAATACGATTTTTAATGGGTGTAAATCTTATTATATTTTTCAAAATGGTATTATAGATTCCTTTCAAAGCGTTAAAAAAACAAACAGACACGAGGTTTTGAAGGTTTTGCTTTAAACGTAATCATAAATTACGTACGTACATGCGCCAGAATACAATCTGGATAAAAGATAATCTTAAATTTAATTTGTGATAAAAATATACTAAGTATTATCTAACTATAAGAAACTAATTCATTAAAGGTAAATCTAATTGCATAATGTTTATGTCACAGATATTTTATGCTATATAATAAACACACCACGACCAAAAATTTCCCGTCAAAGAAAAATTTTTTCATTTCTATGAAAATGAGTCAACCATTACTTTCAAAATCGTCTCCCAATCATCAATATGAGGCAATACCTGATAATAGTCAGCATGAAGAACATCACTTCGAATCTCCCGAAATTATTAGGGATATAGTTTTAGGATTAAGTGATGGGTTAACGGTATGATTTATTAATTAAATTATCACCAAAATAATTGTTAATTGTTAATTATCAATTTTGGATATAATGTACATTTTTTTTTATTAGGTCCCATTTGCCTTGGCGGCCGGATTATCTTCTTTGGGAGATTCTCGTGTTGTTATTATTGGAGGTTGCGCCGGTACGAATAAATAATAATGAAATTCTTATAATTGTAAACGACTAAAAAAATTTTTTTTTATTTATTTAAAAAAGAGCTTATTTCCGGTTCAATTTCAATGGGATGTGGAGGATATTTAGCAGCGAAATCCGACTTAGATCATTATGATACCGAAAGACGTCGTGAAGAATGGTAAAGAAATAAATTTCTTTTAAAAAGAATTTTAAAATTTTGGTGATATAAAAAAAAATATCATTTTGTAGGGAAGTAAAAAACTGTCTTAATGCAGAAATTCAAGAAATAGTCGGTATATATATTTTTGTTTAATTTGTTTAATTATATCATTTTATTATATATAATAAATTTTTTTTAACACAAAAATGCTTTTATAGATATATTATCACCTTATGGATTAGATGAAGCAACTGTATCACCAATTATTGAAAAGTTAAAAAGTAATCCCGAAAAATTTGTCGATTTTATGATGAAATTTGAGTTAAATCTTGAGAGACCCGACCCTTCTCGTTCTTTGGTAAAAAAAAAAATTTAAAATAATTCGTAAAAATATATTATTAATTTTTTTAATAATTTGAAAAATTTTTAATATATATATTATATATTTTATAGAAAAGTGCTTTTACGATTGGAATGTCATATTTCATTGGGGGATTGGTCCCCTTAATACCATATTTCTTTATGGATGATACGACTTATGCTTTATTAGTTAGCAGCATTATTACAATATTTTGTTTGGTTATATTTGGATTTGTTAAAGCGGTATACACATCTCCTAATAATGCGGTATCAAGCGCAATACAAACAGCATTTGTAGGTGCTTTGGCAGCAGCCGCCGCTTACAGTGGTGTAAGATTAGTCGAAGGTTTGTAAAATATTTCGATTTCTTTTTATTAAGATTTGATGATTTGTATGACTAAAAGTTTTTTTTTCCATATATATAGTATGGAAAAAATAATGTTTTATTTCAAATCTAAATCATTTTTCTTGATATAAATAAATCTCAAGATCTAAATCAATTTTTTATATATATACAATATATATATATTTAAGATAAATGAATATCACTTACACTTAAATAATAATTTAATTCTCTTTCAGATTCATTTTAATAAAAGAGTTTTTTTTAAAATTATAAATCAACATTCAGTAATTATTCAGTAATGTTTAAAGAACAAATATCAAGGGATAAAAAAAATGGTTACAATAAATGAAAAAACCAATAAATAATTGATTATTAACAAATCTGCCTCGTAGATTACACGAGACTCCTACTTTTTGGCTTATTTTAATTTGTTAAATTTTTTTTTTTTTCTTTGTTGAAGGGTTTGAAGGATACGTTTCTATTCTATGAAACGTAAAATTGTATATTCTTATATATATCACATAAATATTGTGCTAATTTAGAAGGAAGAATTCATCCTAAGGAAGAAGTATTTGTCCTAAATTTCGTAATAAACCGTACTTTGCGGTATGTAAGCACCTCTTTTTATACAATGCTTATTTTTCAGGGGGTGCTTGCTATCCGCAAAAAATTGATAATTCAATATAAACAATTATTAATTGCGCTCCAAAACGCATAAAGAAGAAAAAATCACATTGAAGTCATATTTAACAAGAAGTCTCTATAGTTTCCAAAATGTCTTTGTGTTCATGTGTGAAAGTTTAAGAGTTTCTTAAAATTTTATAATCATTCCTCTTGCTTCAACTCATAAATTATGCTAGTTCTTCTGACTCTATAAAAAGAATTTCCCAGGATTGCCATAAAATTTACGGTCCCTTTTTAACCTTCTTTGTAGTGTAAGGTATGGAATAGTGAGTAGTGAGTAGTGAGTAGTGTTTAAAAAAAAAAAAAATATTTCTTTTTGTTTCAGAGTAAAAGGCGAAATATGTAAAACGGTTTATTCATATATATATATATATATATATATATATATATTTAATTGAAGCCCATCAACGTTTGAAAAAACTTACGGCCTAAAAAAATGTTCATTGGATTATAGCCTTTTATATGCATTTTGGTGGTGTTACGGATGAACATAAAAAAATGATCACCCAGATAAATGCGTTTTACATTGTTTGTACAACTTTAATCACTTATAAATTAAGTCGAAAATTATTAAGGCACCTTTTTTTTTTTAATTTAGTCAGGTTAATTAATTTTTTTAACGATTTATTTTATTATATAGATATTATATTTTTTTTATTACTTTTAAGAAAATGACAAATCCAACAGATATTCCAATTTTAAAATCAAAAGTAATTAAAGATGAAGCTTATGATAAAAATTATAAGGAAATGCTTTCAATGATATCTACATTAAATGATAGATTATCTAAAGCAACAGAACAAGGAGATGAAAAAGCAATAAAACAACATTTGAAAAGAGGTCAATTATTAGTTCGTGATAGGATTGACCTTTTATTAGATGAAGATTCTCCTTTTTTAGAATTATGTCCATTAGCAGGATGGAATCAAAAAGATATGACATTAGGTGGATCAATTGTAGCAGGTATAGGATTAGTTTGTGGTGTAGAATGTTTAATAACTGGAAATGTACCAACATTATTTGGAGGATCATCAAATGAAATTAGTGTGGCAAAAGGTGCAAGAATAGCAGCAATTGCTAAAGAAAATAATTTACCATTTATACAATTAATTCAAACAGGTGGTGCAAAATTAGATCAACAATCTAAAGTATTTCATCCAGGTGGTGGACAATTTCGTATGTTAGCTCAAAGAACAAAATTAAATTTACCAACATGTAGTGTAGTATTTGGTAGTAGTACAGCAGGTGGAGCTTATACACCTGCTTTAAGTGATTATATTATCATGGTAAAAAATCAAGCTCAAGTATTTCTTGGTGGTCCTCCTCTTGTACAAATGGCAATAGGTGAAAAGGTTGATGCTGAAAGTTTAGGTGGTGGTGATATGCATAGTAGAAAATCTGGTGTAAGTGATCAATTAGCTTTAGATGAATATGATGCTATTAAAAAAGCAAGAGAATTTATTGGTAGATTGAATTGGCAAAAGAAGGGGAAAATTCCTGCTACTCATCTTCTTCCTAAAATTGAGGAACCTTTATATGATATTGGTAAATATAATTGAAAAAAAGATTTTTTTCTTCCAAAATTTATGTGCAAGAAGGCACAAGTACGCGATAATTTTTTACTACCACAATTTTTTTTTGTTTTCTTCTGCATAAAAAAAAAAATCTATCGAATTATTTATTTATTTATGTAACATACCATTTATTAATTCCTGAATTTATTTATTTACTTAAAAAGATGAATTACTTGGAATCGTTTCTACAAATATTAGAATCCCTTTTGATGCTAATGAAGTTATTACTCGTATAGTTGATGGTTCAAAATTTATGGTTTTTAAACCACTTTATGGACCAAATATTATTACAGGATGGGCTTATATTCATGGTGAATTTTATGATATAATGAGAAAAAAAAAGGGAAATTATTTAGTTGATTAATTAATTAATTTGTTTTCAGGATTTCAAGTGGGTATCATTGCAAATAATAATGTTATATTTATGCAAGAAGCTAATAAGGCCACACAATTTATAAGATTATGTAACATGATGTAAGTGAAAAATTTTAATTACTTGAATTTTAATTATTTAATAATATAATATTTTTTAAAAATTCATCATCATTTTTTTTTTTAGGAATGTACCTCTCCTTTTCCTTCAAAATACCACAGGATTTATGGTAGGAAAGGAATATGAAGAAAAAGGAATTATAAAAGCTGGTGCACATTTCGTTAATGCTGTAAGTAATAGTCAAGTACCTGCTATTACAATTATGATGGGAGCTTCTTATGGTGCTGGTAATTATGCTATGTGTGGTAGAGCTTATAATCCAAGGTAAGATGATACATTTATATAAAATATATACACATATATATAATAAATGTATTATGAAATTTTTTGTAGGTTTTTATTTTCTTGGCCAAATAGTAAATGTTCTGTTATGGGACCTGATCAATTAATTGGTGTTATGGATATTATTATGAGAGAAGCTGCCGATAGGTAAGTTACTAATAAATTTTTGTTTCTCTTTTTTTTTAATTAAATATTTATGATCTTGTTTTAACAATAATAGAGTTGGTAAACCAGTTAATGAGAAATTAGTAGCAGAAAGGAACAAAGTGCTTCGATCGATAGTAGAAAATGAATCTGATGTTTATTGGACAAGTTCAAGATTATTAGATGATGGTATAATTGATCCTAGAATGACGAGAGTCATATTGGGATTTTGTTTGAGTATTGTCTATAACGAAAAAGTTGAAGGTGGTAATTTGGCTGGTGCAAGTAGAATGTAACATATATATTTATTAGATAAAATTTACATGAAGGAGATTTTTTTTTTTTAAAAAAAAAAAAAAAATTTATCAATAAAATAAATTTTTATTTAAAGAAATATAAGTTTGTTGGTATATATGCAGCCTAACTGTACATACTAATTCACCATGGTGCAGTCCAACCTACGCTAATCCCTGTACCTTCACACTATTGGTAGTAGCGTCCGCAGTAAAATTCTTTTATGCATCCATTTGATATATTTTCATTCGTCGAAATCATTATAACCTAGATTTCGAGTCTGAACCATTAACATATAAATATTTTTTATTTGCCGATGCCATTTGACCCTTTATTGATTTAAATAATAATTTAAATGATTTTGTCTGTAATACATAGAATTAAATTACAAATAGATCATATGGACCACGCCTACTTTTTAATCTCGAACTAACATTATACTTTCAGTCATAGTCACAATTAAAAATGGTTCATTTACTAACAGATCCGGATAACTCTTTGATAACCAATCTCTTGCATGTATCAATTTACTTTCACTATCAAAATACAAATGAGCGGTTGTGTCATCTTCCCAATAAAACTGACACAATAAATTTAGAGCACGAAAACATTCCATTATCGGTTCGTTCTTACATTTCCAACTATTAATTATATCACCACTAATCTCAAGAGTATGTCTTTTGTCCGTGGCATGTTTTTCGGTGATATACGCGAAAGACTTGAAATGATCTTCCAACGATAAATAAGGAAATTTCTTAAGTTCATTAGATATTCCTATGGGAACGGATTATCAAATGGTCAGACACTTCGTACTCATAATCAAGAAATAAAAATAATACTTTATACTTCCTACCTCTAGACCAAGACCATATTTCGATCCTCCAATTCTTTTCTTTGGCCTTGTCTAATGGGATAATAAAGTCGGCATCGCCAGAGACTAATACTAATGTACCCGGATTCTTGCTGTATATGATGTCCATCATATCAACTGCAAGTTGTGTGTCAACTTTTTTCTCTCTTCCCGCGGTTAGTGGAAAAATATTGACATTGAACTTAAGGTCTAACGCTCGCACCCATAACTCATCATCAATTGGTGGATCAGAGCCAGCAATGAAAACCCCTCCCAATTTTCTTCCATTACAAACTGTTATGACGAGTCGATTGGGATCGACATTAAAAACATCATTCGCAATTCTAAGGTTGCTTTGCGAACCATAAGTGACATTAGAGTAATCGATGAAAATATATACGAGGTCTGAAGTTGTTATAAAAAAAGAGAGATTCCCCGCATAAGTTATAATGAAACCAGCTTGAAAAATTAACAATTATGATACCAAATAGTAACATACCAGATGCTGCTGGTGCTGCCATTTCTGTTAACTAACGTCAAAAGTAATGTGAAAGAAAATAGTTTAACTATGATTTTTTTTTATCTAAAAAAAAAGACAAAAAACAAAAAAAGCTTACTTTTCAGAATTTACACGTTTGAGAATATTAAATTTAGCTCGTACACTTTCCAGGAAAGAGTCGAAGTGTACAAAGTATACGTGACAAAAATATCGTGCTTATTTTATTTTATCCATCGATCTGCAGAATGTGCATTTAATTTAGTTTGCGACGATGTGTAATTTATATTCCGAGTATGACCTAGATAAAAACGTCCAGAGATTTCAATCGGGCTGAATTATTATAAATATTTCTTATTATTAAACGAAACTTGTCAACAAATATTTGTGTTCCATCTTTCCATTAATCGTCGGATCATATTATTTACAATGAAAAAAGTAATCACTAAAATAATTTTATTTAGTTATAAAAATTTAAAATGTAAATTATAATAAATAACTTACCAACTATAGTAATTATAGTAATTAACCAAATAATGCAATTAAAATCATGTGACCATAATTTCTATTTCGATGTAATGCGTTGAAAAATATATGATTTTTTATTGATATAAAAAAAAGGAAAATAAATTATATAAATTGGTCGTGATACACAGAATTGTGTTACAGTGAAATGGTATAATTATACTGAACCATACCAGTTTTTCATTTGCCTACTATACTACTATATATACCTTATACTCTATATATACAAAAAACATTATTATTTCAAAATTATACTTTCCGTTAAATCCACAAATACATACTGATCATCTAATGGATCATCTGTATTTTGTTGAGGGAGATCAACGATATCCTCCGTAATTTTTTTGTCTTGCAACACCTTGACACTCTTGCCAACTCTTCCTTGTTCTTTTAACAACATCGGATATTTCTTAAATAACCAACCCCTTGCTTGTTTCAAATGAGTTTCATTATCAAAATACAAATGAGCAGTTGTTTTATTCACCCATTGAAACTGACATAATAAATTTAAAGCACAATAACATTCCATTATCGGTTCATTTTTCCATTTCCAATTCTTAATTATATCACTACTGATCTCAAAAGTATACCTATTCCTAGGTCCAGTGATATATACGAATGACTTGTAATGAAAATTCAATGATGTATAAGGGAAATTACTAAAGTGTTTAGACTTTCCTGAAATGGGATATAAAGTGATCAGTTTACGTGTCATGTGCCGAGAAATATAAACATATATAAATAATACTTTTATACCTTTATTCCAAAACCATATCTCGATCTCCCAATTCTCTTTTCTGGCCTCTTCTAATGGGACAGAATAGTCGGAATCGCCAGCGACTAATACTAATATTCCTGGATTTTTTCGTATGGTAAGCATAATGTCGCAAGTAAGTCGTGAGTCAACTTTTTTTTCTTTGTTTGATGCGTTTCTTGGGAAAGTTTTGACATTGAACCCATGGTGTTCAGCTCGTCTCCATGCCAATTCATCTTTAGCTGGTGTTGGAGCCGTTTGTGGAGTAGAACCAGCAATGAAAACCCCACCCGATTTTCTTCCATTACAAACTGTTAAGACAAGTCGATTGAGATCGACATTAAAATGATCGTTTGCAATATTAAGTTCACGCGAACCCTCATGAGTGACGTTAGAATAATCGATGAAAATATACACAAGTTCTGCTACAAGGGAAGAGATACTCTGCATAAGTTATTATAAAACTAGTTTGACAAATATAACAATTATGATACCACGTGGGCGAGAACAAAAAAAGGCAAATATACCAGGATCTACTGGTCCTGCCATTTCTGCTAAACTACCAATTAAGAATTGAATTTCGATAGAACATTATGTTCAGTTTACAGGTTTTTTTAGGTCAAAAAAGGAAAAAAAAAAAAATATTAAGGTAGAAACGCTTACTTTTAAACTATTAAATTAACGGTTTGGAGTTATAATCCAGGAATTGGGATAATCCAGCCCGTACACTGTCTCTGAGAAAGAACAAAATATACGAAGTAATTACTTATTAGTAAGGTAAATAAATAATACGTGGAATTATTACAGTTGATCGACGGAATACATATTCAATATGGTGGTTTTAGCGTACGCATACCCAATTAAGGATGTAAAAATGATGTAACCTGATAAATGAGAAAAAATGATCATTGCTTTAACCAGATTTAAATTTGGATGTACGCAACTCCATATGGTGGGAAAATTTATTTAGATTCCAACTAGATAATTATAGAACGTACATCAAGCAAATCATTTATTTCTTGTAACAAATCGTTGAACAATGTTGAACAATCAATAATTATTACAGGGAGTATATATCACTTCAACACCAACAGATTTTCATGATGAAAGACTCGTCGGATCACGAAACAAGTTGGTGATAATTTATTTGATTGGTGCAATCGGTGCTATTAGAAAAAGTTAACCAAATTTTTTAAATTTTGTTTAAATATATATGTTTATCCATTTGAGAAGAATCTTAATGATCGGCGTGGCTTAAAAATTTTGTTTTAAAAAATCATGTGTCCAAAATTTCCGAGAAGCCACCGCATATAAACATTTTTTTATTTTCCGAACAAAATATTTTGATCCTTTATTGAATAAGTTATATGATTTGACTGTGATACATATATTTGTTTAGATATTTATAATTGTTTTACAAAGTGGAATTGTGTATTTATACTAGATTACATCATTTCTATATCTAATATTAATATACTAATGTCAAATACGATAATCTAGATACAGTTATACAATACAAACAAAATACAAAGGATAAATTAAATAAATTATCATTTCAAGGATCCCCCATTAAATAATTGGTTTACCAATGGTTCTTTTGCTGTCTGTTGAGGTAGGTCAACGACAATATCCGAAAATTTTTTGTCTTGAGTGTTGGTATGGTTTCCTTCATGCGGCATCTTATCATTCTTGATATCTTTTCCTAGCTCTTCTACCAACATATTCGGATAATCCTTGGATAACCACCAATTACTTGCATCTTGCAACTGATTTTTGCTATCAAAATACAAATGAGCGGTTGTGCCATTTATCCAGTAAAACTGACACAACAAATTACGAGTAAAATAATATTCCATTATCGGCTCGTTCCTCCATTTCCAACTCTTAATTATATCACCACTAATTTTAAGAACATATTTACTCTTAAGGGGATATATTCTGGTGACATATGCGAAAAACCTATAATGGTCTCTCAAAGATACATGAGGAAAGCTTTTAAAGTTTTTAGCCATTCCTATAGGAAAACAAGTTATCAAATGGTTAATTCTTGCTCATGTGTCCAGAAATATAAATAAATAATATTTTCATACCTTTAGGCCAGGACCATATTTCGACCCCCCATTTCTTCTCTTTGGCCTTGTTTATTGGGGTAGAAAAATCCGAATCGCCAGTAATTAGTATTAATGTACCTGGAGTCTTGGTAAGAATGACCTCCATTATATTGCAAGCAAGATCTACATCAACTCCTTTCTCCTTGTTTGAAGCGTTTCGTGGAAAAGTTTTAACATTGAACCCAAGGTCTTCTGCTCGTTTCCATGACAACTCATCTTTAGCTGGTGTTGAAGCAATTTGTGGAGTAGAACCTGCAATGAAAACCCCACCCAATTTTCTTCCATTACAAACTATTATGACAAGTCGATTAAGATCCACATTAAAAGACTCGTTCTGAAAACTAAGTTCACGCGAACCCTCATGAACGACGTTAGAGTAATCGATGAAAATATATACAAGATCTGAAGTTGCTACAAGAAAGAGATTTTCTGCATAAGTCATAGTATAATAATTATAACAATTATGATACCACACAGGTAAGAATGGGAAAAAGGCTACCAAAAGATTAAATAAAATGCGTACATACCATGGGCTGTTGGTCCTGACATTTCTGCTAGTTATCATATATAATAAAATATGATATACTTTTATTTAATTTATGGTTCCTTTCGACTAAAAAAAAAAGAAGAAATGCTTATTTTTTTTTAACCAAGTAAATGAAAGAAACGGCTTTTTGTAAATCAGGGTTGAACGATTCGGCACGCACACTCTTCTAGTGAAGAAAATGTACGATATAGAATCACAACCCTGATAAAGTTTAATAAGCTTGTGGAGGTTAACGAGTATACTCTGCAAGAGGAGAATTTTCTTGCAAGAGAAGAGAGCGAAATTCTTCGAAAATATGGGGAAAAATGCCGCATATTTCTAGTTATTGGCAACTGGCGTAAAAATAATGTATCACAATATTAAATCAAATATAGAAATTTGAACAATGTAAACCGCAGGGAAAAGAGGCAAGATAACAATGAAAGTAAAAAGTAAATAACGGTTGCATTAATTCCGGTCTCGAAAAGTTTTCTGCGTCACGTGTGTAAATTTATCAACCAATTGTATTGAGGGTCTTTCAGTAGATTACCAAAAAAAAGATAACTTGTATTACAATATTTGCATCTATTGGCGATCATTAGCACATAATTCCCAAATTAGAAGATTTTTCTCGGAATATCATTGACCCAAAAGAAAAGGAAAGAGCCAAAAATAGAGAATGAAGCTAAACTGGTAGTAATGAAGATAAGATAATGTGCAATTAGAATTATTAGAAAGCGTGTTTAATGAACAGATTAATTTTTGATTTAGAATAAACTTCAATTTTTTTTTTTATTACATGAAGCATAAATGAGTAGTTGAGTACATAAATGCGTTTAGAGTTACATATCGAACATGACCTAATTTAGGGATGGACGGAATTAGCGTCCAAAAATATGTAGGGTCTTCTATTATATATGTGTATGTATGTATATATCATAATTGACGTTAATTGACATTAGATCTTGCATTAAATCTATTTGGGGACATTTTATTCCCACGACAGCCATTTTGCGTTCAAACTTTTGTAAAGCATTGGGAGGAAAGGGAAATATGTTACATAAAATCGGGAAAACTTGATCTATCTGCTATTGTCACGCCATCCTGGATTGAAAAAGCAAATAGAGATCGGCCCAATAGTCATTGGTCGACAAGTTTATACTGGATCGGAACCGTTTCTAAACAAAAGATAAATTCGTATGAATCTTATGGAGATTATAAAAAATTACGGACAAACTAATATTTAAATCTCGATTTTTATATGCGTGTATCACTATGCTAAAATTGATTGAGATTTACTCAAGAAGCAAAATCGAGAAATCTTTTGAATACCCTTCAAAGAATTTATTAACAGAAATATGATAATATTTACATTGAGAGATCAAACGCAATACCTCATAGTTGATCTCATATCGCATCGATGATGTACAGTATTATTCTATTGTGAAATCCCGAATCGACTTAACCAAATTTCTAAAAATCTACCTAAAAATAGTTATATATAAGTGGCCTAGTATATATTTAGCAGTTTAATATAATAAAATTACAAATTAAGGTGCTAGCATACATTCTTTTCTGGAAATTTTAGTGGAGATTTCTCGTAAATTCCCATTCATTTTTGAAAATTATTTACCGTCTTGACTTTACAAAATTTGGAAAGTATATTAAGAATACATAAGAATACATGAAAAGATGTTAATTTGTGTATTGAAGCAATCATTGGTGTAAATTATCCTTTTTCTCAACCCGAACAAATCGTTCTTTCCTTATCTTAATACCTTTTTCTGGGTAAAACAGTAAAAAAAAAAATATATAGTTTAGGTAATAATATAACATGTAAAGGCATCCCCCGAAACTTGCTACTCTAATTTTTCATAATTAGTCTTAATTTAGCCAACCGGTAATACAGCAATATTCTATATTTATCTTTCGTAATGTTATCTTTCTAATGCGCAATTGTTATTCTACGACGTACCACAATATAAAGTAATTTTTAGAGACGTAAAAGTTCTAAGTTGGTAGTTGGTTGAACTTTTGCAATGAGGTGAACTATCGAACTTTTTCATGAGGCGAACTATCGAACTTTCGCAAACATCGAACTTTCGAAAGAAGTGACGGAACCATCGAATTTTTGCATGAGGTCCATCGAAACTTTCACAAAGAAGTGAACTATCGAACTTTTGCAATGCAGATATTGTAATACATCATTGCAAAAAAACTAATACCTTAGCGAAACCTTATTTATATTACGACAAGTAAAAAATTTTTGATGACTACATTAAAGTTTAATGTTAAATTGAACATTTTGCATAGTTCCTCATATAATTATTATTCATTCTATCAAGAATATCGATCCAGAATATCTATAATTGGATCATGAAAGAAATGACATAATATATGGCTTGGCTTTTAACAAGCACTTTTTATGTTAATTATGTTTCACTTTGTAAAACAAAAATCTATGTATATGCATTATGAATTACAAGCAGAGTTCAATAAAAAGTGATCCTTTCTTAATTTATGCAGTATAATGAATAAATAGTTTTTTTTTTAAAAAAAAGAATGATTTATATTGTTATGTTTTTTTCCTCCAATATCATGTTTATTTTCAAATATGAAACACCTATCATCATTCGAACTTATCTTAAATCGAAAACGAATTAAAAATACAATCATTGGTTTTAGATTTAAGATTTTTTTTGTTTTTAATTAAGGGGAAAATTTATTTTCAACAAAAATGAGAAACTATTCCATATATATATCATGATGAACATATATTTACAAATAATCAAAAAAGTTCTAAATAGAGAATATATGAATTATGAGTCTATTTGAATTATTGAACTTAATTGACTTATTTTTTTCAATTCGATATTCAATTGAAAATATTATAATAGCAAAAATATATTATTTATTTTAAAAATAAAGAACTTTTCCCGTATATACTATGAACCTTGGATTGATACTGCGTCAATCTAGACGCGTGATTCAATAGATCAGGTGAAGATATGACTGGTTCATTAATTATTTCTGCACAAATACAAGTCATACAATGCGAGTTCGTAAAATATCCAATCACTCCAGTTAATTCATCTTTCAAAAAAACCAGACTTATAATCAATCCTTTTCAATGAATGGATGATTAAATTAAACACGTGTACAGACAGGATGTACTCTGTATAATTCTGGCCCGTAAGTAAACTTCTATTCTAATAAAAGAAGAAGTGAGGACAACCCAAAAATTAATACGGTAAATTCTAAAATTTTAAATTCCGTTGTATTGGATCACATTTTTTTAAAAAAAATATGATTTAATAAATAAAAGTAATAAATTACAATCCCAATTTTGGGGGGAGTGAATAAAAAATATATATATATCTGTTGTAAATATTTATATTTTATTATTGTTACATATTAATTACATTTTAGACCTGGATTTCAAAGGTGGCTCCTTTTCTTATATGCAAATATCTGTTTATCTCTATTTGTATATCTTTGGTTGTTTCCAAACCAATAGTTTCTCGGTAAATGATCCATGTAATAAAAGTTAATCGTCGGATCACGAAACAAGTTGGTGATAATTTATCGGTGCAAATAGAATGTAATTTGTATTTGTTAGAAAAAGTTTACCAAATTTTTTAAAATATATGTTTATAGATCCATCTTAATGATCGGCGTGGCTTAAAAATTTTGTTTTAAAAAATCAACATATAAACATTTTTTTATTATCCGAATACTAAATAGTTATATGATTTGGCTGTAATACATAGATAAACAGTCAACCCTCTCTATCTATGCACGTATTATATATCTTTTCTCTCTAAATGCACGGTTTTTCAAATTTTCATTATGATCCCAAGGGGAGAGTTAACTGTTTATAATTGTTTTACAAAGTGGAATTGTGTATTTATACTAGATTACACCATTTCTATAACTAATATTACGCACAGTACCCGGTATTTTGCAAATTTCGGGGTTTGGCCCTGTATCCCTATTACGCGAATTTTTACTATTAATAAAGAGTGTTTAAAACTTATAAAATAATTAGGGTATTGTTACATGTCACACCTAAAAATATTTGTTGATAATAAGATCAACGATGAATCTGTCTTCTTTTTTTAGAGGTACTAGGGATACTATGGCCCGTTTTGTTTTGAATGCTGGTATGGTTTCCTTCATGCGGCAGCTTATCATTCTTGATATCTTTTCCTAGCTTTTCTATCAACATATCCTTCGATTTCCACCAATTACTTGCATGTTGCAACTGATTTTCGCTACTAAAATACAAATGAGCGATTGTGTCATCTATCCAGTAAAACTGACATAACAAATTATGAGTAAAATAATATTCCATTATCGGCTCGTTCCTCAGTCTCCGATCCTTAATTATATCAACACTAATTTTAAGAACATATTTACTCTTCAGGGGATATGTTCCGGTAACATATGCGAAAGACCTATAATGGTCTCTCGCCATTCCTATAGGAAAACAAGTTATCAAATGGTTAATTCTTGCTCATGTGCCCTAATAACATTTTCATACCTTTAGGCCAGGAACATTTTTCGACCTTCCATTTCTTCTCTTTGGCCTTTTTTATTGCGGTAGAAAAATTCGAACCGTCAGTAATTAGTATTAATGTACCTGGATTCTCGAAATAAGTGACATCCATTATACTGCAAGCAAGATGTACATCAGCTCCCTTCTCTTTGTTTAAAGCTTTTCGTGAAAAAGTTTTAACATCGAGTCCAAGGTCTTCTATCCGTTCCCGCGACAACTCTTCTTTAGGTGGTGTTGAAGCCGCTTGTGGAGTAGAACCAACAATGTTGTTTTGAATGTTGGTATGGTTTCCTTCATGTAGCATCTTATCATTCTTGATATCTTTTCCTAGCTTTTCTACCAACATATCCGGATAATCCTTCGATTTCCACCAATTACTTGCATCTTGCAACTGATCTTCTCTTTTAAAATACAAATGAGCGGTTGTGTCATTTATCCAGTAAAACTGACACAACAATTTACGAGTACAATAATATTCCATTATCGGTCCGTCCTTCCATTCCCAACTTTTAATTATATTACCACTAATTTTAAGAACAAACTTATCCTTCGGGGGACGTTTTCTGGCGATATATACGAAAGACAAATAATGGACTTTCAAAGATACATAAGGAAAGCTTTTAAAGGTTTTAGCCATTCCTATAGGAAAACAAGTTATCATATGGTTAATTCTTGCTCATGTGTCCATAAATATAAATAAATAATATTTCATACCTTTAGGCCAAGACCATATTTCGACTCCCCATTTCTTCTCTTTGGCCTGGTTTACTGGTTCAGAAAAATCCGAATCGCCGGTAATTAGTATTAATGTGCCTGGAATCTTGGTAAACATGACCGTCTTTATTTCGCAAGCAAGATGTACATCAACTCCTTCCTCTTTGTTAAAAGCGTTTCGTGGAAAAATTTCAACATTGAACCCATGATGGTGTTCAGCTCGTCGCCATGCCAATTCATCTTTAGCTGGTGTTGGAGTAGAACCAGCAATGAAAACCCCACCCAGTTTTCTTTCATTACAAACTGTTGTGACAAGTCGATTAAGATCCACATTAAAAGACTCGTTTGGAAAACTACATTCACGCGAACCCTCATGAACGACGTTAGAGTAATCGATGAAAATGTATACAAGATCTGAAGCTGCTACAAGAAAGAGATTTTCTGCATCAGTCATAATAAGACAAGTATAACAATTATGATACCACACAGGTAAGAACGGAAAAAAGGCTACCAAAAGACTAAATAAAATGCGTGCATACCATAGACTGTTGGTTCTGGCATTTCTGCTTGTTATCATATATAATAAAATATGATATACTTTAATTTAATTTATGGTTCCTTTCGACTAAAAAAAAAAAAAATTTGTTGGAGAAGAAATGCTTACTTTTTTTTTATCCAAGTAAATGGAAAAAACGGCTTTTTGTAAGTCAGGGTTGGTTGAATGATACCACTCGAACACTTTTCTAATAGTAAAGAGAACGATACCACCCCAACACTCTTCTAGTGAAGAGAATGATATCAAACACTCTTCTAGTGAAGAAAAATGCACAAATAGAATCGCCAACCCTGATAAAGTTTAACAAGCTTAACGAGGAGAAAGAAAGAGAGGGAAATTTTTCGATAATGTGGGGGAAATATGCCGCATATTTCTAGTTATTGGCAACTGGCGTAATAATGTATCACAATATTAAATCAAATATAGAAATTTGAACAATGTAAATCGTAGGGAAAAGAGGCAAGATGACAATGAAAGTGGAAGTAAATAACGGTTGCATTTAATTCCGGTCTCGAATGTTTTTCTGAGTCACGTGTGTAAATTTATCAACCAATTGTATTGACATGTTACTAGGGTTGATTACCAAAAAAAACGATAACTGATATCTTGTATTACAATATTGCATCTATTGGCGATCAATTCCCATATTAGAAGATTTTCTCGGAATATCGTTGACCCAAAAGAAAAGGAAAGAGCCAAAAATAGAAAATGAAGCTAAACTGGTAGTAATTAAGATAAGATAATGTGCAATTAGAATTATTAGAAAGCGTGTTTAATGAACAAATTAATTTTTGATTTAGAATAAACTTCAATTTTTTTTTTTACATGAAGTAAGAGTGCATAAATAAGTAGTTGAGTACATAAATGCGTTTAGAGTTACATATCGAACATGACCTAATTTAGGGTTGGACTCTGTCGTGTCGGGATTAGCGTCCAAAAATATGTAGGGTCTTCTATTATATATGTGTATGTATGTATATATCATAATTGACGTTAATTGACATTAGATCTTGCATTAAATCTATCTAGGGACATTTTATTCCCACGACAGCCATTTTGCGTTCAAACTTTTGTAAAGCATTGATTTATGAACGAGGAAGGGAAATATGTTACTTAATTTGAACATAAAATCGGGAAAACTTGATCTATTGATTGTCACACGCAATCCTGGATTGAAAAAGCAAAAAGAGATCGGCCCAATGACTATTGGTCGACAAGTTTATACTGGATCGGAACCGTTTCTAAACAAAAGATAAATTCGTATGAATCTTATGGAGTATAAAAAATTAGGTTACGGTACATTTCGCCGAAAGGACGTTTCACCGAAAAATAGGGCCAACATTATGCAGATCCCGAAAGAGTTTATTCGACTTAACCAAATTTCTAAAAATCTACCTAAAAATAGTTATATATAAATGGAAGATTACGCCTAGTATATATTTAGCATTTAATATAATAAAATTACAAATTAAGGACTTAAGGTGTTAGTATACGGGTTTTCCAAGATTTAATTATAATAAAATTAAAGTGCTAGCATATAATTTAAACTAATCCAATACTTTATTTAAAATTATTTAATTATTTAAATATTTTAGTTGGTAAGTTATTAATTTTATTTAATATATACACGTAAATATTCCCATATAATTTAAACTATTTTTTCTGGAAACTTTAATGGAGATTTCTCGTAAATTCCCATTCATTTTTGAAAATTATTCACCGTCTTGACTTTACAAAATTTGGAAAGTATATTAAGAATACATGAAAAGATGTTAATTTGTGTATATCATAAAGAATTGAAGCAATCATTGGTGTAAATTATCCTTTTTCTCAAACCGAACAAATCGTTCTTTCCTTATCTTAATACTTATAGACTTCTTTTTCTGGGTAAAACAGTAAAAAAAAAATATATAGTTTAGGTAATAATATAACAATATAACATGTAAAGGCATCCCTCGAAACTTGCTACTCTAATTTTTCATAATTAGTCTTAATTTAGCCAACCGGTAATGCAGCAATATTCTATATTTATCTTTCGTAATGTTATCTGTCTAATGCGCAATTGTTATTCTACGACGTACCACAATATAAAGTAATTTTTAGAGACGTAAAATTTCCGACTAAGTTGGTAATTGGTTGAACTTTTGCAATGAGGTGAACTATCGAACTTTTGCATGAGGCGAACTATCGAACTTTCGAAAGAAGTGAACCATCGAACTTTTGCATGAGGTCCATCGAACTTTCACAAAGAAGTGAACTATCGAACTTTTGCAATGCAGATATTGTAATACATCATTGCAAAAAAACTAATACCTTAGCTTTTTTTAGAATTCCGAGAAACCTTATTTACATTATCGAAGAGTAAAAAAAAAAAAAAAATTTTTGATGATTACATTAAAGTTTAATGTTTTAATTGAAAAATTTTGCTCCTCATATAATTATTATTCGTTCTATCAAGAATATCTATCCAGAACATCTATAATTGGATCATGAAAGAAATGACATAATATATGGCTTGGCTTTTAACAAACACTTTTTTTGTTTTTAATTAAGGGGAAAATTTATTTTCAACAAAAAAAAAATGAGAAACTATTCCATATATATATCATGATGAACATATATATTTATATATATTTACAAAATAATCAAAAGTTCTAAATAGAATCATGAGTCTATTTTGAATTATTTGAACTTTAATTGGACTTTTTTATTTTTATTTTTCAGTTTCGATATTAATATTCAATTGAAAAAAATATTATAACAAGCAAAAAAAAATTATATTATTTATTTTAAAAAAATAAAGAACATACTAATGAACCTTTTTGAATTGATACTGCGTCAAAATCTAAAAACGCGTGATTTAATAGATCAAGGTGAAGATATGACTGGTTCATTGATTATTTTCTGCAACAAACACAATACACAAGTCATACAATATACAATGCGAGTTCATAAAAATATCCAATCATTCCAGTTAATTCATCTTTCAGTTAAAAACAAAAAAAACCAAACTTATAATCAATCCTTTTCAATGAATGGATGATTAAATTAAACATTACATATACAGACAGGATGTTTACTCTGTATAATTCTGGCCTGTAAGTATTAAGTAAATTTTTTTTTTCACTATTCTAATAAAAGAAAAAGTGAGGATAACACAAAAAATTAATACGGTAAAATTCTAAAAAATTTAAAATTCTGTTGTATTGGATTACCATTTTTTTTTTTTTTTTTTTAATTAAACATTTTAGACCCTTTTTTTAGTTGTTAACCAATTCTGGATTTCAAAGGTGGCTCCTTTAATGCTACACTCCATGTAATAAAAGTTACGTTTTTTACTGTTGGCAACATTAAAAACATCATAATTTCAGCAGGATGTACATTAATAAATTAATTAACTTGCACACGGAATGTATAAACTCAGATTGTCCATTCCCATTCAAATAATAAATCTCCTAGTGTTATCACTGTGTCACCGAAATACGAAATAATCGCATCATAATTTCGGCCTAAATTTTTTTATCGAAAAAAAGGTATTAAATCCTTAAAGAAAAAAAAAGTTGAATTGCTCGACGCGTTTTTATAAGAAATGGTCGTTTATGGTCGAGATAACAAATAAATTTCATAAAATATATATACATGTATAATATTAATTTTTAATTTTTAACTTTTCATATAGATTCTTTTATTAAATCTTTTTTTTTTCTTTTTTAAAATTGAAAAATGTGATTTTATGTTTTTTTAATATGAATTGTGTATGTATGGATTTTTTTTTAAAAACTATCCATATACAAAATATTTTNAAAACATCATAATTTCAGCAGGATGTACATTAATAAATTAATTAACTTGCACACGGAATGTATAAACTCAGATTGTCCATTCCCATTCAAATAATAAATCTCCTAGTGTTATCACTGTGTCACCGAAATACGAAATAATCGCATCATAATTTCGGCCTAAATTTTTTTATCGAAAAAAAGGTATTAAATCCTTAAAGAAAAAAAAAGTTGAATTGCTCGACGCGTTTTTATAAGAAATGGTCGTTTATGGTCGAGATAACAAATAAATTTCATAAAATATATATACATGTATAATATTAATTTTTAATTTTTAACTTTTCATATAGATTCTTTTATTAAATCTTTTTTTTTTCTTTTTTAAAATTGAAAAATGTGATTTTATGTTTTTTTAATATGAATTGTGTATGTATGGATTTTTTTTTAAAAACTATCCATATACAAAATATTTTAAATACAAAATAAAACTAACTTGCCCTTCTTTTTTTGAAAAAAAAAAAAAAATGATAAATGACTACATGGGTTTTCATTCCAGATATTATTTCCCATTACAATAATTATCATTTTTTTTTTTTTTTTACTAACTTAATTGTTGACCACCTCCATTTTCATCATTATTATTGTTACCATTTTCACTATTATTATATTCTTTTAATTTATGATTTCCATTCATACGATGATTTCCGTTATATTGTCTATTATAACTTTCATCTTTTCCGTAATTCTTATTACTACTAATGGACAGATTTTCGTCGTCATCAAAAAAATCTATGCTATTCAAATTTAATAATAAAGTTCTTAAAAATGCTTGCTCATATTTTGTATTTTCAAATATTACAGCCAAATTTTCTGAAGGGCACCTTAAAAAATTTGGTGCAAATACCATAGCTAGATTATGTACATTCATTTTTGTCATTTTAGCTATTTGAGGATTCGCAAATTTCTGTTTGATATAAAATAAAAGTTAGCGTTTAAAAAGCCAACGTTTAAAATACCATTCAAAAAATTTATTTTACTTACTTGTAAGAAATCAATAGTGTAGACAACAACTCTTTGATTAATTAAAGGTAATTGTTTGACAATTTCAACGGCTCTGGCATCTTCAGAATATCTTATACATTTTTCATAAAATTTGTTAGGTATAAGTGGTTCCGCTAAATCTCTCAACCAAAGTTTTAGTAAAGATGATGGTACATTTGGATCTGTTATACCGCTCATGTCATATCTATTTTTTTCTATCCTCAATTTCTAATTAACCAAAAAGGGAATATTAAGGAATGTTAAGGGGTGTCAAATTTCTTAAAAGTTTTTTATATCGAGGAAACTTACCAATTCGGTTACATAATCAGCATCACCAGGTACACGAAATATTCCTTCGCTAGATTGACCATTTAATTCTAAAATAGAATTTGAAAGAAATGGTAATATTCTAGGTATTTTAAGATGTGGGAAAGATTTTGCTTGTAAATTCATTATAAATTCCAATGTCTCTCCAAACACTGAAGGATGGAATGGTGCTTCCTATATATTTAAGGAAAATTATAAAACACGCATATATTATATATATATTATATATTTAAAGTTTTTTTTTTTTTTTGAAGATAATTAATTGTAAACTTACTCTAGCCCTCTCAATTTCAGATAATGTAAGTACTTTACCACGTGGACCACGTTTACATATTTTCGTCAGACGATTATGTACATGTTTACTCAATATATCAATTTGATTAGCATAAGTAAAATGTTCCATAATAAATTGCATTAAATATGCTTCGAAATTTTTTGAGGGAGGAAATGTAACTGCTATCACGCATAACAATTCCCAACCTTTCCTTATACTTTCACTAAATTAAAATAAAATCATCAAAAAATTAATCTTTTAATCTTTTCTCAAATATTTAATAATGATTACTTACCTATGAGGATTCTCATTTAATTGTTTACAAATTTGTACATAAATTTCATCTCTTAATTCTCCATGTGATATTCCACGATCTAATAACCATTGTATATCTTCTAATACATTGATAGGACCATTCCTTCCTTTTGATCGATCACCCATTATACGTTGAATGACCTTAAAACACTTTATTGCATCTTTTTGTATATTAGTATTAAGTGTCATCAAAGGTTGACTAATTAAATCCTATATATAAAAAAGTATAAAAAAGTTAAAAAAGTTAAAAAAGTTTAAAAAAAAAAGTATAAAAAAGGGGTGAGTAACAAAACATTTAATAATTCACAAATATTAATAATTATTACCTTTTGAAACAACAACATTTTCTCTACTGGAACTTTTCTTCTGAATATTCCTTTTTTATGAGTAGTAAAATATTTTCTTGCAAATCCATCAATTCTAAATTTACTTATATCTTCTTGTAATTCAGGTGGTAAAGTTATAACCTCCCTATTTTTAAAACGGGATAAAAATGGTATCAATATATTTGAAGGCATATTTCCTACTTTCAATTATTTTATTCTTTTCCAAAAGAGAAAGAGAGAGAGAGAGAAAAAAAAAAAAAATATTTTTTTTTTATATAATTTAGAAAATAAGGTAATATAAGGTGACACATATGTAATGCAATGCACGATTATAAAAATTATGTCATACAGCCTCAAAATTTACATTCTAAACTATAAAAAACTATAATTTCATTTATGAATAATGGAAAAAAAATATATATATTACTAAACTTACCGAAATTTACCACAGGATTGCTTATACCAGTTTTACGTGCTTTATCAGCAGCAATTGAAGATTTATTAGGGGGAATAATCTTGAAAGATTGCTGTTGCATATTTACATACGATTCGATCCCATTATTAACTGCATTTGGTGGAGTTATTGGACGAGAAGCTGAAGTTGATGTTGAAGAATTTTGCGATTCTGAAAGTTTTACTTGTCCCTTAAAAAGAAAAAAGAAAAAAAAAAAAAATTCAATTTAGCTTGAAAAAATTTTAACAGATATTTATATATACATATATATATGTATATTGTAATTATCTATAACATTCAAATTCAATAAATTCAATGATCTTTTTTTTTTCATGATCTTTTTAAAAAAAAAACAACATGGGACAAGATCATAATTATTTTACCTGTGATGATTTATCATTATTATTGTCATTGATTAAAGTATTTGAAGAATTTAAAGAATTTTTAGAATGATCAATTTTCAAATCAACATCACGTGATGAAGATTTTATAGGAGAAGCAGGAGTAGTAGTAATAATAGTATTATTAGTGGTATGATTAACAGTATTATTAATGGTATTGTTTGTGATATTATTAGGGATATTATTAGGGGTATTATTAGAGGAGTTATTTGTGGAGTTAATGGTAGTGTTATTAGTAGTGTTATTAGTAGTGTTCTTGTAAGTGTTCTCGGAAGTGTTCATGGTAGAATTTTTATAATCATCATTATTATTAATGGTAATATGATTGTTATGATTAATATTATTATTATTATGAAAAACAAAATCATCTTGTTGATTATTATAATTTTTTAAAGGGGGAACAACATGTTGATGATTATGATTATGATGATGATTAGGAGATAATAATAAACCCGAAGCTCTTTGTTTTGAATCTTTTCCAATATCAATAATAGTATCATCATCTTGAGCGAATACAACTGATAATCTTTTTCCAATTGAAGAATTTTGAATCTTTTTTAAAGGAATAATTGTTCCAGTGGAAGGTAAATCCCAACCAGTTTGACCATTAGTCGTATTATAATAATAAGGTAAATTATGATTATCATCCCATAATTCCCACCATTCTATTCCTAATACTGGATGTAAAGATACATTTCTTGGTTTTTCTAATAAACATTCTCCTGTTGACTACAAAGAAAAAAAAAAGGTGAAATTTTTTTTTTTTTTTCTTTGTATGCGTTTAAATAATGATTGATGAAAAATACTTACTGGATTAGCATAAAATACCGTATCTAATTGAGGATCTCTTATTTGAACCCAAGAATCAGTAATAACTGTAGCCATATTTTATTTTATAAATTGTGGAAAGTTAATAAAATATTTAAAAAATTCAAATTTTTTAACCACAATAATTTATATATATATATATATATATATATATTTCGTATATAACTTGTTCACAAAATAATTTAAAATATATCTACTTAATTAGCAACAAATTGCACTTTACCATTTTCAGCAATAATAGGATCTAGGCAATGCATTTAGGTAAAACTTTAGTAATATAGTTTAATATTAACATGGGGTTTTTTTTAACAAACCTCCAAAATTTGGGATACACAAGTTCAATTAACTTTTAGACATATGATAATTTCAATTTTTATTATTAGTTTTATGTTTTTCTGTATTTTTTTTTTTTAAAAAAGAAACTTTAAAGCATATATATAAAGAAAAAATATGAAGAGAAAATTTTTCATGAAAATATAAACATTAAAAAACGAAGAAAATATACATGATGATTATTAATATATAAAGAGAAGCTATATGTTTTTTACTATATTAAAACTAAAAAAAANTTGCACAAGTTTTGAGTATTTGGATTTGGGAATTTTTTTTTTTTTTGTTGTACCACGTAATGATATAATTCATTCAAATTATTTTAAGAGTGATAATATAAAAAAAAAAAATTAACCCCGAGAATCGTGGAGAAAAATTCCTTTTTAACATTTTAACCGTGTTAAATTTTTTAAAGAAATTATAAATTAACTCTTAAATTAAAAAAATCATAATAAGAGAAAATTATCGGATAATGATTGATGATTGATGATTGATATACAATTAATTTAAATTACACATTAACTTTCGTAATACGAAAGAAAAAATACAAAAATACAATACTCTTAAAACGGAAAATACGGGAAGAATAAAAAGAAAAAAACTGAATGGTTTCATGTGGATCCAAAAAAAAAAGATTGTCCATTTCGGGATAGTGAACTAATTTACTTATTATTTATGATTTTTTCTTTTTCCTATTTATGACAATTAGATCGACTATCTTATAATTAATAAAAAGGGTAATTAATATATAAAAAAGAAAATCATTGTTAAAATAAAAAATTAATTATCTTGTTTACCCAAAAAATTATCTTATTATTTAAATATTTGAGGGAAGTGGTCCGTATGCTCCGTTTGTCCTTTCCGTATGTCCGTTGTGAAGCGTAACTGCGCTTTATTATAGTAAGTCCGATATAAATCTATAAATCATCTAAAAATATATAAACTCGATTCCTCTTTTAGAAAGTAAACAAATATATAAATAAAAGGTAATATAACTTGAGAATGACGCCACTAATCACTTAAAATAATTTTTATGCAAAGGTTACCATGTTACCATGTGCCTAAATTTAAATTATTACTTTTTAACTTTAATTCGTCGTTATTATCTCGTGATATTAAATAATCTTTATTGATGCATAATTTTGCATAAAATATTGTTTTTTTATTTTTATTTTTTATTTTTTATTTTATTTTATTTTTTTTTTTTAGTATAAATTTTTTTTTCGGTTTTTCATTTTATCAAAATTTTCGCTTACCTCCGGTCATGTTTAACTCTAAAATAACAATGTCACTTATTTATTTATTTATTATTTATTTCTTTTAAGCAACTTTTTTTACATAACATGACATCACATTTCGGTGCATATCGACATGAGGTTGATCCTGTTTCATTGGTTCTAATTTTATAATAACCGAAATTTCTATTTTGGTTTTTTTTTTGGTTTTAAGCTTTGAATTTTCTCCTTATCTTTTCACCAATCCCCCCTAATTTTCTATTTACATAATATTCCGGATGTGGGATGATATTTCTTCCATATGATTCATAATTTTCGTATGATCGTTTGTGTGTTACCCTGTTTTCCCATATTACTTTCTTATCATTTCCCTTATAATTTTCATTTTATCTCATGCGTCTCTTTACTCTGATATATTATCTATATTTGATTATGTACATGATCTTAGGTTTTTTATTAATAGGATTAAAAATTATTATAAAAATAAATTTTTACTATATTGTGTAATACAAATTTATTATAATAAAATTAATAAATTCTTCCTCAAAATCATTCATTGTTATGTCATGTTATGTCAACATTGAAATGTCAACATTGAAATGTCCAACATTGAAATGTCAAAAGTTCTCTTTACCGCGGAATCACTTATTTGATATGCCGCATTACAAAAGGGATGTCGGGAAGGAGCTCTGTATATCTCTCCCGACAACAATAATGTTATCTGTTGGTTTATGATCGGAAAGGGTAATACAATATTTGAATTCAAGTTTAAAGGCACATGAGGGATTACCAAGATTGATTTATTTGAAATAAATTTCCAAAGAAAATATCATACAAACTTTTAATTAAAGTGTATCACTTTTGATAAAACATTTATCATTCTGATTCATAAATCTATGTTTGTAAATAATAATAATGTGATTAATGTCATTTTTGGTAAAATGTTCAATTTCATTTATCATTCTGATTCAAAATCATATTATTCAATCTATTTTTATTATTTATAATAACTTCTTATAGCACCAATTAATGTTACACTTTTAGTAAAATGATTGTTATTATAATTCATTCAAATTCAAATGTTACTTAGTCTTTATCTATATTCTACCACTTTAATAATACAAACTAACCAATCAAATAGTATAATAGTAATACATTATTAATAGTAATTTCATAAAGATTCATAATTACAGTTATACCTTTATATAATCATAAATCAATTTGGTGATTTTGTATTGTATTTTATATTTTATAATAAGAAACATCTGCTAATTAAATAAGATAACTAATATAAAAAAATATTATATTACCATAAAGTTCTAAAAATAAGTATCCTTCAAATATAAGCATTAACATATTTTTTATATTACCCAAAAGTAAGTATCTTTGACCAACACTATAATAATTTTGGCCAGTACTACAATATACTAAATATATAAATTTACCCAAATATAAGTACCTTTATAACAAAAAAAAGTTACTTATATTCAAATAATATCTTTTATTTATCTCTCTTTTATTATAGTTATTCAAATAACTCAAATATATTTAAGTATTTGAATAAGCATGATAATTATTTGACTATTTGTTTAGCTAAATATAATATAATTAAAATTCAAATTAAAACAATTCAGGCCAAATTTATATAAATTATTACTATAAAAGGAAATTCAAATATTAATATTTGAATATACTTTATAAATTTAAATGAATACTCAAGTATATTCAAATATATTTAATTTCAAATACTAACTTATCATTATTTTATTAAAAATCTTTATTATTTCTTTTATTTATTTAACAAATTTTACTTTTATAACTAAAATGTGAAAGTTTCCTTAATATACTTTTACTGTTTATATTTATTTATTTTTTATTTAAATATTAATCAAATCTCAAGTAAACTATAAATATATTACTTTTAATTAAATATAACTTTTAATAATAATATTTTATTAAAGATAATTATTGTTTTATTATTTTAAAAAACATTCTTGATATCTATTTTATGGTTTTATATATCTATTATGATCTGCTTCAGTAATTCTAAAATAGGTAAAACTTACATAACTATGACAAGCATATTATATATTATTTACTTTATACATATCAGCGGATTTGTTTCATCACATGTTATTTGCTATAACAAATTTATTATAGAAATGGAAAAACCCAATTCTCTAATTAATTTACTATGTTCAGCTGACATGTGATGAAACAAATACGCCGATATGAGTCTTATAACCTATTTTGTACAAATATAATAATAAAAAATTAACATAAATTAGTATAATAATTTATTTCACCAACTTAATTATAAAAATATTGGGATATTTTAAAAAATTAAAAACAACTTTACTAATACAGCAATAAAAATTAAAGAAAAATATTACATTTGTCTAAAGTTAGTTTTTAAGTATTTTTCTTCAATTTATTTATTTATATTAAATATTGTTTTTTAATTGCAAATTAAAGCTACCTATTTTGTAATAATAATGGTATTTTAACTAGTAATAATAAAAGTACAATATTATTAATAAGTATCAGGATAATAATTGTTTAATAAAAATAATATTTAAACTTATTTTCTTTTATATTTAGTTTACATCCAATTTAATAAATAGATAAAAATAATAAAAATAAAAAAAAATTATCAATTTTAAATAAAGTAAAGTTTTTAACTTTTTTAATATAAAAATGTTATCTATTATATATATAAAATAAAATATTAGATAATTCTAAAAAGATATATAGTATATAAAATATATAAAATGCAATCTTACAATAAAGATTTATTTATATGATTTTTTTTTATATAAATAAACTAAAATTACAAAAAATATATTATTATTATTATCACTATTAGAGTACCAAATGTTTTTAATAGAATAAACCCAATTTAATTATAATAAAAAGAACAATGTAAATCCAAATTCATGAATTTTTTTTTAGTAAATTTTAAATTTATTTATTTTTATCATATAAAGTTTATTTAAACTAATCTATAAATTTATATTTATATTAAAGAAAATTTTTTAAGAATTCATATTTCATCTCCTATTATTCTTTTTTTATCTCTACATTATTTTTTTCATTTTTATTTCATCCTATCTTTTTTTCATTGCAATTTTATTTTATATTACTTTATCTTTTTTATCATTATTTCAATTTATACATTCCTTTAATTATCATTTTAATCATTATTATATATACTATTCTTTTATTACTATTTTATCTAAATCATCTTCTATTGTTTTTTTCCCATTAACATTTCATTTTATATTACTTTATTATTATTTTGTCTTATATTATTTCTTTCATTATTATTTCATTTTATATTATTTTTTTTATTAATATAGGATTTTTTCTATCACCATTTCATCCCATTATTTTTTTTACTATAATTTCATTTTATATTGCTTTTTCATTATCATTTCATTTTATACTGTTCTTTTCATTACTATTTTGTCTTCTATTATTTTTTTTTATTACTATTTTATGCTATATTGTTTTTTATTACTCTTTTTATTCTTTATTATTATTCTCTTTTATTCCTTATCACTATTTGATTGGGTCTTCTTAAAAATTAAAAATGTATGCAATTTTTTAACTATATAAAATTACATAAAATTATAGTTATATTAATATTATTGGTTAATTATAATTATATAATATTAGTACTAATTACCAGTAGTAATAAATAGCAAAATTTTTCTTTTTATATTAAAATTTTAATAATTTTAAATAAATATTTCTAATCTCATAAATCTACTAAATTCAATTAGATTAATAATAAGTAGAAAAGTTGATTTTACTCTAAAATTAAAGTAATTTATTCTTATAGTCTTATTATTGATATAAAGTATAGTTAATTGGAATATTCAGTTTATATATTTTTTAACTAAAAAATAGGAACTATTATAAGTTCAAAGCAAAAAACTAAAATTTGTGATTTTATTAGATGATGATTATATAATCAATTTTTTTTATAATATATAGTAGATATATATATATATTGTTTTTTACTTCACTCTGAATAATTATATTATCAATTTTAATAATACTTTTATTTCTAATATTCTTCTATTCTTTTACTACTTTATTATAAATAATAGCATAATTTGAATTACTATTTCCTATTCTTAATATAATACTATATATATAAGCATTAGTAAAATTTTGATATTTATTGTTTAGTAAATTAAAAGTTAATTTTTTATTAAATTTAAAACTATAAAAATAGATTTGACAGTACATTTTTTAAAAAAATTTGAGCTAAATTAATAACAATATTTTTTATAAAATTATTATAAAAAATTTTTATAAATATATTAAATTTTAATAATTTATAAATTTTCTTACAAACTAATATTAAAATGATAAATATAATATTTAAACTAAATATAATATAATTGATTTATTTGTATTTTTTTAATAAAAAAATTATTAGTATTATGTAATTTTTTAACTATTTTACAATATACCATATACTATATATTAAAATTTTTCTTTACCTCTAGTCCAAATTAAATTTCTTACTATACTATTTTTTAAAATGTATTGAAATTTAATAGAAAAATCAAGTCAATTAATAAGTATGTTTTTAAAGAGAAAGGTATATTACTTATGGAAATACAAAAAATTTCCAGTTCAATTAAAAATTACCTAAAATTTTGTTTTAAGAAAAAGTTTTCAGCTTTATAAATAAATTTAATTGTAATAGAAGCCATTATTTAATGGTTAACAAAACAAAAATAATGTTAGTATTTGAAATTACTTTTTTTTAAATGATTATTCCATTATTCAATTTAGTATAACAAGTAATAATCTAATTGGGATAGTAATACATTATGATTAAATTAAAAAGCAGTATTCTTACTGCCATTACTTTTGCCAGAAACTATAAGTGTAATTATCATAATATGATAAGACTGCATGCATTTATAATAAATTAATAAAAAAATAAAGATATAACCATATAAAATTTTATTTATTTCAATTTTTTTAATAAAGTATAAAGTAACATAGTTTTATTTAAAAAAATATTATAAGATATATAATCCAACAAAATTTAATAGCTGAAAAACAAGCTATTTTTAAAATATATATTTACTGCAAAAATAATTTATTTGATATATATATATATATATGATATTTTTATATAGATGTAATATGAATAGTATATTAAGAATAAATGAAATTTATGGATAATTGGATATGTTTAGCATTTGATATTTTATTTATATTAATAGAATAACAATAATTGTTAAAGAATACTGAAAAGTTCTTATGAGAGATTATTTATTACAAATTTTTTTATTCCTTTCTCTTCAACATCAAAATTTGAACAAATACTTTTTGGTTATAAAACTTTGGATTGAAAAAAATCATTTCAATCTAAATGGAAAAAAGTTTATGATTTGTAAACATCTGGTATATCTAAAAGGCCTAGTGAATCCTTCTTTTTTGATACAATTAAATGCAATAATTAATATCTTAATTTTTGATAAAACTCTAATTTATGAATCATATAATCAAATAATTTGTAGTATGGACAATTGGACATATTTGAAAATCTTATAATACAACAAGTAGATTTACTTGAACAAAAAAAATCAAGAAATTCAGGGAACTAAACGAAATTTTAACCAAATTAAGAAGACTATGGTTAATGAAGTAAATCAATATACTATAGGTGCCATAAACAATGCCCATACACCTGGAAGAATCACAATCACAACACATGCTTTTGAAGTAAAAGTAAATATCATAAAGTAAGTAGTATCTTCTATTCAGTATTTTTTTTTTTAAAAAAAAAATGATTTTTTTAATTAGGACTTAGGAATGATAATTAATATATGTAGAAGAAAGAATGTACAAAATTGCAAATAAGACATTGCATACTTTCATTTAATTTGCAATACTTTATTATCAGTTATTATATCAATGGGTTATAAAAGTTCAATACAAAAATACAAAAAAGTTTTTAAATAAGAATTTATTAAGTTGTAAAATTCAATAAAAAAAATAAAAAAAAAAAATTTTTTTACTTAAAAACTATATTTACGCGTGAAAGTGTCGCGGTATATATAAATGCATTTCGGCCAATCTCAGTAATTCCACGTGATTTGATGATAATCTCAATTGTAAAAAAAAAAAAAAAAAAATTTTTTTTTTTTCCAGATCAAGAAAAAAAAATTGATCTATTAAAAAAAAAAAATGGAAGAAACATTTGAAAGAATTCGGGGTCAAATTAATTCCAAACTTGATAATCAAAAACAAATATCAATAACATTATTAGCAATAGAAGAAACGATAAAAGAACAAGATAGTCCGTTAAATGCCACGTCATATTTTGGCGCTTTACTTATAACATTAGAACAACAACTTGTTAAAAAACAACAATTGTTACAACAACAGCCACCACCAACAACAACAACAACTAAAACAACAACAACTACTACTACTACAACTTTAGTAGAAGAAAATAATAATATAATTGGATCAATATTATATTTATTAAATATTGTATTAAAAGAATTACCAGCGAATATATTAAAAAATAAATATTTTACTATATTAACAATATTTTCTACATCATTTGAAAATATAGAAAATAATAATGATTCATTGATTTTAAGAAGTATAGTAGGATGTTTAGAAACTTTATTATCCGTACAAGATGATATAAATGTTTGGCAACAATTTCAAACCAAAAAAATTTTTCAAAATTTATTAATATTATCTATTGATAATAGACCTAAACCAAGAAAAAAAGTTCATGATAGTATAAAAAAAATTTTATTTTCAATCTCTAAAAATAATGATGAAAAATCATTAGGAAAATTTAAACATCCTGCTATTGATATGACAGTAGAATTTTGTATGAAAATACTTAAAGATTATATTAAAACTGATCAAACATCAGTTTTACATATTTTAAGTTTATTAAAAGGAATTATTGGTATATGGACAACAGAAAATCTTTATTCATTATGTGAAATATTAATCAATATACCAAAATATAATCAAAAATATTTAACTGTATCATCATTTCAATTATTTGAAATATTATTTCAAAATAATTCAAAAGGTTTTATCCTTGAAGAAGGAAACGAGGGAGGAAATGGGGGAGGAAACGTACAACTGCAACAATTGCAATTGCGACAACAAGTACAACAACGACAACAACATCGATTTAAAGAATTGTTGATTTCATTGACGGATTTAATGCCAAATATAAAAGATGTACAACTTTTACCACAATGGTTAATGATTATAGCAAGAGGGTTTCCTATATATGTAGAATGTAATAAAAATGAGAGTGAAATGATGTTACAAGAATTTTTCATCAAAATTTTTGGAATTTTAGAAAGTGATAATTCTGATATTATAGTATCAGCTACTGTATGTCTTTGTGAACTTGTTTCTTCAGGAATTACAGATAATATGATTCAAAAAGAATTAAATTATATTAAATCAAATCATCAAGTTCAACGAGAAAGTTGTTTAAATATTATAATTTCAACTTTAGAAAATAGTTTTACTTTTAAATATCAAAATGCATGGCCAGGAATTTTTGAAATTATTAAAGAATTATTTGAAAGATTTCATAAATCTTCATATCCATTATTAAATAATTTATTAAAAATTGTAACAGATATTAGAATGGATAAAACTTTTGAATTTAAAGAAGAAGCGGATATGGTTATAGGATCAGCTATAGAAAATATGGGACCAAAATATCTTTTAAATATAATTCCATTAAATTTAGAAATTAATAATAATAATAATAATAATAATAATATTGGTAGAGCTTGGTTATTACCTTTACTTAAAGATCATATTATAAATTCGGAATTAGGATATTTCTTAAAAGAATTTATACCTTTAAGTAAAAGATTACAACAAAAATCTTTAGAATTTCAAAAACAAAATCGTTTAATTGAATCAAAAATTTATGATACTTTATATCAACAAATTTGGTCTTTATTACCAGGATTTTGTAATTTACCTATAGATTTACAAAAAACTTTTAATAAATCTACAGGGGAATTATTAAGTAATACTATGTATCAACAACCTGATTTAAGACCTATAATATCATTATCATTACAAAAATTGGTTGAAAAAAATAAGGAATTATTAAATTCTGAAAAGGATGATCAAGAATTAAAAAAATTATTAAATATTGATAAGAATGATGCGAAAAATAATTTGGATTTAATATCAAAACATTCAAATAATTATTTAGCAGTATTTTTTAATGTATTATCTGAAACTTTACCTTCTTTTAAAAATTATCTTTTAGAAGTTATAAAAGTTTTTTTATCTATAACTTCATTAAAAGATATTAATAACGTTTACGTTAAAGTTATTAATAATCTTAAACAATCTTTATCAAATTCACAACAACAACAACAACAACAACATCATCAACAAAAAAATGGTAAAAATGTTGAAGCACCACCTCCAATGTCACATACAATGTTGGATTTAACAATTGTTATGACACCTTACCTTAATATAACATCAATTAATCAATTATATGAAATTATAACAAATTTAATTTTTAAAGATGATCCTATATTACAAAAAAAATCTTATAAAATATTAAAATCATTATCTGAAACTGATGATGGTAAAAATGTTATAATAAAAAATATTGAAGATTTACAAATCAAATTAAGAGATTCTACTATTAATACTACATCATCATCAAAAAAAGATAGATTATTAACTTTAAGTAATATAATAAAATTATTACCAGATACTGATCTTCATATGATACCTGATATATTATCAGAAGTAATATTAAGTACGAAAGAAGTTAATGAAAAATCTAGATTAGCAGCTTATGATTTATTAATTATAATGGGTAATAAAATGAAAAATGGTGGAAACATTATTATGAGTAAAATATTAGAATCAAAAGAATCTGATAATACTTCATCATCATCATCATCAAGTATTAATGCTAATATAGATGAATTCGTATTTAATATGGTAATAGCAGGATTGGCTGCAACTACTCCTCATATGATAAGTGCTACTATAACTACTTTATCAAGATTATTATTCGAATTTAAAAATGATCTTAATAAGGATTATATACATAAATTAATTGATACCATGAATAATTTTGTTAATTGTACGAATAGAGAAATTGTTAAATCAGCTTTAGGTTTCGTTAAAGTTACAACTATTTCTTTAGATTTAGATATAATCAAACCTCATTTAAATCAAATTATTACTGGTTTATTAACTTGGTCAAATGAACATAAGAGTCATTTTAAAGTTAAAGTTAGACATATATTTGAAAGATTAATTAGAAGATTTGATTATGATACTATAGAAAAATTTGTACCTGAAAATGATAAAAAATTATTGGTTAATATTAAGAAAAGAAAAGAACGTGCAAAAAGGAAAAAGATTGCTGATGAATCAAAAATGAATATAGATAATGATAATGATGATTTTGATCAAAATCGTAAAAATAATGATGATGATGATGATGACGATGATGATCGTATTGGAAAGTTTAAAGGAAAAAGATCAATGTTTAATAATGCATATGAATATAGATAATGATAATGATGATTTTGATCAAAATCGTAAAAATAATGATGATGATGATGATGACGATGATGATCGTATTGGAAAGTTTAAAGGAAAAAGATCAATGTTTAATAATGCATATGAAGATGCATTATATGGTAGTGAGAGTGATTTAGAAGATACTGATGATGATGATGATGACGATGATGTTGATGATGGTAATACCAATAAAAATGGTAAAATAACAAAGAAAAATAAGGAAATTTTAAAGAAAGGAAAAAAGAAAGATGGTAAAAGTGTTGCTTCTTGGATTAAGGAAGGTGATGATGATGATGATTATACTCCAGTTGATTTCTTGGATAAAGGAATAATATCAAAAGTAATTGGAGTAAATCCTTCAAAAACTCGAAAACAAAGAAAAGATTTTTCAAAAGCATTTAAAGAAACTCGTGATGGTAAAATGGTTATAAATGAATCTGATGATTCCGATGATTCTGATGATTCTGATAATGCTTCCGATATTGTGATGCAAGAAGCCGATGATAATTATACTGAATCACAAAAATCAAATGATGGATTTACTCGTGGACGAGGAAATAAAATTAAATTTAAAAAAGGAAATAAGAAAAATAATGATGATGATGAATGTGATAATATGGATATAGATGATATTGAACCTATTGATGCTATCGCTTCAAGAAATCAAAAGAAACGTAAAAATAAAGTAAAAAATAATAATAACAAAGTTCTTCCTATTGGTAAAGAATATAAAGCCAAGAATGCTGGTGGTGATATTAAAAAGAAAGGTAAACCTGATCCTTATGCTTACGTATCTTTATCTTCCGTATATAAAGGTAAAAGGCATAATCAACAAAAGGGTCCAAAAGTTTCTATTACCTCAAAAAGTAAAATACAAAAACGTCAAGGTATAAAGAAAAGGAAATAGATGGTGTAGATGATGTAGTAGATTTTTTTTAGTTGATTTTTTTAGTTGATGGATTTTTTCTTAGTTATGATTTCTTTTTTAGCTATGACTTTTTCTTTTCTTTTTTTTTTGTATTTATAAAAAAAGATATATTTGTATTTGCTAAAATTTATTATCCAAATAAAAAAAAATTTATATTAATTATATCAATTATAAAAAAATTATTAAATTGAATTTTTTCCAAGCAAACGCCAAATTTACCGCCAAATTTAAATTTTAAGATTAACGCTAAATTTTTTTTTTTATTAATTTTATTAAAAAAAAAACATTAAATTTTACTTTTAATAATCTTATTATTTCAAATAAAAAAAAAAAAAGTTCATATTTTAAATAAACGGAGATGATAAAGAAAAATCTAATATTAATTAATCACATCATAAGGATTTATTAAAAAAAATATTCTAATACTTAATTAATATTAATCTCATCATCAATCTTATCAATAATCTCATCAACAATCTCATAAACAATCTCATGAACAATCTCTCTCATAAACAAGGGTTTATTGTACCTTTTTTTTACCGGCTAACAATTTTCCAAATAATATAAAAAGCATTATGGTATATTTAGTAGTATATTCCTTAACATATAATAATAAAGCTTGAGATAATACAGCTTTTGTAATCTGTGCTTGCATTCCCTAAATAAATTAACATAATGCAAGTAATAAATTTATTAAAAAGTTAGAATAAAAAAAAAATCATAAACCAAGTAAATCATAATACATTATTATTATTTACCTTATACAATCCAAGAATACCATCGGTTTTATAAACTTTTTGTAAAACATCGATAGCCCCAGAATATCTTTCATATTTAAAAGATTTTTTCTTATTTATATAATTATCCTCATCATCCTCATCATCTTTTGGTGGTTTCCATTGTAATCTAACTTTAGCCATAATATAAGGATAAGTAACAATAGTAGCAATGGTTTTACTTAAAGCTCCTAACCAAAAAATTATACCAGGACTAAGTTCTTCACCATTATTATTATTTGATAATCTTTCTGAAACTAAATGTTTAAATCTTTCAAAAGCTCCATAAGTAATAGCAGGATTAACACATAATATTAAACTTGGTTTTAATCCTTTCCATAATCCTGTAATACCATCATCTGAAATGATTTCTTCTGCTGTACCAATTAAATCTTTTCTATATTTAACATGAGTTGTTTGTTGTCTTGTTGTTACCACTGATACAGGAATTGTAAATATTTGAGCTAATGCACCTGCAAATGCACCTAATAATAATTCTGAAATTGTTGACATTGATCCTTGTTTAATAATTTTTGAACGTAAAAATGAATACCAATAAAAATAAGCAAAATTTGTTGATGCTACTCCAATTAATCCAGCTGGTAATCCTGCATATAATCCTGTTATTCCTTCCATTTTAATGATTTTAATTATTGCATCAAAAGTTGATTCATAATATTCATTTTCTTTCATCATTGTTTTTGATTGTTTTGATTGTACTTGAAGTCGAGTTTTTATACTAAAAAATTAAAAATTAAAAAAAAATTAAAATTCTGATTAAAAAAAATAAATTAAATTTAAAATCCGGGCAAAAAAAAAAAAAATTTAAATAAATTAATTAAAATCTGGACAAAAAATTTAAAAATCCCAGTTAAAATAAATTAACTAAAATCCGGGCAAAAAAAATCAAAAAATCCCAATTAAAAAATTAAAAATCCGGACAAATCCAGTTAAAAAAAAAAATTTAAAAATCCGGTTAAAAAAAAAAAAATTAAAAATCCCAGTTAAATAAGTTAAATAAATTAAGGTTAAATAAATTAAAAAATCCGGATAAAAAAAAAAAATCAAAAATCCGGTTAAAAAAAAAATAAAATCCCAATTAAAAAATAATAATAAAAAAAATCCCGGTTTAAAAAAAAAGAAAAATCAAAAATCTCGGTCAAAAAAATAAATTACGGTTAAAAGAAAAAAGGTTTTAATCTTTTTGTTTTTACTCACATATCCAAAGGATAAACGATTGTTAAAGCAAAAAGTGCACCCAAGGAACCTGCTACCGCATTTTCAAAAGGTGAAAGTGGTGGTAATTTTGTTGCTTCTTTTGAGGCTGCTGCCATATTTTTAATTTTTTCTTTTTTTTTTTTTTTTTTTTTTTTTCTTAAAAAAAAATGATTTTTGGATTTTGTGGATTTTGTGGTTTGTGAAGGAGAAAGAGAAAAAAAAATTTATTTATGTACAAATAATTACTATTTATATTTACTAAAAATTACGTTACGAATTTTAATCTTAAATCTCTTAAATCTGTTTTTTTTGATTATCTTATACATTTAAAATATTAATAAATCAATAAATCAAGATATATCATTATAAATTTACGGCTGAGGAGGAATGGAGGATGCCCGGATCTGCGGTTGATTTTAATTTATCAAATTTTTTTTTTTGCATCAAAAAAAATCGATGATGCATGCACAAAAAAAAAAATCGATGATGCAGAGAAAAACTAAAAAACTCGTGAAATGTGTAAAATGTTACTAAAAGGATCACTATAATCATTACATCATTATATGAAGCATTTAAAAGTATTTAGGGAGGTTAAAATTTAACATTCAAATAATTGGTTCGTAGACCAAAACATTAATTGATCTAATAAGATTTCATTTAAAAATTATTTCGTTTCAAAATACTTTTATAAATAGAAAAATAGTATAGAAAGGTATTTACGAAGAAAATTCGAAATTCGAACTTCGAAGAGTTGCCGATAATTAATTCCGGTAATTAATAATAAAAGAAGAAATAAAGACGAAACATAAAAAAAGATTAGCATATTTGGGTACTATACATGATTTGATATAATCATCCGTCAATATATTAAATACATTAATTGTTACATCCGGAACTTTCGTACATGTTTTTTTTTTTTAATCGCTACTCATCAATTTCACCAAAATTGATTAATAAAATTTATTAAATTGAAAATTTTGACATAGACATGTATGATACATATGATGCAAATATTACGATTAATTACCTCAATGCTAAAATCAAAAGTCTTTATAGTTTCCATTTTAAAACTTTGGCCATTACATAAGGCATATACATATACATGGTGCATTCATATGTACAGTATATGTGTATATTCTTTTTTTCAATTTACATTTTTTTTTATTTTTGTTTTTCGTTTTTTCATTATTATACATTACCATTTATAGTACAATGTACATAATGGTATTAAAATTGGTAGTACAATTATTTGGGAAGAAAGTTTTTTTTTTTTAAAAAAAAAAAAAAATATTCTTCCTGAAAAAAAAAAAAATTTCATGATTGACGAACATATTATTAAATCGCGACTTTTTTAAATTAATCGAATAAAAACATCGACCTAATTTGTTACAATCGAAGATAAAAAAAAAAAAGAAAACGAAAAGTCCTTTCTCTTATATTAATATTACATTTACTGCATTTACTGACAATCCTTTGTTATTTTTTTTAATATTTTCCCAAAAATCTTTAAATAATTAATTGTCCGACCCAAAAAAAAAAAAATTTGGGTTATAATAAATACGAAATGAATTTTTGATATATAATCACGTTTTAGTTAATGTATACTTGATGTAAGAAATCATGGTCCCAATACTATAAGAGGTTTTTTTCTTCCATCAAGATTATAATTATGAACAAAATCATCGTTTAAATATTCACTGCGTCCAAAAAAGAATTCTTGTAATTTATAACAACCACAACAAATCATCGATACATCATCCGGTGTTAAATTAGGATTAACACGAATCCGTAATTTTTCGAGATTTCTAAGACGCGTTATTGTTGGTGCAATAATCTATTATAAATTGTAAAAATTTGTAAGTTTTTGTGATAATATAAAATTAAAAAAAAAATTATATATATATATATATTATATAAATATACCGTATTTGGAATATCTTCAGTACTGGCTAAATAAAATTCTTTTAATTGTAAACATACTGAAACGATTGCATCTAAATCACGTATTGTAAAATCCGTTGAAGGGAATAAACTTAATTTCTTTAAATTTCTACAATATCTTCCTATACCAGAAATTACCACATCTTCTGTTATTCGATCACAATTTGATATTTGTAAAGAAGTAAGAGTACCAGAAATACTCCTAAGTAGAGCAATTATGGGATCATCAGTAACATTAGGTATAGCGAATAAACAAAGATCACTAATAGGAGGATGACTCTTTTCAAGTACCCAAAAAGATGAATCAGTAAAATTACAATTATAAAGATGAAGATAAGTTAAATTATTAGCAGATCTAATACCCAACATGCTTAAAGTAACATCAGTAACAAAAGGGGTTGAATACTGAAAAGTCACTTTATTAAGCAATTTCAATCTTTCAGCCATCATTAAGAATCCATCATTTGAAATATTTTCCGCTTTATGTAAAGTAAATTGAAAAGATTCTATACGTAAACAATAATTAGCTATAACTTTTAAAGTATCATTTGTAACCCCTTCATAAGGTTCCAAACCTAAATGACGAATATTAGGACATCTTATTGCCACTTGTTTCATAGATAAATCAGTTATATTTCTTAAATTTTGTAATATTAAAGATTCCAAATTTATATTTAAATTAAAAGCCATAGTAATAATAGCATTATCATCAAGAGTACCACAATCCCAAATATGTAAATTCTTCAAACGTAAACAATGTTGAGTTATAAGCATAAAAGTATCATTCTCAATAGTATTACCAATAAATATTTCAAGAGTAACAAGATGTTCAGCAGAAATAGCAAGTTGAAGAAAAGAATCATTTTTAATGTTTATACAATCACCAATAGCGAGATGTTCTAAACGATGACATCTATTAATGATTTGCATTAAAGAATGATCAGTTATATTTGGTAAATTCAATAATTTGAGAGATTTTAAATCCGAACATTGTCCTGATATTCTACTAAGTATATCATCTTTAAGTTCTCTAACGTAAGAAAAATCGAGATATTTTAAAACTCCACAAGATTCAGATATCAAATTCAATTCACCAGCAGAACAAGAAAGTCGCGACAAGTCAAGACTTTGAATAAAACAACCATAAGCATAAGAAGTAGCATGTTGTCTCGTTCTAACTAAAGTTCTAATAAATTTATCAAAAGTTGAAGCGCGTTTCATAAAAGGTTTCTTCCATAATATTGGAGTGGTACAAGTGTTCCATAGACGAGATACCAAACAACAAGTAGCCAAGTCAGGCTGAGCCTCTAAATGAAAAATTATTTCACATATAATATAAGCTTGGTTTGATAACGGTGTCTCATAAGTTATTTCATAGTATTCGGTCGTTCGCATAACATTATATTGTGATATTGCCATACGTGTGGATTAACAGGTTTTTTTTTTTTTGTAAATAGTTTACGGTGTCCCCTAAGACAATAAATATAAACAAATAATAAAAAAGACAAGACCTATTAAAAAAAAAACCAAAAAAAAAGAGAGAGAGAGAATACAATAATACGTAAGTTTTAAAAAAGGAACGAATAAATAATGACGTAGAAAAGATAAAAAAGAATAACGCGTAGGAAGTTGGTGATAAAGAATAAACAAATATTCTTTTTTTTGGGAGAAGAAGAAAAAAAAAAAAATCTGGAGTTAAATAGAGAAAAGAAAATATAATTAATATCACAATATACAATAGGAATCAAAAAAGAAAGAATGGAAGACAATTTCAATGGATTCTTTTTACTAATCAGATGGATAAGTATTTTTCTGAATAATAATCAATGAATTTGAATTTTCAATTTATAAATATTTATTTTGTAGAAAAAAAAGACCCTGGGTTTTGTGATTTTTTTTTTGTTGTTACACGAATATCCCATTAAGTTAAGGTACACAATTATCTAATAACATATGTACATCTTAATAAAACTCTATTATTTATACCTACATATCTTCTTTTGATCGCTACTTTGACTGATGTACCTGTTTTAGAGAAAATAAATTTTTTTTTTTTTTTTT